AAGACTTCCTGGCGGTGCGTGTCTCTACGTGACATGGGGCTATATCTCACCGGCAATGTAGGACGCGGTCAAAGTCATCAAAGACATATACATCAGCGCATCGCAGAGCGTGGAGTTTAACATTATGGCGCTGTGCGAAACGTAGGGAAATTAGTAGTTTCGTTATATAATTGCGCAAAGATTCCAGATCATGAATGTAACAGTCTCTTATGACCGGAAACGCAGATAAGCCATGAGAAGCGCTGAGCAGCCGGTCACTGTTGGTGATCAGCGACGGGCCCTTGGAGAATATAACGGATTGCATACCGAATCCAACAAGATATTGCAACGTAGTTGCCTAAAGTTCATGAGAGGACGTCCGCATTTCAGTACTGTAAGATACTCGCCTTGGAAGCTTGGATTGCAGTTCTCAGATTGGCGATCTCTTGCTCAATGCGGGTATCTGTTTCTTTGATCTTGAGCTCTTGAGCTCCTCCCTCCTCCCTTAATCGACCCTTCTCGAGATTCAAGTCCAGGCGGACTCCGGCTTGTGTTCTAGTAATCTCTTCCCGCAAACGCTGCTTAAGTTTCTCGATGTCGGTCAAAAGACGATCGTTCTCAGCCTTGATCATGGCAAGGTCGTTCTTCTCCATGAGCTGCAGTTCTGACTTGAGTTGCGCGAAATCAACTTGTTGGGTGTAGTTGTGCTGGGGGCGAAGTAGAACCACGACGAGTTGACGGCAAGAGACTGCGGGCAAACCTTTTCTTGTTCGGATTTGGTCACCATATTGCTTGTCATATTCCGTATACTCTCGTCGATCACTTCGGCCATAGCAGCCATGATTCCTTCTCTGGATGAAATAAGAGGATAGCTGTTCTCGAGGATGGGGCACGCACGCTTGAGCGCGGTTCAGTCCTTCCCTCTCCAGCCGTTGCACAAAGTGGTGTGTGTCGAAGTGGAATTCTTGTCGAGCACGGGTGGTTGAGAATGCGCGCCAGTTCACATTCCGGCACAATTGACGGAAAGAGAGCGTAGACATTGTTTAGGGATGCTAAGCGTTGGACTCAAGTGGCATTTACATTGATCGTTGATCCGTTGATGGGATTTCGACGTGTTATTCGCAGCGTAGACACTGATCTTGGGAATGGTAACGTTTGCTCGGTAAGTAACAATACATTGACTTGTAGCTACATTATACAGATCCCATTATACAGATCCTAATTACTCCATTAAAGTCTGCATGTCAAACTGGGTGACCTGCGGTAGATAAGCGGCCCCAGCAAGGTCCAGCAGATAGACTTCGTCCAGAGACGTGGTGCCACTGAACCCTCCGAACACAAACAGTCTGCTGTCTGCCTGCAAAGTGACGTGGTATCCCCTGGGTCCTGGTCCCTTGCCCATCGTCTCTCTGGTCTCGAATTGGAGAGTTGCTGTGATTTGAACCATCAGAATCGAAGAGCCGGAGAAACGTTCACACTCACTTAGATTGAAGAATAATAGCTCACTGCAATATCGCGTTCCGTCATGTCCTCCCGTGATAAACAGATACGATCCGACAGCAGAGCAAGCATGTGACAGTCGCCGGTGCGGTGTGTCCAAGGTCAATTTGGTCCACCGCCGAGAATCTGCTTGCTATGAGTGCATCGCCAGTGACACCCCGACAGACACACGCACCAAGATTGAGACACCAGATGTCGCTGAAGCAATCTTTGCCGTCACTCCCTCCAATAACGACCATGATGTTCCCAATGAGGGTAGCCGTATGATAGCCACGATGACCGGGTTTGCGCCCAGATGTCGGTATTTCTTCCCAGTGCATTCTCGCGGGATTGCTGACGTCCAAGGTCCATACATCATTGAGAGCAGTCATCCCATTGCCCCCGCCGAATATGTAAATCTTGCCGCGAAGATACACCGCCGTATGCGCTCTTCGAGGAGGCGGAGTGGCACCCGTAACTGTTGGCCTAGTCCAGCGACGGGACACAGTGTCCAGGACGTACACGGTATCGTAATATGTAGAGCCCTGTCCGCCGCCGTAAACAACGATCTTGCGGTCAACAGCAGTGGCAGTGTGGGCACGAGACGGCGGTGGCAATTCACCCGCAACATCGATACGACACCACAGCATGGTTTCTGCAGACTGAGGAACGCAGAAACAGTTGAGCTGAGAAATAGCGTACCGGTATCAAATGAGAACACACTGTTTGAGCAAATCTGGTCGTCGCATCCACCGAAGAGCCAACCCACTGTGTCTATAAGCGTCACAGAATGCGCACGCATCACCCGATGAGGTATGTACCCGAAGATCGGAGCTTTGGACCAATACAACATCGTACTCGGTGCAACGACCGCCTGCTCGTCATGCGGTAATCTCGGGCTGGCGTTATTTTTCCGCGACAAAGATGTAGATCGGGACGGCCTGCTCTCTTTCGATGCGCCAGATTTGGCGACTGTCCGAATAGTTCCAGGTTTGCGGGAGGAACGCGTCCCAGAAAGATGAGAAGGCGTCAATGGCGTCCCGACGTCAGGGATCCCGCCCTCGCTTTGGGTACTCATTTAGAACGAGACTCGTCCGCTGAACGCAGAGCGGGTTGAACTGTGCCGTTGCTCTGCCTACCAGTAGGTAGCCCGATAAGGAGTGCTTTCAAGGCAAGTGAAACAGGAAATAAACATGTGACTGATCGAAACCGCGCTCAGCCGGTGGCAAGCGCTTGAAATCAAACAGTCCCTCCAGTACTCTCTGATTTCTAGCATGAATTGACACGCCACGTTGAGATACCGACGCGGTGTGTTCATAGGAGTATGTCCCACAGCGAATTCGAACCATATCAGGCAAATACACATCTAGCAACTAGAATTTAAACTCTTTCTTCTTAGAGTCCCGATCTCGCTCTTGTGCCTTCTGCTTTTTGGCACGACTGGCGGCTTCCTTGGCCACGAAATCCGAGAAGTCATCTTTGGAACCAGGAACGCCGGCAGAACCTCTGGAATGGGCATCGTACTTCCGACGCAATTCATCAGCAGAGATGCCTTCCAGCTCAGATGCATCAATAGAAACCTCCACGCCATTGTTCTTGCGCTGCACTCCATCAGCTCTGGAAGCGGAGGTTCTGTGATGATGCTCACTTTGGAAGATCTTTCTTCGCCCAACACGGGAACGTTGGCATGCGCGAGCCCGCTGACGTCGTACCCTCGCTCGCTGCCCATCAATCCCCTCACGCTGGCCTGCCTCTCTGGCACAACCGTGTACAGAGATTTTGGTCCGGAATCTTGTACGTCCGCGGTCCGGCCCTTGCGCAACTCCAAGAAATCGGGTGTTTCCAAACCACCAGCCACGGTTGACACCACACTGGTCATGCCTGAAGGCGTTTCCATACCCGACGGTGTTTGCATGCCATCGCCTGGAGCTGGGGTGTCATCCTCCTCCTCCTCCTCCTCTTCTGACGACTCTTCCTCCTCCTCCTCTTCTGTCCGCCAGTAAGTATGGCGTTGAACCTGTCTCCTTGCCACGTACCTTCGTCCGGCTCAAGCTCACCCCACGTCGTTTTATCGATCGGTTCGCCCATCTAGTGCAAAGGTCAGTCCAGAAGTAAACATGTTTCGGAAAGACTCACGTCAGTGTCGCCGCCTCCAACCTTTGGTAACGCACCAAACACGTCGCCGTACAACGGTCGATTATACTCATCAAGTGGGGGCTTACCCCAACCTCCAGGGTGAAAGCCCCATTGTGCTCTGTCAAGTCGGTCAGTCGTTAGCGATAAGGAAGGCTGCGACTGGACACACCCTTCAGGAATTGGTGCATTCAGGCCGGGAATTCGCAAAGTGGGATAGCTTGGTGGAGGACCAAAACGCTGCATGCTGATTAGCCAAGGCGGAGGCGCCAGTGGTGGGATCGACAGGGCTTCGACCAGTTCAGGAGAGAGGTCTCCAGGTCTCTTCTCTTTCAGAGAGGTCTCGAATTCTTTTCCTTCGTAGTACCTGGGATGAAGTTAGGGACAGTGGCTCGAGTGGGTGACTTCTCCACGCACATCTCTCCGTAACCAGTGGTAACAGGTTTTGTGGCAAATTTGAAGAAAGCGTCGTGAAGCTTCTGATAGTCAATGTCGATTTTGCCCATCTTGGGTTGAACCCTCTCTCTCGTCTTCTGTTTCAAGCTCATATTGGCCTCCTTCTCCTTCACCGCATCTCGCATCGTACCGATCCCAGTGTCGGCAATGTAGGCAGGTAATTGGAACGGAGGCTTTTCGATACCGCGCTTGCCTTGAAGATAATCGCGTTTCGCGGACCAGTGGATAGGGATAGGAATTGTGTTGCGATAGGATTTGAGGTGCAGAAGAAGACGAGGATCAGCTGCTGTGACATCCGTCCATTCGACAACTTCCGGTTTCTTCACTAATCGCTTCAGCTCCGCAACAGTTAAACGGGAAAGCTTCCGTTGTTTCTTCTTTGACAGAGGTTTGCTCTCAGCGTCCGAATCGCCCTCAGACGCCATTTCATCGTCCGAGTATATGACTTCTCCTTTCGACGGAATGCTTTCCTTAGCCTGGGTCGAAAGTCGTCCATCAATCAACAAAGTCTGTGAACACAAGACTCACGGCAGATTCCTCTGGAGGAGCCTGAAAACGAGCAAAGACATCGGAAAACGAGTCCATAACGGAGCCGTTGGCATCCAATTGCTCGGTCACGTACTCAACATTTTCCTCCTCATCCACATTCATGGCATCCCCGTCATCTCGAGGTGTCTCCTGGGGACAATGCTCAATCCGAGTAGTGACGGGGTTTGGGAACGCACCTGTGGATTTTGAGCAGCGAGCTCCTTCTTCTGCTTCTGCTTGAGACGACGGAGCTGGTTTTTGGACTTGATGGTCTTGACGCCATTGGACTGAGAAGTCGTCTGAGCGACCATGACAAGCCGGTCGAAGTTGGCGATGATCAGGCGCGGTACATTCCAATATTTGCACCTATTGTTGGGGCAAGCCATCAGTGCTCTGATCGAATCTCAAGTTTTTGGCCTCGACGCGCGCGGAAGAGTTTCGCGATGCAGAGCGACGACGTTATATGGTCCGTTATCAACCACCAGTTCTGCTCATACAAAGTCAAGTCAGTCCACCAGTCGTTTTGACAAGCCGAACTATATCTTACCCTAGAACAACAACCCAAAATTTTTGCCGGAACGAGTACAACGTTACCGGTTTTTGCAACAGACAGTCTTGTCCATTAGCCAACTCGAGATATGCGACTGTCCGAGAACAAGAAGGTTCCGCCACTGCTTCTAGACGTGAAACGGGCTCATGAAGGAATGCAGGCGTGTTGTATCTGTACGTGAAGACGATCGAGCGTGCGCATTCGCCTGCGAAGATGTGGGAACGAATAAAACTGTCCAATAACTACTCAAAAGCCCTCGAGCAGGTGTGCCAAAGCTCGATGTCTTCGCCCGGCTGCTTACCGTTGTCCCATGCGCAGATCGACGGCGAACTCATCCACTGGCCCAATTTCCTCATTCACAAATGCAAGCAACGTATCACCAAGATAACGCAATACCTGATTAAAATGCGAAGAATGAAGCTGCGACAAGAGTACGATATCTTCCTCCGCGCGTTGCCCATCTTCACGTGCACCGTTTAGACCCAAACTTGTTGGAATCAAGAAGAAATTGGACCGGCGAGAAGCCGTTCGGGAGCGGAAAGCACTCTCTGCGGCTCAATTGGAGCGATCGATTCAAAAGGAGCTCATTGAGCGCCTCAAGTCCAAAGCATATGGCGATGCACCTCTCAATGTGAACGAAACTGTATGGCAAGCCGTCCTGGATCGGGAGAAGAACGCCGGAAAAGAAACGGAAGATGTTGAGCTGGAGATGGAGGATGATGAGACGGACGAGGAGGATGAAAATGAGTTGGAGGACGATGACGAAGGCTGGGGCGATCGAGAGTTTGTTAGCGACATGAGTGACAGCGAGGACGATGGTCTCAGTGACCTAGAGGATGTCGGAGATGATGCGGAGCAAGCTGCAGAAGATGATGACGACGAAGCGTCAGACGAGGATGAGGGTGAGGATGATCCGTCGAAGAAACCCAAATCAGCACTTGGCAAGCGGAAAACGGGGCCGTCCAAGACACCGACGAGACGTCCGGACAAAAAATCCAAGAGTGAGTTCCTCTTGCTAATCTTATTCATTAACTGAAAGCATGGGCAGAGGGACCTCGAGTCGAAGTCGAATACGAGAACGAAGTCGAGACGGTTCCCCTCACGCGTTCTGCCTTGGCGTCCTGGTAGACCAGCACGGAAGATTCAGTATGTCGCTGACTCATTATGTCGTGTATTATCGTAAGCATACTTATGACGGAGCAGTATTGACGGACTGTTAAAAGTACAATAATTGATGGGTAGCCCGCCAGGTTTTTCTGAGAGATCAGGCCCTCTTTTCCCTGTTGGCTTTCTTGCGTATTTCGAGTTCCTGGCGCGTCATCTGGGTGCCCAGCATCGTGTCCCAGTGCACGAAAAACGGTTGGGCAAAGTTGGATTTGATTCCGATAGTCTGCGCTCTGGTCAGTGGAAGCCAAGAAATCGGACGACGGGATATTGCCTGGTGATGGATGTCATGATAATCAGCGTTGTTTTGAGTCAACATCTGCAATGGGTCCCAGGGCAGGCTGTAGCCACAGTGATCGTCCACTGTCTTGAAGGTGGCAACGCAGAACAGCAATGCAGCCTGCCGCGTGCTCATCCCCGAGACCGACTCAGCAATGACGGTGCCGAGTGAGTCCAGTAGGAAGCCTTCCACCGGATGGTTGTACAATGCACCGAAAGCGTATGGAGCCGATAGTCGGTGGTGCCATGAATGGAAATGCCGATAGAGGAACTTGTTCATGTGCATGTAACGATGGAGAAAGTATTGCCAGGTATCAATCACGAAGCTAACAAGCGCAGAAACCCCGATCAGTTCATTTCAAGGACGAGATGACGAATGTGCACACACATGGCGACAAGGAATTGGAATATTGGGACGGCCCACCAATACACAAAATGACCCAGTCGTAACATCGTTGCTTCGTCCAGCCCCAGTAAAGCCAGATACCCTCCGATATTCTGTATCCTCCCGGCGTGGTCGAGACTCTTCGTACGACCGTCATGGCTAAGCCAGACGAGACCCAGCGCAGTTTGCAGGATTTGTTGGAAGATGACGGCGCCCACAACGACTGACTTGGAGACTCGATTGCGGGAAGCGGCTGTCACAGATTCATTGATTCTGTACTTTTCGAGTGACTTCCAGTCCTGCATATCAAGGTAGTGGAAAAACAGCGAGAGAACCCAGTATGCGATGATGGGGCTTGCAAGCGCTAGATATTCATCTGGAATACCATCTATGAGAGAGTTCTTGTGCGAGTAGTACCAGGGAGGATTCAGAGACTCTGAACAGACCCCGTCGATGTACTTCGCACACGGCGCTGAGAAGTTCATGGGTGACCTTGTGGGAATCGGTCAAGAAAGGGTGCCGATGACCAACCGAGCGATGTCATCATCCATTGAACATCTAATCTGAGACCCCGAGCGTGGCATCTCTAGACTCGTTCCAGGTGCCGTCCAGCCTACTTACGCTAATGAAGATTCATTCCCCAAGGCCGTCCTGGGCTGGTCCGTATCATGATCAATAATTATGGATGTCTTTAGATTGTACATGCGGCAGATATTACTACAGGGAGCCTGTACGTATACAAAAATGTTTGCTTCCCATTTGGCCATTGCGAAATCACGGCTCGTTCAGATTGTTGAGCAAGGTCGTCAAGCAGCGTTTAGTGACCATATCACCCTTGAGAAGTACGCTGAAAGTTTGGTCCCGCAAAGGCTCCGGTAAACAAGCACGCAGAGCTTCGCGCGCTCTGGAACAAAATCAGTAAGCGGACAATTGAATGGGTTCAACAAACCTCAGATTGTCGCTCAGTCTCAGATAGCACCTCACGACATGTTTGAGCAGCCTCACAGCCTGGGTCTCCACCAATTGATTGACCATGTTGCTCAAGACCGTTCCAACAGCGTAGAATCGCTCATAGGTGTGACAAATGTAGGTCAATCCAGTCTCGTCCAGAAGGATTTTCTGAACAATGAAGATCGCAACCGTCTTGGAAAGCTCTGAACCAGTCTCCATGATACGCAAGCAGAGCGGGATGATTTCCGTGGAAAGTAGAAAGTGAATGACTGTGTTGTTATCGTTTTGCTGACGGCCCTCAGACGTGGGATTAAAGTATCGATTGAGAAAACTCACTTTGACAAGAGCACCGATGACTCCGAGTGAAGTGAGCCGAAGGTATTCAAATGGTCGAGTTTTCGATGTCGTGTTCAGGAAAGGGTATAAGAACAGTGGGATGTGAGCTATCGGATGTGGATTAACGAAAAGATGAGCTCGGAAAAGGACTAACTGACCGTTGAGAAACAGCTGCCTGGTCTCGGAATGCGATGCCACGCACTGCAGAAGAGCCAACGCATTGCATACCCGATTCGATACATGTGCGGTCAGATTTGGGGGCGAGAGTAGCGGATAGACAGATACGATCTCTTGCAGGAGCGCAGGCATAATCCCTACGAGGCGAAAGATGAGGTGATCGATTCTGCAGCGGCGGGGCGACGTGAAAATACTCACCAAAAGAGTGCCAAAGGACCAACGCCAGGTCATCATACTGCTCCCTTTTCTTGCTCAGTTCCAGCAATGCACCCTCCCTCGCCGCAGGATCCATAAGTTCGATCACAAGAGTGTGAATTTTGGCATCTTCAGGAACTCCGCCGAGGACCGGGTGTGGTGTTGCACTGGGAATGAACTGCGCGCCTTGCTGAGGGATGGGATGAACGAGCGTGGCAGACGCTGGGGATTCAGGCATGTAGAGACCGGGAGCCCCCCGTGAGTAGGGGCTCTGTAGAGGCAGGTGGCTCCCCATCGACGAGGCCGATGTCGAGGCGCGTGGTTGCCTTTCGTAAGTTGTCACGTCGTCACGTCGTCACCATCTCTGCTCACGGGCGCATGACTCGTACACTCGCGAAGTGATGGATACAAGAAGCTCGTCAGGTATAGTGTGCGAGAGGGTATAGTATTGAAGCTAGATACATAAGTCGCCAGGACTTAGACAGAGGTGCCGTTTGCCGCCGTCAGCAACCCTAAGAGCTTGTACTGGTTTGAGAGATCAGTGACCGCTCCCACTGCGAAGTGCGGGACACTGACCTTTTCTTCTTCAGTGTCAGAGAAGAGAGACCATGGCTGATCATCTCCGACGAATTCGACTGCGAAAGAGAATGGAATGGCTTTGAGATCTTCGTAGCCCTCGTTCCATTCACGCACAGCGCGGATTTGGCCGCGAAGATTGACCTGATCTATGACTTGATTCGCGTCCTGTGAATCCTTAGGACCAATGTCACGGATGGGAGAGGGCGGAGCCCACCTTTTCTTTGGGACTTCGATAGAAAAACACAGTAGAGCCGACGAAACTGAAATATCGTCGTCTCCAGACAAGTGTCGGGCCCATTTGCATAGTGACCCAACCAGTGAGGAGCTCAACATCGGCCTGTGCGCTACGTACTTTTGCACCGGCCAGCCGGATACGATTGCGGCGTTCTTCCTCTTCTTTTTTCCTTTCTTGCTCTGCTAGCCGGGCTGATGCAACAGCTTGTGCCTCCTGTTCACGACGCCAGCTCTCCAGCCGGCGGTGTTCCTCAATCCGCCTCAGCCGATCAGCGTGTTTTCTTGCTTCAAGTTGCTTTCGGTTCTCCTCCTCCTCCAGTCGCTCTCGCTCTTCACGTTTCTTGCGTTGCAATGCAGCACGTTTCAGCTCCTTTTCAAGTGAAACTCTTCTTGCCTCCTCTTCCAATTGCTCTTGTCGACGCTGCTCCTCCTTGGCAAGTTTGGCTTGCAACAATCTTTGAGCATCGTCCTCTGCAGCCTGCTGTTCCTCCAATTCGCGTTGCCGCCGAGATTCTGCTCTTTGTCGAGCACGTTCGGTGGGGTCTAGATTATCTTTGGCCCACTTGGAAGGCAGAGTTAGAGATCGCATCTTCATTGCTGGACTACGGGGCACATGTTCAGGCCTGATGACAACCATATCCTCAGAGCTGATCGAGGGAGGCCGACTGATCATGGTATACTCCGAGTTGCTTCGATTCCGCGTCGTGTGAGATTGCGGCAACGATCGTTGGGGATTGAGCGGTGCTGGAGACGACGAGACCGAATGTTTGCCAAATCGGTCTTTAGGTGGTGGCAATGGCGGCTGACCTTCTTCGGAAAGATGAGTTGACGTATCGAACGACGTCTGGTTTATATCAAACGGTTCGATGGTGAGAGCTTCAGATCCCAGTTTCTTTTTCCGGCGAAGAAGGGACGAGAACATGCTGCTTTTTCCCGGGGAGTTCGGTAGAGGCTCGTTGGAAGGCTGCAGAGGCGTAGCGTATTGTCCCATCTCGTCAGTAGCACGGTCTGAGTTGATAATGTGTATCGCGTCGGGTGAAGCAAGAGCCTGGACAAGAACTGAGAACTCAGCCTGCGGAATGTGGTCGTCGAAGCCCGCACACCTGCAATATGCTATTCGGCGTGAGGTTGGAGAGATGATCAACAGTGAGGGTTGTTTTGTGAGCCTAGCGTGAGCCAGATCAGTGTTGATGCGGGAGCGAATGCATCGGCTGTAACACACCTGGAACACTGCCCCAATCCGTCTCGAATGAACCAAAGCACGCGCCCTTCTCACTCCTGATACGGTCGCGGGAATGATGTTGACAATGACCGAATCGTCCGAGTCTCCTGCTCGATATAAAGCGATGTAAACCTGGGACAGATCTGAAAGTGCTGTGCCGAGTCCGGAAAGACCGTTCGCGCCAGTTGCAAATAGGTAGAAGCCTTCCGGTTGCAAGGATCGGTCGTAGGCAAGGGCAAGCCTCGTAATAGATTGAGACAGGTGCAGAGAAAGAGTGTGGTCAACACACCAATCTATCTCTTTATTGATGACGGCGTCATAAGCTAGCAATGGGTATATGAGCTGAGAGCACCACACGAAGATGACAGCTACACTAACCAGAAAGCACCGCGGAATAGTCGGCGAAACATACAGCCATTGAATATAAGTCACTTCAGTATATGTTCAACGCTGCTAAATTAGTGGTGTGAGAGAATGACTTGAGTCGCTGATTTGAGAGTCGAGTGCTGGTGTGCTACTAGCATCATCATTGATGCGATTGGACACTTTTGTTTACCAATATTGATGACTAGTAACGCTTTTCTCATTCCCACCACAAACGATCAATAAGTTGAACGCAGTCCCAAGTGGCGGCCTTCAGGCTATCTCAAACATATACATGTCTCATTCTACGTTATCTCCGGGTCCCACGGCCAAGGCAGATGATGTGCAAGGCGCCTATAATCAACATAAAGACCGGTAAGCCTGCCTCTCCCCGTTGTTATGACATTTATTTATTCGGCTGTTAGTCTTGTAGACGCCATAGATTCCACCAAGACTATTCTCAACGATGTCCGAGGTTTCAACAAGGAGCACTGGGTAATGCGCTACCCACAGCTCCAAGAGGACACCACTCGGCCGCCCGGTTCTCTCCGACGCTCTCTCTCGTTCGCCGATGATCCCACCGTGACGACCCCCGTTCGTATGGGTCTCAACCGTTCGACTACTCTTGCTTCCGTGCTCGAGGCGAAGACGGACGAACCGGAGTGCTTAGATGAAGAATCAGCCGACCCCGCACCTTTCTCCTCTGACTTCCATGTCTTGCGATTGGACCTCAAGCTTGGTTCCTCATCTGCCAGCTCCGCGAGCTCGCTCGTTTCTCAGCTTGAGAAGTCGTCGATTGCCCACCTTTTGGATGAGCGACTGGGCAAATCTATCGCTCATATCGACAAGCTCCGCCTGAGAGTTCAGGACACTTCTTCCAAAGTGTTGGTCACCGGTGACCTGAACGCTGGAAAATCTACACTCGTTAACGCCCTGCTGCGCCGTGAGGTCATGCCTGTGGATCAGCAGCCTTGCACCACTGCATTCACCGAAGTTCATGATGCTACGGAGAACGGTGGCGTCGAAGCCGTTCATATCGTCAAGGACGGCGCTTCGTACAACCCGCTCGATGAGAGCACTTTTGACACCTGCAAGCTGGAGGATCTGGAGGAACTGGTCGCAGAGCATGAGGCCAAAGGTTCCGACCAGCTCGTGAAGGTTTATCTGGCCGGCAAGGATCAGACTTCGCTTCTCTCCAACGGGACCGTCAACATCTCCCTTATCGATGCTCCGGGTCTCAACCGCGACTCGCTGAAGACAACCGCTCTGTTCGCTCGACAGGAGGAGATTGACGTTGTCGTCTTTGTCGTGTCGGCTGAGAACCACTTCACGCTCTCGGCCAAGGAGTTCCTTTGGACCGCGAGCAACGAGAAAGCATACTTGTTCATCGTTGTCAACAAGTATGACATGATCCGGAACAAGGACAAATGTCGGCGGGTGGTTCTGGACCAGATCAAGGGCCTCAGTCCTCGAACGTTCGAAGACGCCGAGGATCTGGTGCATTTCGTTGACTCCGCGGCTGCTGCCGAGGGCGCCGAGCCCAAAGACCCCTTTGCCTTCAAGGAGATGGAGTCTGCGCTGCGGTCCTTTGTGCTCACGAAGCGCGCCAAGTCCAAGCTGCAGCCTGTGGAGACTTTCTTGCTCAACTTGCTGAGCGATCTCGAACTTCTCTCTTCGGCGAACAAGCTCGTTGCCGCTGCTGAACTCGAGGCCGCGCGGGCCAATCTCGCGGAAGCCAAACCTGTACTGGACAAGATGCGGGCTGGCCGCGATCATCTGGAAGAAGGTCTGGAGGCTGTCGAGGACGCCGGTGTTTCTGAGGCTTCGGACAAGGCCCGGAAGATTCTCGATGACGCTTTGGCAGCTGTCGGATCGGGTAAGGCCGCTGCCGGTGTGCTCTTGCCGTCATACCCTGGCCTCCTCGCCGTTTTCGACTACGCCCGTGATGTTCGGCGCAGTCTGCTGGAGTCTCTCGACCGTTCCGTCAAGCTTGCTGAAGACGAGGCGCGTGACGTAACATCCGATGGTGTCACTCAGATCCGCAATCTTGGCGAAGTGCACCTGCCTATCGGAGTTGAGCGCAGCCGTCGAGTCTTTATGCCGGAGGCGATGTTCTCTGCTGTCCGCCGTGGCCGCTCTTCCGGTGCTCAGAAGCATCGTGCAGTGGTCGTGGCCGGCGGTGCACAGGGCCTGGGTATCGGCCTGGTTTCGCGACCCGACATGCAGGAGACGACGTTCCTGGACCTGTTTGACGTCAACCACCAGTTCCTGGTGCACTTCGGAGACTCCAAATCGACGGACGCCGATGCCTCGCCGAGTGCGCTTGGTCTCGTCGGTGTGGGTGTGGGTGCCTTGACGATGGTCGGCGGGCAAGCGGTTGGCCTCCGAGGTGCGATCGAAGGGTTCTTGCGTCTGAGCGATTTGTTCGCCAACGAGACAGCACGTAAATGGGCGCTCCCCGCTGTCGGGGCTGTGACTATCGGCGCGGTCGTCTACGTTGTACTCGAGCTCCCGAGCAGCATTCCCCGGACCATTGGTCGGCGCATCCGGGCTGCGGTTGAGGACGAGAACGAAACCGAGCTGCAATGGGAGTCGCAGCACGTCATCCGGATCGGTCGCGAGACTCGCAAGGTGCTGCGCTTGGCATCGTGGGATCTGCGTGAACGATTCCGGAGTGCGATGGAAGAGAGGGGGAAGGAAGTCAAGAACGCTGAGGACAGCGAAAAACGCGCACTCAAGGCTCAGGCATGGTTCACTGATGTGAGCGACCGGGTTGCAGCCGTTCGTGCGACAGCACACCTCGGTGAAGAGTGTGCGATTTAATGTCTCTTTAATCTCTATTACTATGCCTTTTCTTTCGTACTGTACACTAGCGCATACATACACATGTTGATGTACGAGCAACTAGTTGCCCACTTTGCGGTGAACCCGTTTGTGTCTCGTCAGCTGGTCTGCGCGTGCAAACGATTTGATACACCCTGGCTCCGTGCATTTGTGTGGTCTCTCTCCAGTGTGCGTCCGCAGCTGCAGTATTTTAGACGGTCGGCATCACGAAACATTCGATTGACTTACATGCTTGGAGAGGTTCGATGATTCAGCAAAGTGTCTGGTCCTGAATTAGTTCTTGGCTCGAGGTCAGAACAACAGCAATCAATACCTATCACATTGAGGGCATTTAAAGGGCCTCTCCCCGTTGTGTGTTCGTTTGTGGATGGTCAAGGCGCCTGCAATCGCAAAGGATTTCCCGCACCCGGGATGGTCGCACACAAACGGCCCTGGTTTTCTGGATAAGCAAGTGTGAGCAGCAGAAGAGGGGGATCACTCGCTCTCCAATGTATGTCTTCTCATGTGTTGTTGCAGCGTAGCAGCCTCAGAAAAGTGCTGCATGCAAATCTGGCATTGGAACGGGCGGTGCTTGGTGTGCGACTGGAGATGACGACTGAGCTTCTGCTTGCTTGTGAAACCGTTGTCTCCGTGTCGACTACAGTCCCCCCAAAAGCAATCATACGCCATCTTTCCAGAACCGACGTGGGCATTTGCCAGATGTTGTGTGAGGTCATCAGAAGAAGTAAATGATTCCCCGCACAATGCCCATCGGCAGACATGTTCTGCCACGGCAGCCGTCGGGGCTGGCGCAGTCTCCTCGACAGAGCTTTTCGAGTGGTGGTGGTGCTCGCCGCATTCGGGGACATAGCCCAGCCCCAAATGGTCGTGGAGCAGATGCGAAGACAGCAATCCAAAGAAAGTGTCAAAGTCACCCGATGAAGGGCCAGGCATCGAATAGGGCGTCGGATAGACGCTACAATCCTTCCATTGGCACGCCATTGCAGGGGGATCGTAGTGCGTCTTGCCAGGCAAGTGTGCGACGTTGACGTGCTCTGCGAGATCCAGAGGACCGTTGAATCGGTCTGCACAGTCACCCCACATGCATGCCGAGGTGAGCATATTATCCAGATCGGCTTGAGAGGAGGGGGTCGAGGATATCGGAGAGCTCCGCGTGGATGTATCGCTAGGCTCGTCAATATGAGTGTGCATGGCACCGTGAGGCGTGTGAGCTTCAGAATGAGAGCCTGCTTCACAAGAGCACATAAAATTCTTGAGACATGGGTCCCAGGCCCATCTTGCATCCGGGTTATGTCGGGGTTCCTCGTAGTATGCGTGGAAATCTGTGCAGCATTGCAACTGTCGAGCATCGATGGGCGTACAGGATGGAAGAAGCGATATGATACGCACGAATTCGTCGAGTCCATCGCATTCGCCGTCTTCACAGACGACTTGGCAATGGTCTCCCGCACAGGATACCTCGCTGCAAGCAGGGGCTTGCTGTTCGTTTGCCGTGCATGCCACGACAATGCATTGATCAGTGCACTGATACGTGATTTCGGGGGCGACGTGGCAGTCTGTGCACGTATTTTCAGTGTGAATTGCAGAGAGCATTAGTGACAAGTTAAAAGAAGAGGGTGTGAATTGAGCTCGGAATTCAAGACTGTGGAGGTACTCTGCGATCGCTTAATGCGCCATTGATCGGATCACTCCGCTGTCCGACACCCACTGCGGTGCCATCTCTAATCTACGGTCCATTCGATTTGATTTGACCCAGTTATTGGCTACTTGGAAACTCTTCGCACCTGGATAATCAACGTTCAAAACCACCAAATCCATCGTGGATCACTCTTCCAACTTCAAAGTTTCCTTTTTCGTCTCAAGGTAAGGACGATTGGCTCATGGCCCATGTCTGTGGAGAAAAGCAAAAAAATCAAACAAGAGGAAAGGAGAAAGATCGAGGGAAAAGGGAGGTTACATTATAATTCATGTTTGATAATGGGACTTTTTGAGCAAAATATCGTACTTATCATGGATTGTACAGGCTGTATCGCGAGAGTGGCTCAAGGTCAGTGACTTTGAAAACACCTGATGTCGGAGTTGATGCGATGCCCCGAGTCTATTCGGGGCAATATCCTCATTTGGGCTAAGGTCCAGCCAATTAGAATCAAACAACTCTCGCAACAGGCGGGTCGGAAAATGCCGCCTCCGAGATCACCCGTGATTACCGTTTTCGCGTCATGACAACATCATCCCACGTGCATCGATCACTGTTCAAGTTCTGTTGAGTGATAGAGAATGAGAACTTATCATGTTGACTAAACTACTTCTCCCACATATGCTGTCTATAACTATTATCTGGATTTTTATAGAATAAGCCGGAGATCGTTCGTAATCACTAAGTAAACTAAGTAAGCTTAGTAGTGATAAGTAATGGATCTCGTATGCCCCACAATAAGCCCGAACCCCGGTATGACCCATGTGCTTGGTGCCTCGGGTGAATAGACGCGCGCAGAATTTGTTCTGTGGAGTGGCTGAGTTCTGTAATCATCGAAGGCCATCCTGTGCTAAGTATGCGCTATACTTGAGTTTCAAAGCGTGTTGCTCAAATGTTGCTCAAATCATTTTTTAAACTGGGAGAACCGGGACCTTGGGATGAGTCAATCCACGGTCAATGACACAATTCGAAATCATTGTACGGTTTCTAACAATCTGCATCAAATGGCCCCCAAAGTTATCTAAGATATTCAAAATTTGCAACCGGTCGGACTCGAACGTCCAGCTCCTTGCGTGACTGCCGAGATGCCGAACACACAGCCACATAGCCTATGTCCATACTGGGTACTTGGGCTCCACAGGCATGACGCACGAGCCGGACGAGGCTCATGGCCCATGTCTGTGGAGAAAAGCAAAAAAATCAAACAAGAGGAAAGGAGAAAGATCGAGGGAAAAGGGAGGTTACATTATAATTCATGTTTGATAATGGGACTTTTTGAGCAAAATATCGTACTTATCATGGATTGTACAGGCTGTATCGCGAGAGTGGCTCAAGGTCAGTGACTTTGAAAACACCTGATGTCGGAGTTGATGCGATGCCCCGAGTCTATTCGGGGCAATATCCTCATTTGGGCTAAGGTCCAGCCAATTAGAATCAAACAACTCTCGCAACAGGCGGGTCGGAAAATGCCGCCTCCGAGATCACCCGTGATTACCGTTTTCGCGTCATGACAACATCATCCCACGTGCATCGATCACTGTTCAAGTTCTGTTGAGTGATAGAGAATGAGAACTTATCATGTTGACTAAACTACTTCTCCCACATATGCTGTCTATAACTATTATCTGGATTTTTATAGAATAAGCCGGAGATCGTTCGTAATCACTAAGTAAACTAAGTAAGCTTAGTAGTGATAAGTAATGGATCTCGTATGCCCCACAATAAGCCCGAACCCCGGTATGACCCATGTGCTTGGTGCCTCGGGTGAATAGACGCGCGCAGAATTTGTTCTGTGGAGTGGCTGAGTTCTGTAATCATCGAAGGCCATCCTGTGCTAAGTATGCGCTATACTTGAGTTTCAAAGCGTGTTGCTCAAATGTTGCTCAAATCATTTTTTAAACTGGGAGAACCGGGACCTTGGGATGAGTCAATCCACGGTCAATGACACAATTCGAAATCATTGTACGGTTTCTAACAATCTGCATCAAATGGCCCCCAAAGTTATCTAAGATATTCAAAATTTGCAACCGGTCGGACTCGAACGTCCAGCTCCTTGCGTGACTGCCGAGATGCCGAACACACAGCCACATAGCCTATGTCCATACTGGGTACTTGGGCTCCACAGGCATGACGCACGAGCCGGACGATTTGAGTAATCAGATTTTGGTAATTGCGAGATCAGAGCTTACAAAACCTGCCGGCGTACATGCAGTCGCTGATCCGTCTAGAAAAATCCAGCGCGAAAGTCCTGAGTTTTGTCGGTGGGAGCCTCAAGCGCCCTCGGCGCCGGCTAACGTAATGGAATAAGTACATTAGTGATCAATTGCGCGCAAGAAATCCTTGGAGCGTTGAGCGCTGGACACTGATACATAACGCAAGAAAGAGACGAGCTATTCCCCATGAAAAGTCACTAGGAAAACATGTTTCTCCGAAATAAGTGACGGGCTGCCACGGTTTCATTCGCGCCATCTATACAATATCTGCAGCCGCAGCCGTGAACCTCTTAACAGCCTCTCCTGATCAGAGCTAACTTCTGCAGACCGAGCCTGGTCGAGCTAGTATCCTTTCTATTGCATCATACTTGACGCGACTGCGGCGTTAGATTGAATGCGCAGGGATGCTGATTGCGATCTGGGTCATGAAGCAGAACGACCTAGTCTTTTGAAAAATTCGAAGAGTCATCTTGTAAAAACACAACAGGGTAAATATGCACATAGCGCAATATCCAAGAGAGGAACAGCAGCACAGTAGATTAGAATCTGGATCAAGTTACCGATAATAAGTGGGGTTTGTTTGGCGATCCTTCTTCCTCCAATGCACCCATGTCATTTTTTGGCCTCCCGGGACACGACTTAGAAGCCGAGCGCGAAAGTATACGCAAAGGCGGTGGCCTGTCCGAAGATGTAGCTGTTTACACGTGGGGCGAAGAGAGTTACGATGGGCTGGGGGACGCGTTACAGGAAGGCGGCGATGATTTCAACGACGAAACTTTTGGTGACAGTGGGACTGTTGGTAGGGATTACACGCACTTCTGCCACACAGCACTGTTAAGTAATTTGACAGGGAAGGATTTCGATTTCGCGGGCCAGCCAGGCGTGGGTCTACTTGAGTCGGAACGGTCTGCGCACCCTGTCGGCAACCGACTCGGACCCGATCCGCAATCCAAGCATCTCCGTGAGTTCATTCTCGTTTGTGTTTAATCGCAAGCCTCATTTTTGTCGAAGAGCCAGAATATCAACAAGTCCGACACACTCCGATTTCCTTGGAGTCTATCTGGAATGACAGCTCACTGCACCAGTTTGCAGACCGACAAGCCTCGCCTGCTATCCCCCGATTCTCTCCCTTTCTCGATTCGTCTCCCAGCTCCGGTCAGAGCCGGACGCTGCAAGATATCGAGGCAGACATGATCGCTCGTGCATCGCAGTCACGTCAACAGGAGGTCCGTCGCCAACAACGTCTGCTCCAGGAAGATGAGGAGCGGATGCTGCAAGAACAAGTGTACCAGCGCCAGCGCCTTTCCATGGAGCGTGAGCGGGAAAATCGGGAGCTGCAGCTGCAAGCATTGCAACGCCTCCAGCAACAGCAAATGATGCAGATGCGACAGCAGGCGACCCAACATCATGCACATCAGCGCACGCCGCCACCCCGGATGATCACCGCGTCTCAGTCGCCTCGATTCTTGGATCAGCGCCAGATGTTGCTGTTACAACAACAGCAACGGGAAGATGAGTTGATGCAGCTGAGGTTGCAGGAGCAATTGCAAATCGAGGATCTGGAGAGACAGTTGCGGGCTCAGCAGATTTCGCAACTGAACCAAGGGCCGGCACACTTTCCTCATCGACGGCTGCCCTCGGGCCCGTCGTTGGCTGAGATGCAGGCATTGCAGCAGCAGCAGCAAATGCACCGGCGACAGCATTCACAGTCGCCCGGCTTCCAAGAGCACAACGGTACACCGCAGCAGATCCAGCAGCAGCGACTTTTGGCCGAGATGGCAGCACAGGCCGAGTATCTTAGAGAAGTCCAAGGCACTTCGCATGCTGATCAAGAGGTTTTGAGAGCCGAGGCTATGCGAAAGATTGTAGAGGCCGAGAGGATGGAAGATAGGAGGCGAAGGAAGGCAGCTAAAATTGCGCATATGGTTCGTCCAGTTCTATTGGAAATGTTTCACTCTCATCTTAGAGTCGGCAGGCCCGGTATAACGACCTCATGACCCAGTCTGACAAGGACTTCATCACGCGCATCCAAGTCTCACAGCTGGTGACGCCCGATCCCTATGCAGACGACTTTTATGCGCAAGTCTACAGTGCGATCCAGCGGTCACGAATGGGTCTTCAGTCAGGTGATGAGCGAATCCTCAAGTTTGGCTCCAGCGGCGGGATTAGCCTGGGTGCTCCTCAGAAAGGACCAACGAGACGGCCCAACGCCATGCAGAGAATGGAGCAACAGGTCGAGAGAATCGTTAGCGCGGCCAGGAAGAGGGAGGCGGAAAAGGGCACCAATCGTGGGGTTGTTTCTTGCTTGTTTATGGATTGTCGCTCATTGATCGGCAGCGGTGCATAATCTGCAAGGGGCTCTGGGAAAGACGTCTGGAAGAAGCTACAAAGCAGCTCCTCGGCAGTTGCTGCAAGTGGACGACAACGCCAGTCCGCCTGTTGACGCCCAACCCAACGAAGCGGCTGCACTGGAAACAGCGCGGATGAATCAAGCCCTGGGTGACGTGCGTAATTGCTTTCGTTCTTACTCGGATGCCCATCGTTCTCTAGGCTGGAGTTGTGCGCCAAGACCCGCTGACCCGCCGTGAGGTGTTGACCATACTTGAGTCCTTGTACGACTTGGTTCTCAAAGTAGAGCATCTACGACGAGAGCAGCCAGATCCGCAGGAGGACGAGGCTGCCCTTGTGCGGTGGTTTGTCCTCTCTCGGCTCAACTGGAGTTCTCACTGAATTGTTCCCAGGCAAGTGGAATATGATCAACTTGTCGAACAACTCTGGGAAGGGTTGCGAGTGATGGTCCCTCTGGAAACTAGCAACCCGCACCCATTCGTCTCGCTCTTGGGTCCGAGCAAAGGCAAAAAGATTCTTCCGCGTTTGACCAGACACATCGGACCTAGCCGCATGCTTACCCTGATGACTTTGCTTGTTGCGTGTTTCCATCAACTGGATGTGGTCAGAAGCGCCCCATTGCTAGACTCGCTCGACGACTCACCTGAACGGGCCGAGGCTGACCGCCAAACCCAAGCATTTTTGACCAGTGTGTTACAGAGCATCCTTCCGATCGTGGCCAAGTTGGAGCTGCACGTCGTCACTGCGTTGATGGGGTTGCTGATTGACCGCAGCCCCAATGTCGGTGCGCTGGCTATGACTAAGGTCTGTGTTCTAGTTTTCTGGGATGCGTTGTCTGACTTTTGTATTCATCCAGCCTGGACTCGCTCTGTTGACCTTGTTTTTGAGTCGGGTTGAGATCATCAAGCAGTCATGGACGACTGGCCAAGAGGCGATCGAGCCCAGCTCAGCTGAAGCGGCCTTGTTTGAGTGGTAAGAGTTCATCTGGTGCAATTTTTCACGCAGCTGAACTGGGGGCCAGGCAAACTGTGTTTGACCAGTTTTTCGTGCTGCTGACACCGAATCTGGCATTGCTCTTCCCATCGAGCCGCATTATTTTGCCGTCGCAGGTTGCGCCGACCGCCGCGCTTGAAATCGACATCATGGACCAGCCAGTGTGGCAATTCCTTGCCGCTTTGGCACTGCAGGCTGTGCCCGATCAGCACTCTATTCTCGTGACGTCTCTGCGAGAAAAGGTGCTCGAAAATGTGCTCAGCGCCAACAAGGGCTGGGTCGCCGACGAAGACGAACGTCGCACAAAACTCGCCAACGTGAACCTTTTCCTCCACGCTCTGGGTTTAGATAGCTCGCAGATAAATTTGTGAATCTCTGTCGATCTTATGTTATTCAGTCTCGTGTACATACCGTGTGACGCGTGACGCGTCGTGTCGAGCTTTGCCCAAAATAGACATAGATCATCCTGACGTGGAACTCTGTGCGACCACATCCTCTAGTTGGAACCCTCCATTCTCTTTGGCCTCCGACATCCGGTCTGTCGTGCTGGCTGGAACTTCGGACCCATGCAATCATTATTCACCTTTGTCGTATTCTGCCTCGGCCTGTCAGGACTTTTGCATGCCAAGTCCAGCACCGGAGACTCTGTGCTCGTCGTAGTCGAGGAAGCGAAGCAGAAGGATTACAGTATATTCTTCGATAGTCTCAAAGGTACGCTCAACTGGCGAATGGTGTGCTCGCGTTTGCTGACCAGAGGATACAGAGCAGGGATATGAACTGACGTTCCGCGTTCCCAAGGACCAGACGCCGCCCGTCTTTGAGTTCGACGTTCCTACGTTCTCTCATATCATCGTGCTCTCATCTGAAACCAAAAGTACGTGTTGTCCGACGCGTTGATTCCTGAGACGAAACTGAACTTGTGGCTCAGCGTACGGCAAGGACATCACCCCGCAGTCGCTGATTGACCTTGCGTCGAGCGGCACGAACCTCATCCTCACACTCTCCCAAAAGCAGACCCCTCTAGCGTCTCTCGCAGCCGAGTTCAATCTCATTCTCCCGCCGCCCAGCACCCCACTGGTCTCGTTCTTCCCTGAGCGCGAAGAGCCTCTGACCGTCGTCCCCGTCCCGGTTCCTGCATCGCACATCGTCTCCTCGAACACGCCTGTGTGGTTCTCCGGGGTCCCCCACGCTCAGGGGAACAGCCCTCAACTCGTGCCCATTCTCAAGGCCCCTGCCGAGAGCTTCGCTGCCGACGTAGACAGCGGCGCAGATGCTATCGCTGACACCGTAGAGAAGGGTGGCGAAGGCCTGTGGGCTGGAAGCCAACTTGGGCTTGTCACCGGCTTCCAGGTCGCGGGCGGCGCTCGTGTCAGCTGGGTCGGCAGTGCTGAAATGTTCAGCAACGACTTTGCCACGAAACCTGTTACCAAGTATATTCTCCACCAATTCTGCTGTATATTCGCCGCTAATCTGACTTTGCAGGGGCGTGGAGTCTGGGAATGCCCAGTTCCTCCGTGAACTGGTTGCCTGGACCTTCCAAGAGTCGTTGGTTTTGCGTATCGACAGCACCAGCCATCATCTCGTCAACGCGTCGGAGCCGCTCGAGTTGTATACCACCAATGATAACCTTGTGCGTTGATCCTTGGGCTTTTCCAGTCTGCGGGATTGCCCTGACCGCAACTTCCCAGGTCTACTCGGCTCATATCTCCCGCTTCAACCCCAAGACGTCTACTTGGGTGCCCTATTCCGGGATTGACGACATGCAGCTCGAGTTCACGATGTTGGACCCCCATATCCGCACCGCCTTACTGCCTGTGGCTGGTTCGCCGGGCGAGTACTCGGTCACTTTCCGCGCACCTGACCGTCACGGCGTGTTCAAGTTTGTCATCAACTACAAGCGCAAAGGGTGAGCTCACGGCTGCACCGCCCCCTGGGTCCCCATGCTAATCGCACCGCAGCTGGACTCATCTGCACAGCTCGACGACAGTCTCTGTTGCACCTCCCCGACATGACGGGTATCCGCGCTTCCTGTCGGCTGCATGGCCGTACTACGCTGGGGCCATCAGCACCAGTGTCGCCTTTTTCTTGTTCTCTGCCGGATGGCTCGCAGGCGAATCCCGCGAAGGGAAAAAGTCTAAAGGGACCAAGGCCCAGTAGTAGACCGGCTTGTTGTATAGCTATCGCTTGCGTCATCAAAGTCATTAATGATCCATTCTAAAAGTAAGAGAGAGAGACAGCTGGTATGTAAACTAGCGCTATCTATTCCTGCAGAATGTATCAGACACACGTTCGTCGGGTCAGCAGGCCTGCCCAACACACTTTTGCCGATTACTTTCCACCGGTCGTACCCATCCCCATGGCGGACTTGAACGAGTCGTAGATCCACCACTGGAAACCAGTGAGAGTACCTGGAGGCCCAGTCAATACGGCGCAGCAACGACAGCAGTGAGGGGAAACGCACCGATCATGATCACACGCGTGCCGAGACCCTTAGTGGCCAACGAGACGAGACCGACCTCTGATGCGATAGCACCAGCAGACTTGCCCTTGTTCTCAGCCTTTCCGAGCAGAGACACGAGCGAGTCGGCTGGGTGAGAGACGACAGCGCAGACGACACCGGCGAGGTAACCAGAGGCGAAGGTGACACCGAGTTGAGTGGGCTTGCTGTACGTTTCTTTGGGCTCGGGGAAGACGTGGGTGTAGAACAGCGAAACAATCTTCTCGAAGAAGAAGAATTTGGCCATGGTATACGGGATCTGCTCCCAGTCAGTGAGCTGCAGACATGATGAATGTGCGTACACACCTGACGAGACCAGAGGGGCACAAGCGAACCGAAGGGGAACCGGGTCTCAACCTTGGTGGCGCTCATCTTTGAGAGAGCAGCACCGAAGCCAGTGGGGAAGGTTCCCGTGGCACTGGTCTGAATCTTGACCTTGGTCATCTCGAGCGGGCACAGGGCAATGTCGGCGAAGACTTCAGCAGAGGCCGAACCAGCAAGCCAGATGGCAGGCTTGTACTTGTTGGACATCTCCTCGCCAGCGAGGTTCATGTAGGTGTCCTTGAAGACTTCGTAGAGACCATACTTGAACATGCCCTGCAGAGAGTAGCCGACAAATGTGGGCCCGAAGCCCTTCCAGATACCGGTCTGACCCTCCTCTTTTAGCAGAAGGCTCAAAGAGGGCATGAGACCCTTGTACTTGGCCGGGTTGACCTAAGTAAAATGTCAGTAAAAAAAACTGCCCGGGGCAGAGGAGAGCCGGCATCGCGCGACATACCTGCATGTTACACTTTGCGACATCGAGCGGAGTGATACCGGCGTGGGTAGCACCGCATGCGAGGGCACCGCCCAACATGCACTTGCTGTAGTAGCTCAAGTCATGGGGGACAGGGCCAATATTTCTATCGAGGGGGAAGAGGGATGAGGATCGAGCAGTGACGCAACGGGGAATGCTTACCTAGCGTCCCATTTCGGTGTGAGTGCAGAGGCCATCTGTGTCGTCGTCTAGAGTGGTCTACGAGACGGTTCTAGGAAAGAAAAGTTGTCTGGTGTCGCTCCGGACTGTTCCGATAGTGGATGGCCATTTGTATGATCGGGTCGGCCCGCGTCATCATTGATCCGCGGCAAACGCGCGCACGTGAGAGGTGGTTAACGCGACGCGTCTGGGTTATATAGGCCCCAGTATTCAAGGGCTGCTCAATTCTCAAGTCGTCCATTCAACCATCAGATTTGGTGAGTTTATAGGTGATGCCCCTCAGGTGAGAAGAACGAAAATATTGACAATAGATTGAAAGCCCAGCTATCATGAGTTGTGTCCACGCAAATGAGATGATTAGCGCTACGCGTCTAGGCTATAGGCCCCAATAAGAGCTACCAGTTCTATTTTTTTTCATCCAGCCACCAGCTTATATACACGATGCATCGATCCACATCTTGGGTGATGCCCAGCGGTGAGCAAACCTAAGGTATTGAGAACAGATTGAAAGCCCAGTTACAGAAGCACACATCCAAAATGAGTAATTTAACACCCGATGAAGCACTTTCTGCGGATTGGGTGGGATACTTCCCCACGCCCGTTGCATTACCCAAGTCTGAAGGTGCCAAGGACGAAAATCCATGTCCATCGGCAGTTATATAAGCTGATGACTAGATTGACGAGACGTCAGAATGCAGCAGCCCTAGATAGGCGGATACACCTGGACAGATGCACGTATCGTAGGGGCGCTCAAAGAGCAAGAGCCGACGGCTGCAGTAGAAGATCGCATGAAAACAACTCCTGTGAGAGACATCGCCACAGTAGGAGCTGTCAGGCCGTCTCTGATGCATTTGACATTATCTACCAGTGGGATTGCCGGAGATGGTGCGGGGAGGCGGTACTGATTGCTCTTCACAAGGGATTCGCGATCTGTACTCAGGGAAAAGCGCAACGCGCAGATGGCACGGTAGCCGCCCAACCCGGCGACAACGGAGGACCGCATGTGTAATGAATGCATTAGGAAGCCGTTACCGCAGCTCCGGCCCAGCCCATGTGTTTCAGTTCGTGTCTGTTTGATCTCATGTTTCAGGGCCATCTCCTGCTTGTGCTCCTGAGCATCACTCGACGGTCTATAGTGGGCGTGAGTACTAGAAAACGACGCACAGCGAGTCGCCAGCTGCGACGGAAAGCGACCAGAACGAACACAGCACTTCCATCCATCCATCTATCAGCACCTCACTCTGCCAGCGAGGAGCTTGGCAAGGGCGATCTGACAGACTTGAAACGGATCACTTGATATGTGAAAGACCATCAAATCAATCGCTCAGATAGTAGATTTGATGGTTGCAATCTTTGAACGAATAAAACCTGGGGTCATCGATCCCTGAGCCTTAGGTTTCTTTCCCCTCCCTTCTCTCATCACACTTTCTTTTCGAGCCCGGTGCTCTTTTCTTCTAACCACCACACTTTTTCTCTTTTACTTTTTACTTTTCTTCTTCCAATCGTCATGAAGTCATTCACCCTGGTCTCCCTCCTCGCGTTCGCCACCTACGTCTCCGCTCAGGCTAACGGCGGTCCCCCCTTCGACCCAGCCGGTGTCAAGAACGTCGGAAATGGCGCTGGCGGACAGTTCATCGGTGGACAGTGCCTCAGTGGTGCCGACTGTGGATCAGGCTGCTGTGCCGGTCCGTCCGGTATCTGCTCGGGTGTCGGTGCCCAGACTCAGGCTGGCAAGACCGGATGTGGCTTCACCTCCGGATCGAGCTCCCTGAACAACGGCGCAGCTGCTCCTCCTCCAGCTGCCGCTGCTCCCCCTGCCGCCGGTGGCGCGCTCCCGCCCAACATCGGCGGCCCTCCATTCGACCCAGCCGGTGTTAAGAACGTCGGAAACGGCGCCGGTGGACAGTTCATCGGTGGCCAGTGCCTGAGCGGCGCTGACTGCGGATCAGGCTGCTGCGCCGGTCCCTCCGGTATCTGCTCTGGCGTCGGTGCCCAGACGCAAGCCGGAAAGACTGGATGCGGTTTCACCGCTGGATCGAGCTCGCTCAACAACGGCGCGGCTGCCCCTCCTCCTGCTGCGGCAGCACCCCCTCCTCCACCCCCTGCCGCTGCCGCTGCTCCCCCTCCCAACGTTGGCGGACCTCCCTTTGACCCTGCCGGTGTCAAGAACGTTGGAAATGGCAAGGGCACACAGTTCATCGGCGGACAGTGCTTGAACGCGGCCGACTGCGCGTCCGGCTGCTGCGCGGGCCCCTCTGGTATCTGCTCGGGTGTCGGTGCTCAGACTCAGGCTGGCAAGACTGGATGTGGTTTCACGGCTGGCGCAAGCTCGCTCAACAACGGTGCCGCCGCGCCTCCTCCGCCCCCTGCCGCCGCTGCCGCTCCCCCTGCCAACGTCGGTGGACCTCCCTTCGACCCGGCAGGTGTCAAGAACGTCGGAAACGGTGCCGGTGGACAGTTCATTGGTGGGCAATGCTTGAGCGGTGCCGACTGTGGCTCTGGATGCTGCGCCGGACCGTCAGGAATCTGCTCTGGTGTCGGTGCCCAGACTCAGGCTGGAAAGACGGGCTGTGGATTCATTGCCAAGCGCTTTGTGTCTCGTCGCGGTCGTCTGCTCTAAGTGAGTTTGTCCGTTGCTTCTATTTCGCGGTTCCTGATGATTGTAGTGACGTATTTGGTGTATGTATGTATAAGTAAAGTTGTAATGATGTGGTAGTATCCCGAAACTCGAATGTGATGACTGCTTGGATTTCTATTCTATTATTACAAGGGAACGAGGCGCAGAGAAAGTCTATACACCAACTAGTCCGTGTGGTGGACAGTCTCCAAAAAGTCGAGAATGCAACTGGAGCTCCAGGCCTGGGTGTTGCACGAATCGCCGCAGTACGCGCCATTTTCGTTGGTCAGCTCTGGAATTCCCGCCCACGGATCATTTTTAATGTGTTCCCGGGCTGGAAGCAGCATTTCGTGCAAGCGGTGGAGAGTCTCCTGCTTGTCCCTGCCACCGTCGAAATGCAGGCTTGCGCGCAGGAAGTAACCTAGCGGCCAGCCCCATTCCGGCCCCTGCTGCAATCAGCATGAGTTCCAAGGAGATATTTGCAAACACACATTGTGATAGTTCAGTCCCTTGGCGATGGCGGCGTCGTCCGAGTCGTTCGAATTGTCATATACCGGGCGGTACTGCATGTCACGTGAGTCCAGGGTCTTCATTCCAAGAGGGCTGCGGAGAGCGGTGTCAGCGATGGCCAAGGCGCCCGCGGCGTGCTGCGCATCGAATAACTCGGGCGCAACGGTCATGGCAATCGGGAAGTTGGGCCGCAGCTGGTAGTCAGACCACTCCCGGCCAAGACCTGATCCATACACATCCTTGTAGATCCCTCGCCTGTTCACCAGCTTGCTGTCGACATGGTACTGGTTGTCGTCCGCGGCATTCACCGGCACGTAGTAGCACTTTTCAAACGATGCCTGGATCAACCCCGCCCATTCCTTGTATGTCACAAGGCGCTCCTTGCCGTCGACTAGATGATAAGATAAGCCAAGAGATAAGATCAAGATCTGAGCAGCACGCACTGGTCGCTTGAACACCCTTGAACGGGAATCTGCCCGCACGTGACAGCTCATCGACCCAGCGCAGAGTGCTCGCCAACAACCCGGTGATCTCGACCGGCGCACCATCGCGAGGCGTTCCGGGAACACCCTTCGTGCCGGCTCGTGCCGACTCGCCCATCTTGTCCATCCATGTGCCGCAGTTGTCGGCATTTCCGCCAGAGACAAGCCCCGTCGTCCAGTCGACCTGGATGTCGATATTGAATCCGTTGTCTTTCATTTGCATGTCCAGCTCCGGTCCAGCATTGTACTCTCGGAAATGGATCCCCGTTGCGTGACGCTGGAGAATCTCCTGGATGATCTCTGCGATGGTGGAACTGTACGCATAGGCACGTGAGTCGTCCCACGCAACCCACGCGTCGTCTTTGGGGAACCGCCGTTTCACCGACTCGCCCAGGATCGACAATCCGTCGGGAGCCATCGTCGCGTAGTCCTGAATGTTCTGAAGCATCCACCACGGCGAATCACGTGAATTGTATCGTGGTTTGCGCACAGAATCCAGCAAATTCGGAATCAGGCCGTGTTTCAAGGTCGACGCAAACGCCATCAGATGCTTTTTGGCGCCGACAAAATTGCCTGTCGTCAAAAACAGCCCACGAAGTGCGATGAACACATCCCGACCCCAGCAGCGAGCCCAGCCAGCGGCAAAGTGTGGCAGACCAGCAGCGAGTGATGGCGTCGATGTGCCCGGATCAAGCGATGCCGAATGGACCAACCCATGAAGTTGCACGGAGCTCATGGCAAGATCCTGCGTGAACGAGTGCCCGCTTGACACAAATTCGGAGCACTGCTCGACGACCGCAGCACGTGCGGCTTTGTAAGCTTCTGAAATAATCAATGCAAAGTATTTCGGGCGCAGATGCGGGGGAACATTGGCCTTGACGCGCTCGAATCGATCCTGCAGCCAGATCGCAGGCCTGGACAGGCGCGGCATCGAATCCGCCTGCTTGGATAGACGCTGGTGGACATAATCAAAGGCCCAGGTGCCCTCGCGTAGATGCCCACACAGCGGGTGCCCCAGATCATTGTAGCGCATGATGTGCCGCAGGGGATGCATCCATCCCTCCAGCCCGCAGTACACCAGCCGTCCATGTCCGGGAACATCATACACTCCGTACTCCCCCGAGCTCGCATCTCGCTCCTCGCCGTCCGCTCGATACAACACCACATTCAGGTCGACCAGGTCCAAATCGCCCATGGCTTCCTTGGCCCCAGCCGCACAGAACGTGTCCAGGCTTTCGTCGTGATCCTCGAGCATCGTCTCAAAAACCATGATGCTCCCTGGAGGAAAGTATTCTGGAACGACAACCTCCGAGTACGGGCCCGCATCATCCACGCCCTGGACAGCAACAACCGGTTCCATTCCCACAAGCTTCGCAGGCATCCCTCGTAGAGTCTTGGAGTCTTGAGGCACCTCATATGACGCAAATTCTAGACTGGCACCCATCACAAACTTGGCCTTGGTACGTCGAAGCTTGACGGGCTCAACTTTCGAATGCCGTCAGTTAAATGTGGCACTCCGTCAGCTAATACCACCCACTGAAGCCCCGGTCCTTGGATCCCTTGTGGAATGCAGTATGTGCCACAAGAAGGTACCCTCTTTGAGAGGTCGGCTGAACACGATGCAGAACAATGTACTAATCTCAATCGTCAGCAACATCAGATAGCTGGCCACAGCACTCACTTCATTCTCCTGGTGAACGTGGCCCTCCTCGTACCCACCAAGCGCCATCTCCAGATGCAGTCCATTCAGCACGTGTTTTGCGCGAGCAATACCGCTCTTTTCGCCTAGTCCCGTTAGCTCATAGTGTCGCTTCTCCCCAACTAGATCCAATAGCTTCGGGTAGAGATCGTCAAATCCCTTGACAGAGCCAATGGCCGAAAAGCTGAATGTCGCCAGTGCACCCGTCGAAAGTGCATCTTCAGCGGATCGCTTGTCCAGATACGTCTCGTTGTCGTGCGTCAGGTCGTACAGCAGCGCATGCGGTGTCGATCCATTCAGGATGGTCACCTGACACTGCCGGACAGGTCCTTTGCCGGTGGGAGAGGCAAGCTCAGATATGCTGGTCATGCAGGCCCCATCCATGGACCCTACAGAGTACATCAGCCAATGCATTATACAGTGGAAATCACCCACCAATGGGTTTGCCGAGGCCGTTGCGGTACAACAGGCGCGAGAGCTCCTTGGGATCCCATCCGTTGCCACTCTCCCGAACCAAGCTGTTGATCCCCAATCGCTTGACAAATAGCATATCCATGTCCTCGCTCCCAGTAAACAGCTCGGCACACACGTAGAGATCAGGGTTGACCACGCGAGCAGCATCCAGCATCGCAACTCCGACATGCAGAGGTGTCGAGTGACAATTGTCGATACGGAACCCATCAAATGTGCCAGCAAGTTCTGCGACGTACGAAGTCATGTGTTTCCACAGCCAGGGATTGTCTTCAGGCCCAGAACCATACCGGAGTTTCACGCAATCTCCCCAAACAATGACCTCACGCCGTAAATAGCACTTGGACGGCAGCTCCGCAAAGTTCTTCAAAGGGTCCGCTGCCCAGATCCAACCGTTGTTGGCCAGGGAATATACCAGCGGATCTGCTTCGGGGGTGGGAGCGATCCGAGTAAAGTAGGGCTCTACCATAGGAGAGCTTGACCAGGTGAGATAGAAGCGAAGAGAATGAACAAGCAGAGAAGACTGACGATTTCGAAATTTCCCCCAGCTTGGGACCATGCTCGTCAAGGCGCGTGTACTTGAGACGATTCTTCACATTGTCCGACGCGACACCTGCGTCTTCCTCGCATTCCCGGTACAGCGAAACATTGATCACGTCCACAACGCGAGCCCAAGCGTCCACAAGAGAATCGATCTCGGAAATATCGACAAACGCTGCCTTGACGAATCCAGCAGCCACGCCAGGATCCACACTGACGCCGAACCGTGACGCATACTTTCCAAGTCCGATAATCTTGCCAGAGGCACGGAGAATCTCAGCGATCTCGACGACAGACTTGTAAGCGACTGTTGGCCCATCCCAGGCAGTGATCTTGTTGGCGACAAGGGCAGCTCTGACCGTGTCCTTCTCGCGAGCAACGTCGACAACGTAGTACTGCCACAGATTAAGGCCCTTCATCATATCTTGAAAGGCAGAGCAGATTCGCTCGAGATCCTGCTCGTTGTTGACGAAGGTGGGAAGTCCCTTGGAGCCCAGTTCACTCGAGAATTGAATTATCGCACTGTCAAGCTCGAGAGCGGGAGTGAGATGAGGGGAATTCGCAGGACTAAAACCTGATTCGAGATTCAGTACCAAATATCTGGGCGAATGTAGACCAATAGACGCACCTGCTTCTGGATGATCGGCCAACCAAGCACTATCATCCGCTGTGTGATTAAGCACGACATCTGTCAGACTGAGCAAGCCATGCTCCTCCCGGGCAATCTTGAGGACAGCTTCGACTTGAGCCTTACCCCCATCTCCCTTGCGACTGGCACTTCCAAATATGCTCGGATCGTACTTGAGTTGGTCTCGGATGGAGTACGGGCTATCGCTGTGACCACGTTCTTGAAGCGGAGGGTAGTGGATCATCGTGTAGCCACGGTCACAAGCTTCGGCAAAGAATTTGGGCCATTCCGATGCGTCGCCCATCCACTTGGACACCAAAGTGAGGATGGATAGGCCATTCATGGGAAGGTTGGTCATCTGCGCGCCAAGCTTGGTCTGGGGAACGATCTTGCCATTATTCAAGACAGAATCGCGCGATTTCAGACGCAGAACAGGGTCTATGTTGAAATAACCCTCGCGTCCTTTGACGCGTTCGTTGGGGGAATCGCCGTCGTGTTCAACCCAGAAAACGAAGGCTCCCGCATGAGAGATGGGGAGATCGATTTGAATAGGCTTCGAAAAGTTCGTGGGCAATCTTTCAGACGAAAAATGAGGATCTATGCATGTCGAACAGGGGCAAAGAGCTAACCTGCGTTCACAGAACTGATCCCTTCCAAACTTGCCGCCGTCAAGAGGGAAGTTGGTCTTGAACACGCCGTTCTTGGAAGCAGCGGTACCGGCGTCAATAGAAACGCGCAGGATGTAAGGTATATATGCGGGAGGAAGGCGGATATACTGGCGAGATGGTTGGATCCGACGAAGTGAGATGAAGAGCTCAACGTACTGAGCGGTCCTTGTGGGGAGCCCCGTCGGCTTCAAGACGTAGTTCGTAGACTTGAATAGGCAACTCGCCCGGCACGACATTCGATTGAAAGAACTCGATTCCCTCATCAGCGGGCGTTTTGGGTGTCTGGGGTTCCACGGGGGAGGCTTGAGAGGAGGTAGCGCTCCCTTTAGACGCGCTGCGCTTGGGAATGGCGACCTTGGGTTTCTGGTATGAGTTTCTTTTGCTTTTGGCCATGATTGCAAAAAGAAGGGAAAGAGGAGAGATGCTTTCAAGAACTGCTTGACGAATTTAAGCCGCGACGCGGTGATGTCATGTCATGTTTGGCCGCGTCGCGTCGACGTCACTACTACTCTCTGCACACAGGCTGCGCCGGATTGGGAATGGGATTCTGAATGCTTACTTGAAGGACTTCCAGCGTAGGCATTCTTTGAAGATATCAGAGAGTAGCGAAAGCCATCGATCGTCGAAGGTGTTCGGCTTCAACTCCGAAATCCCCAGTTGTGCACAGCATCGCAGACTAAGCAGTGCAGTGGCACACACGATAGAGCTCAGTACGAAATAGGAAATGTAACACCGTGACCCTTCACTTGACACCTGGGACCATGTCGTCTAATCCCGGCGCGGCGGTACCGACTCAACGACCGGTTACCTCCAAGTCTCGGGGCATCTGCAAGTACTACGCCACACAACGTGGTTGCTTTGCTGGATCTGCGTGCAAATTCTTGCATGGGCCATCAGAGACGTATACACCTTACGACAAGGCAAAGTCATGCAGATTCTTCGCTGCGGGGTTCTGTAAGCGGGGCAGTGAATGCTGGTTTGCTCACATCAAGGGAAAGGACAAGGGGGCCATTGAAGATGAAGACGATCTTTGTTCTATCTGTTTCGATAAGCCTGTCACGTATGGTCTACTCAGTGCGTACCAGTCGCCTATCCAGATCCGTTCGTCTTCATAACGTTTCTTAGCTGGCTGCAGCCATATCTTTTGCATCACTGTACTATCTATTCCCTCTGGCTTCTTCCGTGCCCCGCCGATCTTCTCTTAGTGCATCAAGCAATGGCGAGATAAGTCGAACAAATCTGTGGATGTTGTGGAGTCCGGCAATACCAAGCGTTGCCCCATGTAGAGACAAAATTTGAAGCGATTGCCGTTTCTCATCTTCTCTAGGTGCCGTCAGTCCGCCCGGCATATCATTCCGTCGTCCAAGTTTTACGCTCAAGGCCAAGAAGAGAAGGACGTCGCCATGGCACGATATTTGGCAAGTATGAACAGAATACCATGCAGGTAAGTGTTTTCCTTGAATGGTGACACCGAAGCTATTGGACACTTATCGTCATAAGGTATTTCCAGCGATCGCTCGCAACCAAATCCGGACGGCCTTCCTGTCCCTTCGGAAAGGATTGCTTTTATCAGCACCGTAATTTAGACGGCACGCCGCACAAATTCTCGGAAGGCCACAACCCGCATAATCGAGTCAGTTTGTGTTGTTATGCTCCATGCAAAATACTGATTTAGCCAGCGCGATCCTTGGTCAAGTTTATTTGTTCACCGAGTTCCCGACTTTCTGAGAGCGTCCGAATTGATACAGACTCTTGAAGGCGTCCGAGTCTTGAACGATGGGCCTCCGAGTCATCCATTCGTATTTCACAGTCCGGGTGACGAGGTGTCTGTCATGCGTCATCGTCTTGACCTTCTGGCATGTCATCCCTTCTGGTGGACTTGATGTCGACTCCAATGACCATTTTATCAGGCTGACCACATGCTCGCATCACTCTCTGGAGAAATAGCGGACTGGACAGCCCAATTCACTGATGAGACAATACCTGCTCTTGAGGCCATCCCGCATCCATCTACAAACCACGCCGATGCGGAGGGTTCCGTGAATAACGCAGACGACACGCCCTCCCGAGCCTCTGTGTCTGACAACGTGGATGAGGCTGATGAAGAGGCAGAAGAGTCCAGTTCCGATGTCGAGTTGCTGCTTTCCACCCCCAGTCCCTTGAATTCTCGCCTGTCCCCGTCTCTATATCATCTTTCACCCGTCGAGCCCCCACCATCCTCACTTCCCGAATCTGGCGAGACCGTTAATAGTGAGATAGAGTTACAACCGACCGCCCGCGATCCTCCTTTTGTGACTGACGGTCGAGGAAGGGTCGTTTGGAGCCGTGCATCACAGCAGAGCGGTCTACTGACTGAACCAGCACCAGGACAACCTGAACCTGGAAGTGCCAGCGATCACACAGATCGCAGTAACGTCAACGATTCGACTGATTCGTCTCGTTCGTTACTCAGTCGCGCCTGGGGCTCTCTGATCTGAAGTGGATGCAACTCAAACCGCACCAGTGATACAATTTGTACAACAGATGACATAACACGCATACATTGCATTCTAAACTAGTTGGTTAAGAAGATGTGCCAGACAAAAAACCTAAACATAATGTGAGCATCGAGGGATGAGACGAGACCGAATATAAGAGAAGAGATCAGCTGGCTGTTCTTAGATTTTGTAATTCGTGTATGTCCCCATCGCCAGTGGCTTCGGAGTTGGTGTGAAGGTTCACATCATACAAGAAACGCATGGTCCATAGACTTACATCTTCACCTGTGGAAAGGGTTAGATTGAGCTTCAACTTATGAGAACAGGAGGAAAATCAGAGGTGCAACTGTTTGGCTTGTGCTCTGCCGTTCGTCACTGCTTAGCTACGACTGGGGCGGCAAAGAACTCATCCCATTATAGATGGAAACATGGACTAACCTTTCACACATCATAAGAGGAACATCCAGACACCATGAAGAGCGAAGAGATCAAGTCGAGGACTGATGACGACAGTGAAAAATCTGCGTTGGTTAAATAGTCCAAACAGGGTCACGTGTATGTGAAGCACGTGCAGTCGTCCTTGAGCTTAGTCACACCCTAGACTCATTCACTCTCACTTGTCACCCAACCTCTCCATGTCGGGTTCTCCGCGGCTTGTCGACTCTTTTACGGCTCCAAAGGAAATTCTGCAGGAGTTCGCAGATCTTGCGGAGGAGGAGAATGTCGACCCTTTCGCGGAAACGGCTTCCAAGCGTCAAATTGCTGCCCGTCAGTCTGACTACCACAACCGACGCTTCGACCGTGTCGGTGTTGCGAGCGGCGACGCGTTCGCTGAGGATGGGGAGCAGACTGAGGGGGGCTACAAGGACGCTATGCGACTCTCTCGGCTAGAGCAGGAAGAGTTGCGTGTGAAGAGGGCTATCCAGGACAAGGAGCGGCAAGAGAGAGAGGAGGGCAAGCTGAAAATGGACCTTGACAAGACGCCGCCTGCCTCGGAGCTCGACGATGTTGCCATGGAGCTTGCTGCTGCCAAGGAGCTTGCGACGGCCCAGCTGGAGTCGGGCAAACGCAAGCGGAGATGGGACGCAGGACCTGCCGACGAAAACACCAACCCGGCCAATACTGGTGAATGGTCGAATGAGTCCATCGAAGAGTCTGCTCCCAAGAAGCGTCGCTCGCGATGGGATGATACTGCCGGCCAAACTGCTACTGGAGAAACATCGAAACGTTCTCGATGGGACCAAACGCCCATGGCAGCAAGCGGCGGTGTTGAGACACCCATGGTTCCCATCATTATGAATGCGCCCGGAATCATGCAGGACGACAAACACAACCGATACATGACGGACGAAGAGCTCGATTCGTTACTTCCCGCCACGGGATATCTGCTCGTCACCCCTCCCGCAGGCTACGCGCCCACCATCGCACCCCGTCGCCTGATGGCTACTCCAATCGGCGACCAGTCTGGATTCCACATGCAGGAAGGCTCTGATGCTGCCGCGGCTGCGGCTGCAGCGGGTTTAGCTCCTGAGCTCCCAACGGAAATTCCCGGCGTGGGAAATCTCGCGTTCTTCAAAGCCGAGGACGCTCAATACTTTGCCAAAATTCTAAAGGAAGAGGACGAGACCGAGCTTTCTGTTGAGGAGATGAAGGAGCGTAAGATCATGCGCTTGCTTCTCAAAATCAAGAACGGAACGCCTCCCGTCCGAAAGACAGCGCTGCGACAAATCACCGACAAGGCTCGGGAGTTCGGTGCTGGCCCCCTCTTCGACAAGATTCTCCCGCTCCTCATGGAACGCACGCTGGAAGATCAGGAACGACACTTGCTTGTCAAAGTCATCGACCGGGTGCTTTACAAACTAGATGACCTGGTCCGACCCTATGTCCACAAGATTCTCGTCGTCATTGAGCCGCTGTTGATCGACGAGGACTACTATGCTCGTGTTGAAGGGCGCGAAATCATCTCCAATCTGTCCAAAGCCGCTGGTCTGGCGCATATGATTTCGACCATGCGTCCGGACATTGACCATGCCGACGAGTACGTGCGAAACACTACTGCGCGAGCCTTCTCGGTCGTGGCCTCTGCTCTGGGTATCCCGCAGCTGTTGCCTTTCCTCAAGGCTGTCTGTGGCTCCAAAAAGTCGTGGCAAGCTCGGCACACCGGTATCCGTATCGTGCAGCAGATTGCCATCATGATGGGATGTGCTGTGCTGCCGCATTTGCGCAATCTTGTCGACTGTATCGCCAGGGGCCTGTCTGACGAACAGCAGAAGGTCCGGACGATGACAGCTCTGGGCCTGGCTGCGTTGGCAGAGGCTGCTGCACCTTATGGCATTGAATCGTTTGACAACGTTCTCAAGCCGTTGTGGACGGGCATTCGTCTGCACCGAGGCAAAGGTCTCGCTGCCTTCCTCAAGGCCATCGGATATATCATCCCGTTGATGGACCCCGAGTACGCATCGTACTACACGAAGGAAGTCACCATCATCCTCATTCGCGAGTTCCAGACGTCAGACGAAGAGATGAAGAAGATCGTGCTCAAAGTAGTTCAGCAGTGCGCTGCGACCGAGGGTGTCACACCATCATACATCAAACACGACATTCTCCCCGACTTTTTCCGCTCGTTCTGGGTCCGTCGGATGGCGCTGGATCGCAGAAACTATCGCCAAGTTGTCGAGACCACCGTCGAGCTCGCCGAGAAAGCCGGCGTCGCCGAAATCGTCGGCCGGATCGTCAATGAGCTTAAGGACGAAGCTGAGCCCTACCGAAAGATGGTGATGGAGACAATCACCAAAGTGGTCGAGAAGCTGGGGGCGTCGGACATTGACGAGCGACTGGAGGTCCGGCTCATCGATGGGATCATCTACTCGTTCCAGGAGCAGACCACTGAAGACCAAGTCATGCTGGATGGGTTCGGGACAGTCGTCAACGCCCTGGGCATCCGTGTTAAGCCGTATCTGACCCAGATCGTGTCCACCATCCTTTGGCGACTCAACAACAAGAGCGCCAAGGTCCGACAACAAGCTGCCGATCTGACGACGCGTCTCGCCATCGTCATCAAACAGTGCGGCGAGGATCAGTTACTGAGCAAACTCGGTCTCGTGCTCTTCGAACAACTTGGAGAGGAATACCCCGACACGCTCGGCAGCATCATCGCAGCCGAAGGCGCCATCGCGAATGTTGTTGGTATGACTCAAATGAACCCGCCTGTGAAGGATCTATGTGCGTCTCTCTGACGATTTATCGATGTTGATGGTCTGATAGCTTTGCAGTGCCTCGAATGACCCCTATCTTGCGTAATCGACACGAAAAAGTGCAAGAGGCCTCTATCAATCTGATTGGTCGTATCGGTGAGACTCATCTTTCTGTGTTCCAATTTCTCTTCTAATGCTCTGTTCAGCTGATCGCGGTGCTGAATTCGTTCCTGCTCGAGAATGGATGCGGATCTGCTTTGAGCTGCTCGACCTGTTGAAAGCCCATAAGAAGGGTATCCGGCGAGCTGCAGTCAACTCCTTTGGGTACATCGCGAAGAGTTTGGGTCCTCAGGACGTCCTCTCCGTGTTGCTGACCAATCTGCGTGTCCAAGAACGTCAGAGTCGGGTCTGCAGTACCGTAGCCATCGCTATCGTTGCCGAAACATGTGGTCGTACGTCGTGTGCTTTCCAGTCATCCTCCCGCTTGCTCACACCTCATCCAGCTTTCACGTGCATTCCCGCCATCCTGAATGAATACCGGACCGCAGAGCTGAATGTCCGGACCGGCTGTTTGAAAGCGCTGTCTTTCGTGTTTGAGTATGTGGGCCCGCAGTCAGCCTACTACTGTGACTCTGTCGTGACGATGCTCGAGGACGCTTTAACCGACCGTGACTTGGTCCATCGACAGACCGCCAGCACGATCGTCAAGCATCTCGCTCTCGGTGTCGCCGGCCTAGGCTGCGAAGATTCCATGCTGCATCTGATGAACCTCGTCTGGCCCAACTGCTTTGAGACCTCGCCCCACGTCATTGGCGCTGTCATGGATGCCATCGAGGCTATGCGAGTCACGCTGGGCCCCGGGATCCTACTCAGCTATGTTCTGCAGGGTCTTTTCCATCCCGCTCGCAAGGTCAGGGAGGTGTACTGGAGGATTTACAACGCCTTGTACCTCGGCGCGGCCGATGTCATGGTCCCCTTTTTCCCCGATCTCAGCGAGTTGAGCGAGGGAACTAACAGCTACGATAAACACGCCTTACAAATGTTCATTTAATCTGTATATGTATCTTGTGCGGCTCCTTCATTGTACATACAATGGTATACATGGTGCTTCTGAATATGCTCTTACTAGTGGGGGTCGATCACGTGAATCCACGCCTCTTGCCCTTGACGGCCGACACGACATTGAGCCATCGCAGACCCCGGCACGACTTCTTTTTCACGTCACCTCTTCCCTCAGGTCGATCTCGCCTACTCTCTCGGGCTAGCTCCCAGGCATGGTCTATCACAATCTCAAAGGTGCTACCAGTCTCACGCAATCGTTGTCGGAGGAACTCATTCAATACAGCGCTCATCAAGGGCATCCGTGCCTGCAAGGTCATCACTTCATCGCGAACAGCTCCCGTTTGCTTATTTCCGGGTGCAGACAGTCGCAGATGAGCGTGCGCTCATCCAGCAAGAGTCCGCAGCCATAAGAACATCCTTCAAGGAGGAAGACTCGTTCGCGCGACACAACAACATCGCAAAGCTCCTGTATATCCACATGCTCGGGTCTCCGGCGCACTTTGGCCAAATCGAATGCCTGAAGCTCGTCGCGAGCCCGCGTTTTGCAGACAAGCGGCTCGGATATCTCGGGATCATGCTCTTGCTCGACGAGAGCCAGGAGACGCTGACCTTGGTCACCAACTCTCTCAAAAAGTAACTCTCCCGTTTTTACCGTGTTCTGTCCATCTTAGTGCTATCTGCAGCGACATGAACCACTCGAATATGTACGCGGTCGGCCTCGCACTATGCACCTTTGCCAACATTGCGTCGGAGGAGATGTCGCGGGATCTAGCCAATGAGATTGAGAAGCTGTTGGGCTCCAGCAACACCTACATTCGCAAGAAGGTGTGTGTGTTCCACCGTTCCAGTTACCCACAAACCGCTGACTGCGTCAGGCTGCTCTTTGTGCGCTGCGTGTGATCAAGAAAGTGCCCGAACTGGCCGACCATTTCACTGCGAAGGCCAAGAACTTGCTTACTGACCGCAACCACGGTGTCCTCCTCTCCTCCATCACACTGGTGACGGAAATGTGTCTGATAGAGACTACCATCCGGGATGAGTTCCGCAACGTCCGTGCGATTCCAATCGACATCATTATCAGCTTTTTGAAACATCCTATAGGCCGTTCCTCTGCTGGTCCGGAATCTGAAATCGCTCGTGACGACTGGGTACAGCCCCGAGCACGATGTGTCGGGCATCACCGATCCCTTCTTGCAGGTCAAGATCCTGCGTTTGCTCAGGCTGCTCGGACAAGGCGATGAGAAGGCTAGCGAAGCGATGAACGATATCCTGGCCCAAGTTGCGACTAATACTGACTCGACGAAGAACGTCGGAAACTCGATCCTGTACGAAACTGTGTTGACTGTGCTGGACATCGAAGCGGACACGGGTTTGCGGGTGATGGCGATCAACATCTTGGGCAAGTTCTTGAGCAATCGCGACAACAACATCCGGTATGTCAAATTCGAGTGACACCAGAGATGTGTATTGAATCGTGCCAGTTACGTGGCCCTCAACACGCTGAACAAGGTGGTTTCGATGGACACCAACGCCGTGCAGCGTCACCGGAACATCATTCTCGACTGTCTTCGCGACGGCGACATTTCAATCCGCCGACGAGCGCTGGAGTTGTCCTACGCCCTCATCAACGAACAGAACGTCCGTGTGCTCGTGCGCGAGCTGCTCGCCTTTCTCGAGGTGGCCGACGACGAATTCAAGCTGGGCATGACCACCCAGATCTCGTTGGCAGCCGAACGTTTCGCGCCCAACAAGCGGTGGCATATCGACACTGTGTTGCGCTTCCTCCGGCTGGTCAGTCCACTTCATCTTCTCTCACAGGTGGACACTGAGCCTCTCTCCAGGCCGGCAACTTTGTTCGCGAGGAGATTCTCTCTGCGTTCATTCGACTGGTTGCGCACACGCCTGAGCTGCAGGCTTACACCGCGTCGAAGCTGTACACCGCGTTGACCGCGGATATTTCTCAGGAGTCTCTGACTCTCGCTGCGACCTGGGTGATTGCCGAGTACAGCGAGCTCTTGCTCGAAGGTGGCATCGTGGAAGAGGAAACCCACAAATCCGTCTCTGACAAAGATCTGATTGACCTGCTCGTGTCGATTCTGGACTCGCCTTACGCCAATCAGCTCACGCGACAATTTGTCTTGACCGCTGTGACCAAGATATCCTCCCGTCCCACAGTTACTGTGGCGCAGCAAGACCGCATCTCGGAATTGCTGGCGCAGTATGCAACGAGTCCAGAACTCGAGCTCCAGCAACGGGCAGTTGAGTTTGTGAGTCTGTTCAATCTGGGCGGAGACATGAAAGAGGGTGTTCTCGAGAAGATGCCACCGCCAGAACTGAAGGCGACTGTGATCGGAGTTGGCAAGTGGATCTGACCGAGCGTTTGACAATGCAGCTGACCTCTGCATCAGTCAGTGAACAGAAGCCAGTCGGCTCGACAAGATCAACTGCTGTCGACGTGCGTTATAATCCTTGCCTTGATCCTATGTTTTTGATTGTCCTCCAGGATCTCATCGGTTCCGCCGACGATCTGGTGCAAAGCCCGGTCAACGGCAGCGCTTCAGCTCAGAACAACGCTGACCTCTTGCGCGATATATTCGGCAGTGTATCAGATCAACCTGCAGCCGCACCAGCCGCAGCCCCTCGCTCCACTGTGGACGATATCATGGGGCTGTTCGGTTCTCCGCCTGTGACTGCTCAAGCTGCTCCTCCGCCTGCCCCCGCTCCGACATCAGACCCGATGTCGATCTTCAATTTGGCAGCCGCACAGCCGGCTCAACCACCTCCACCACCAGCTGCGCCGCGGCTGACGTCGTATACGGCGTACGAGAAGAACGAGCTGAAGATCACGTTGACGCCGCAGACGTCGCCGACTCAGCCGGGGACTGTGATGATCATGGCGCGCTTCCAGGTCACAGGCAGTAATGACGCAACGGGAATCAGCTTCCAGGCCGCCGTTCCAAAGGTACTTGCCTGCCTATCAGCTTTCGCACGCAGGCTGACCTATCTCAGTCGCAACAACTCCAAATGCTGCCCATGTCCAACACAGACGTGAAGCCAGGAGCCGCCGAAACTCAGCGCATGAAAGTCGTTGCACCAGTCGGGGTCAGTCGGTTTCGATAACATATCCCGTCGTTTGCTGAGCGGTGATTTCTAGAGCGCCGTGCGACTGCGACTGCGAATATCGTTCTCGATTGCTGGGAATGCGGTGCAGGAGCAAGTAGACTTTTCAGGCTTCCCGCCAAATTTGACGACGGCGGGGACGTGATATTATTTGATTTTTCTTCTCTCCATATCGTGAGCCTGTGAAGTCTTGAGTCTAGTGGATTGCGACACACCAATACGACTGAGAAATGAGATCTCGAGGGACCATGATGTCGCGACTACGAGTGTATTGGATCGCTTTCTTGTAGTGGTCCATCCGGTCCTGGGCATTTTTGGAATATTTTGATCCATGCAGTGAACATACTTGCACAGATGGTGGCTTTCCTACAGTAGATGGCTCTAAATCCGTGGGCAGACTTGGCCGAAACTAACCCGTAGCTGTTGGTAAGGTAAGTTACCTTACCTTAGATTCGTTGAAGTGCCCCGGGCCGGCAGTCGTGTTGATGCCCGGAAGGACCGACATACTGCAAGTAAGCGCTCTGTGCTGTGCCACAGTCCGGATTTGTGTCTTGTCTTCTCCCAACTACTCATCGGCCCATGATGAAGCTGTCCGCCAAGTTGGGTCTCCTGACCGATCTCAGGGCCGCGTTCGCCGTTGCTTTCATCCCGACCCTCAAGCATATATGGGCAAACCCGCTGCTGCTCTTACGCCCTGCTACTCTGTCGAGATTCTTCATGAATCAAGTTGGGTTGTGACGCTTGATTGAGTGCGGCCATTTTCATGCCGCTTAGGTCTGGACGGCGTTTGGCGCGCCCACAGATGAGATGGGTCGACCGGTCAAGCAGGATCTCATCTCACCGTATGCGAAGGGGGGCGTGCTTGACATTGGCGCAGGTCGGTGCACTCCTGCGCTCGGACTTTCTGAGCTGTCCGCTGATACGAGACTGCAGGCCACGGCCACACCATCGACTACCTTGACCGCACCGCCGTGGATGTCTATATTGCCCTGGAGCCGAATGCACTAATGCACGAGCACATCCGAGCACGAGCCAATGCCGCCGGCTTCCACGAGGAAAACGGAAAGCTTCTCATTCTCCGGGGCTGTGGCGCTGAGAATATCAATGTCATCCGTGAACAACTCGACACTGCTGGGACAAAAGTCGACACAATGATATCAATATTGACGCTCTGCAGTATCCCTGACCCACAAGAAACTCTCCACCGGCTGGTGGCTGAGGTTCTTGTTCCGGGAGGCCAGTTTCTCTTCTATGAGCATGTGCTCAGCCCCCTGCCCGAGGTCGCCTGGTGGCAGCGGTTTTGGACTCCGATATGGCAGTTTGGATTCGACGGATGTCGTCTCGACCGGCCTACTCATCTGTGGATAGAAAACATGCCAGGTCCGGAGGGCAGGGGCATGTGGAAGGATGGGAAAGTCTGGGGGAAAGACGGGGAACCTGACGAGCATCTCTTCTGGCATAGAGCAGGGAGATTTATCAAACACTCGGGCTCGTGAATATACTTTATTCCAAGCCGTTTGTCCGAGCGATCACTCTCTTGCATCTCGAATTTCCACTGGGTAATCAATTGAAGTCCAACAGCAACGATATCGACATTTCAATCAGCCCGGTTGCCCATAGTTTGTGTCCTCTCGAGCGTGATGGCTGGGCAGAAGGCCTGATCATGTCACGTGTGCGCGCTTTATCGATTCCCTGCTTCATTTCATTTGCACTGCATTGCGCAGAGTACATAGTCATTCTATTCCGCAGACCATCCAACATCCTTCTTCTCTTTCCACCACATCCATGGCTCAGAACCCTAACGAAGATACAGAGTGGAATGACATTCTGCGGAAACACGGTATCATCGCACCAAAGACCCCACCTCCTCGCACCCCGTCTCCTCCCGCACCGCTCACTCTTGACGAGCTTCTCGAGGACTTTACCCCCGAAGAGCTGGGGGAACTAGCCGATGATACGCACAACGAGGAAGATCTGCGCCGCATCGAAGAGATGCGCAGCCAGAGGCTGGAAGAGGAGCGCACGGCGAACAAGCATGCCAGGTTTGGGCGCGTGTATCCTATCGGCCGAGAAGACTACACGAGAGAGGTCACCGACGCGAGCTTAGAGGAGGATCCAGCAGATATGGCAGCCCTCGCAGAGGACGACGAGGATGACGACGAGGACGGCAAACCCAAACGTCTCGGGGGGACTCCGGTCGTATGCATACTGTACAAACCTGGGCTACCGCGTTCGGACGTGTTCCTCACGCAGGTGAACGCTCTCGCGGCTCGTTATCCGCGCACGAAATTCGTCTCCATCGTCGGGGACAAATGCATACCCGATCTTCCGGACGCTCGGGTGCCCATGTTCATCGTGTATCGCAGAGGGAATTTAATACATCAGGTGATGGCATGGGGCAAGGATCGACCGCGGAGACCAGAAGGTAAGTCGCTCTCGTCGCTGCACAGTCTGCCAATCCTCAAATGGCCCTGCAGAATTCGAAGCGTTGCTTCTCGTTGTTGGGGCACTCCATCCTCCCGACCGTCTGCCACCTCCTGCGAAACGCGAATCAGATGACGAGTCAGAGGAAGAAGACGGGCCTCCCCGTCGTTCGGCCGGTGCATTGACCAACGGAAAGCGCGAGAAAAATATCCGAAAGCGGGAAGATGATGACGACGACGATTTCGACTTCGACATGTAAATTTGTCCCGTGCAGCGCTCGGCGGCAGCCATCGCATTAAATACGGAGCACAGTGTAGTTGTAATTTTGTGCTATATCGTTTCTCTTTCTGCCGCAGCGACTCCTGACCGTCCCCCGGACGCGTACATGACTTCCGCGTGAGCAAGCGCAGGCGGGGTGTACTCTGCGTCGGGTGCGTCCACGCGAAACACGTCACCGAGCCCGGCGGGGAATGTGGAGGTGGGGAGCTGTACCAGCTCGGCCGGAGTTCGTGTCAAATAAACTCGGAGCACGGCGTCCTCAGCAGCCTGGTAGACGGCGGTTCAGACCGTGGAAAGCATTCTGACAGAGTCGGTAAACGTACCCTATACTCTGCCATCCTCAGCGAAGCCCCGAAGCCCTCTCCAATCTGGTCCTCTCCGGAAAATATCCCAACTACGAAAACTGGTGAATTCGAGAAGCGACCCGTTTCCTTGAGCAGTCGTGATTTTGGTGGCTCCCTTCCGAACTTGGCGACCATCTCCTTCAGGGCCTTTTTAGGGTCGACGAATTTGATGAACGAGCGAATATCCACAGAACGCGACAGAAGGAAGTGCGTGTGAACAAAATGGCGGGCGGAGGGGAGAGACCGGTGGGTATAGACCAACGCAGTGAGTGCTCTCGGAATGGAGGCGAGAGCGTCGCTTCGTTGTACTGGGGGTTCCGAAGACGACGAGGGACTCTGGAAGCAAGTTCAAAAACAATGATATTGGCAGAATTGGAACGCACATCTCGCGACCACCTCAGCAGGGGCGCGGCACCCATCTCTTGTGCCACGCTCGCACACGTCGTCGGGCCGACATGGGCAGTGACTGCTGCTTTCAATACCCGCGTCGGTAAATAGGGATACACGGCGTGTACATATTCGGATGCAAAAAGACCCATGAGGGCATTGCCGAGTACACTCAGTTGTGCGTTGGTCGGTATTGGCGCTGCATTCGGGTCATGGTGTCGCGCCAGGGCTTGGATGGAAGGATGTGTGCATGCCTGGAGTACGAGTTCCGGGTCTGGAAGCACGGAGCCGAGACCAACTCTGTGGGCAAATGCGGAGAGGGCTGAGGGAGGAGGAGGTTGGAGTGTGGCCCATTCCGTGGGGTCAAACCCGGTGATTTTAGGTGACTGGGTTGATCGAGGGGGAGGGAATTTGGGTAGGTGGGAGGCCGAAATGGCGTTTAAGGACTTGACGGCCCGCTCCACCACGCGTCGCTGCCCATAGACCATAGTGGGTGGAAGGAGGACAGATCAAAACATTCGGTCAAAATTTTTGAAGGGTGGCATCAAAAGGTGATTAGATTGTAGGCTGGGATAACTTGAGTATGTAGAAAGTACCGTACGTAGATTACCGCGCCGTCCCGTATAAACCTTGATGACGAAGTACATGCATGAGTGTCTAACCAAAAATCTTTGCAACCATCAACCGCCATGCGCGATCCCGCTCGTGTTGAGCTGCCCCGTCACCTAGCACACTCTTGTTCTCGATGGCGCGACGACTGAGATAGGGCATCACATCCGCCAATGCACCATACGGAATGTATTTCAAGACCATGGGTGTGCTGCAAACGGTCGTCGAGGCGAGGAAAGAGGTCAATTCGTCACACATTCCTAGATCGAGCAGGCATTGGATCAATGAGAGTTGGAGGTAAAAATGTCTTGGTGACGGACCGTAAAGCTGGCCAAATGTCACTCGCTCGGCGACGGAGTCGCTGATAGCTAGCTTGCCGCCTTCGGCCGGTGTTGCGAGGCCTCGAGCTTGCATCCCCTCCATTATCTTGCGGCAGCTGTCCCAATTGTGTGTCCCGAACAGGATACCGACCGATTGTCGTTTTCCCTTCTTTACATCGGCATGGGCGGCATCCAACAGCATTGCGGCACAGTTGTTGTACGTAACGTCTGTTTCGGCTTTGTTATTCCACACTGGGGGGAGAGTGTCCGGAGAGATGGACAGCGAGCGGCCGGAGCCAGAGACAGCCTCGTCATGTGCCGTCACCTCGTGAGGATGATATGCGCCTCGGACGAGTTTGACACCCAACGCGTACCCGTTTTGCTTGGCATCGCGAAGACAATGGGCGAGGTGGGACGGTGTCCTTCTGAGATATGCTTGGAATGTGCCATAGATGAGAGGCTGAGTAGAATTGGAGGATGAAAGATTGTTGAAGCGGCGCATCAAACCCAGAGTAATTGCGTCAAAGGCGGGCTGATACCTGGAGTCAATCAGATAGAAAGTGGGGCAAAAAGAAGAGTCCACAGACCACGAGTATTCGGCATCGATAATTATGCGTACTCCCCGCTTCTGGGCACGGGCGCAGATCAGCTCCATGTCGGCATACAACTCACGGAGCATAACCAAGTCCTCGGGGCTCAGCGTGGTCTGGGCCTGGGCGGCTTTTGCAGAAACCAGCACATTAAGATCTCCGGCAGTGGGAGTACCAGGAAAAGGGACATCAGGCGAATGCGCCGGGGGCCGCGTCGCCAGAATGTAGGACGACAGCCGAATAAACGCACTGGCGTCGGGAACGAGCGCTGTCATCTTGATAGCAACCCAGGTCTTGCGTCCCATGCCTTTCAGCCCGAGTCCATCCTCAAAGTCTGCGGCGATATCGATCGAATTGATCATTTCATCGACCATAGCTTTGTAAGGGCTCTTGTGTCGAGATGCGGAAGTTTGAGCGGCCATGGCTTCAGCCTCATTGACCTCAACCGAGTACGCAAACAGACACCCGGTGTTATCCATTCTTAGGCGGCGTAGAAGGGGCAGAACCAACGCGGCCGTGTCGCCTCCGACAAACTGCACATGAATGAGATGGAAGAGGGTGAAACAAGACTTGCGCTTGCGCACCTGATCGAAGAATGTGACTCTCACAACAGCATCTGCGATCCAGTTCAAGCCGGGTATCTTTGAAAAGGCATCGAGTAAGCTTGGGGCGCTGTCGACCAGTGCAGGCACCGAACACATGGTGTACACGATGTAAGCCCGGAGCAAGGTGCCAAACGACACCTGCTTGGCCTCTTCGCTCGATGACTGTGCCATTTGCGTAGAGTCTGCATACACAGCTGTGGACGCAAAGGTGACCGCCAGACCGACGCCCGATGCGACAGCGACCTTCCTCCCGAATGCTGGAAAAGCTGGCCGTCTGGGCGCAGTGGACGCATAGCGGGCTCCAGGCACTCTCATCGCGCGCAGAGCGTGAGCAAGACGGAACATGCTGACAGTGGCCGGACGAAGGTGGTCTCAGAGAGAGGAGTTTGAGACTGTATGCTCAGGATCTTGAGATAAGAAGCGGTCATGCTACTAGTAGACGAGGCAAGCAGCGCATCAGATGTTCACCGGAGCTCCTTAGATCCGTAGATCCGTGGTATGGGCCGCGGCCATCATCTGCAGCAGGTACAGCTTGGCGGCTTCGAGAGATGTGGGAATCGTGTCGGCTTGCCCGTTCGGTCAATACTACAGACCAGCAGAGATTGACACTCAGATCTGTTTACTTGAATTCTGAGGATACCTCAGGGCGTATTTGAATAATTATAGATTGATGTGATATGTGCACGCGGACCAAATGCGGCAAACACACCTTCTTCACCCTGACACCAACTGTTTCGCTTCACTGCCCCGCCCGAGCAACCACGCATTGATCACACACGTCTCTTCTTTCCGCCACCACGATCTCCGCCTCTAGAACATGGCGGTCCTCGCTCTGCCATTGAGCTTCACCAACTCTTTCTGGTCTCAGGATTACCGACGCGGCCTTGAGGTGTGTTGTCACGAGTTATAATACGGAGGTGTCATGCTTACCGGCGCTTCCTTTCTACACAGGTGCTATACTCCAAACTCGAGCAGGGAATAGAGGAAAATGACGAAATCGTCACTTTCATCCGGGTGCGCCCAGCACTTTTGCTGTTCAAGCTCGTTTCGTTGACGCACATCTCTGAACGCAGGCGCGTGCTGCTGCAGAACGTCAGCTCAGTGAAGCGTTGATGCATCCTATGCTGACGGGAGCTGCTGGTTAGTTCTGTCTTGCCTTTGGATGACCAGAATGACGACTGTCGTGTAGGCAAGGGCTTCGGCAAGGATGACGGCGCCTCGCTTCTCATGGCGTTTCGGGGGCTGCAATCGCAGTCTGTAGCTCAGGGGCAAACTCATAGGGCTATTGCAACTGACTTGGACGCGTTGGTTGCTGACCCTTTCGCACAATGGGCTGTTGGATATCAGGTACGCTCCTCGATTGAAATGTCAGGCTGTATGCACACGTTCGACAGGATCGTCTACGCCAATCGCGCGCGTCTCTCATCGATCAATATTTACGAGCGTACGAACACGCACAAGGCGAAGTCTCCAAGTTGAAGCACAACTATCTTGACAAAACACGGCGCGCCGACGAGGCCGAGGATGAGTGAGCGTCAGGGGCGGCTCGCTGGACTGTCATGCTGAAACCTTCCATCCAGCGCCAAGTTCGCGCCCAACAGCGTAGGTCGGGATCCGTATACGACATCGCCGAGCACCCGTCCTGTCGATGGCGGTCATAGGAGTTCGCCAGTGCGCTCAGCCAGCGTTTCTGAACGCATTGCTTCTCGTCTACGTGAAATCCAGAAGCGGGCTGTCGCCTCTGCTGGTGCCGCCAGCGAAGAGAAGCAGGCGCCATCCGAATCCGAGACGATTTTCGAGCACCAAGAGCAAGCTTCTCCGAAAGTCGACAAGGGAAAGGGCAAGGCTGTAGAGACTGACGATGAGGGTGTGATCGCTGCCTCTCCACCTCCGATGTCTCCGCCTCTTCCTCCGAAAGTGGAAATCCCCGTTTCTCCGATGCCAGCGATGCCCCCGCCCCCAATGCTTCTCGCCGGGCTTTCATTGCCCCCTTCTGCCATCTCGCAGCTGTTGACGAAAGCAGCGGGTATGCTTGATCGGTTCCTATCTCTTCTCCAGCTGATGGGTCATCACAGCCGAACTGCCCCTGAGACCGGTGCGCTTCCCCTTGTTGGGAGAGTATCCGAACTGTTTCACTGGGGAGGAATTTGTTGCTTGGTTGAACGAGAATGTTCAAGGATTCGGAGGGAGCCTGGATCGCGCCGAAGAAGCTGCGATGGAACTGACCGAGCGGGACAAGCTCCTTCGCCGTGTCGGAGAGTTTGGAAATCAATTCGAGCATTCCGACGAGGCTTTTTATCAGTTCAGGCCCAAGGTAAGCAGCTAGCCGACGTGATGTCCATTACTTGGCTCATACTGTGACTTGCAGGCATTTGATCTGGAAGGCACAGACACGCAGCCGGCTCCCGCCACGCTGAGTTCCCCGATCAAGACCCAAACCGACGCGTTGTTCAAGCGCACGAACACGTTTGTCAGCCTCGTAAGCAAGGCACTCTCGGCCCAGCAGGCAGAGCCAGCGTACGTTCGAGCACGAAATGAGGCTGAAGAAGCCGATCATCTCTTCCGCGCCGGCACCCGCAAACTCGATCGGCAACGTCTGGGATTGGAAGAGAGAATCGAAGACACTCTCAAAGTTCTGCAGCGATGGGAAATGGAACGGCTCCGGGCCGTGAAGACCGTCCTGCTCCAGTACCATGCCACATTGGCGAATCTGCCCAAAGGCCTGGAGCAAACGAACGAGACTTCTGCCACGCTCATTGCTGCATACTTGCCGGAGTCGGACCTGAACGCCCTCATTGAGCGCTATCGGACCGGACCGTTCCGCCCTGAGGCACAAGTGTACGAGTCGGTGTCACACGTGGAGACGGATGTTGTGTTCGGGATCGATCTGCGGCGCTGGGCTGAGGGCGGCTGGGATGCGATCAGCAGCGCCGAGCCTCGCAAGCATGACATCCCTCCGGTGGTCACCTCGCTCCTTGCTGCGTTGACCGAGGCGTACAGCAAGCTTCCCTCTGACATGGGTGTGTCGCATATCCGTTGATGCTGAGTGTTCTGCTCACACAAAGGATACAGAAAAGCGCAAGTCGTGGATCTACGAAGTGCCGCTTCCGGCCGTACATCATCTGCGCGAGGCTTTGAACTCAGTCCCCATGGACGCGATTCCCCCAACCGACTTGTTCGCCCCATACGACGCAGCAGTCATCGCGGCCACAATCAAGCTGTGGTTGCTTGAGCTCGACCCTCCGCTCGCGATGTGGGAAGGTTGGGATGAGATCCGGAAACTGTATCCCACTGTCGGGGCTGCAGCAAACAAGGACGATAGTGAAGCCGCTGCTCAGCGGATCACCGATCTTGGCATGGCACTGCAGCGACTGCCGCGTATTCACTTGAATGTCCTGGACGCCATCGTGAGCCATTTGCGCAAGTACGTCGTCTGTTATCGCCTGTTGAGCATCAACAATTAACTCGTTTGTCAGCCTAATCGACACGACCAGCGTCGAAGAAGCGGAAGAAGTGTACGTCACTAAGCTCGCACTATCTGTTGGGCGCAGTAAGTCGAGATTCCTCTCGTCTGTCAATTTCGTCTGACATTCGCGCAAGCCATCCTTCACCCTAAATTCGAGTCTGAAATGTCCATTCAAGACCGGCATCCGACCTGCAAGTCATTTCCTGTATATGTTCCCTTGGGAATTGCTGACGTTGCGGGCAGTGATGTTCATGGATCTCGTCAAGAACTATGCGGCCATCATTCCACCTACCATTGCTCGGAAGAAGCGAGAGTCAGAACGCAAGATCCCAATCCGGAAACGGACTGCGCCGATTGACATGCGCCTGAGCCGAAGCCGAATTTCTATTGGTGCCGACGCTCAGCAGCTGCTGGCGGCCCAGCAGGTTGCACAGAATCCTTCTCTTCACAGGGCGTCTCGGTCAATTGACTCCAGATCTCCTGCTCCTCCAGTCCCGCCCGTTCTGAAAGAGGAAGCTCCAGCCCCGTCATCGCAGCCCCAGCCACTGACACCGCCTCCGCCGCCGCCTTTGACCGCCGCACAGCCGCTTGAGGTGCCGCCCCCGCCGCCACTGCCTGTTGCGCCAACGCCGTCTGTGGTGCCTCCACCGCCGCCTCCGAGCACATTCGTTGCTCCGCCGCCGCCGCCTCCGATGCCGGCGTTCAAAGAACCGCCGCCTGAATCTGAGGACGAAGCGCCGCCGCCTCCCCGCCCGGCATTCAAGGAGCCACCGGCCGAGCCCGCGTCACCGACGACTGTTGCGCACCGCCAGGTCGGCGGCAGCCAGAGCACATCACGAAGCGGCTCACCGGCTCCGGAACATACCGAAGGCATTGTGGCTGGAGCACGTGCGTCTCTTTCTCGGTCCGGCTCGGGGCAGGCTGTGAAGGGCCCCCGGGCTGCTGCGACCCGCTCAGCTCGTCCTACAAGTGGGAATGTGTCTAACATCATATCAAGTTTGAACAGGAAAAACTCGATCGGCTCACCTCCGGCCAGCCCCCACTACAAGCGGGTGCCGGGCAGCCCGGGGCGGCCGTCGAGCGTTCTGGGCCGGCAGTCCACATTCTCGACGCGAACGATGGAGTCAGACGCGGAGGACAATCTTGTGGATAAGAAATAGGTATTCAGATCAAGTAATTATGGACATGTGGTACCACAATGCACTGGTTGCGCGCATCTTGCACACAGCTCCATCCTGCACTCCGGACATTCGTAGTGCGTTGAGGGGATGTCTGCGCTGCGAAACACAACGGGACACCCGAATGGACAAAAATGCAGGTCGTCCTGGGATCGGACGAGACTGAGCAGGGACCCCTCGAAGGCTCGCTCGCATTCTTCGGGGGGCAGACACGCTACTATCAGGGACAGCGGGATCTCCGCTGAACAGTCGCAGCAGTAGGGCGCGAAATCGCACGCCGGCGACAGGAGAATGTCCAGGCAACCAGAGCAGTAGCGATGTCCACAGGGAAGCTCCACAGGGTGGGTCGGATCAGTGCGACACAGCATGCAGTCGCCCGGCGGGAGCGACTCTCGAAGCCCCCAGCTGAGCACTGCGGCACTGACCTCGTCTCGCATTTTCTGCTCGCCCAATACGGTCAGCGTCTTGGAGCGAATATCGCACGTGATCTTCGTAGAACCGCACTGGGCCTGCAGGCTCTGCAGGCCCCCTCCTCCTGTCGCAAGGTGGGAGATCACATCAGATATGTCGAGTACGCATCGCTGCTCGTTCACGGTCTTCAGCAGCTTTGCAATCTGCGCCTCGGCTTTTGACCGGTCTCCCCAGATGCGAAGGACGCGACAGCGTCTGTCACAGCGAATGAAAACGGCTGGATCTTTGTCGTTCAGCCGCTGGAGAGGCCCGTCGCTGCTTGCCATCGAAAAATACGGATCCGGAAAGGGAATCTCTGCCCCCAAAACGAGTGCTTGGACCGTTTCCCGCAGCTTGGCTGCGTCCGCAGAATCTCGATGGAACAGAAGCACGGTCCGTGTCTCGTCGTAACAGCGAACATTGTTGCCCAGGTCGCAGCCGTTTACGGCATCCCGGATGAGCCCGAAAGGAAAATGGCTCTCGGGCAGTGTGTATCTGGAAAAGAAGACGGCCTGAGTTTTGATATCACGGTCACCCAAGAACGGGTGTTTTCTGCCCTTCAAGTAGGCCGTAGCTTTTGCGATCGTGGAGGGAGAAAGAAACTCGGCGAATGCCGTGACTTTGCTCTCGGATGGCAAAGTTGGCATGAGCTCAAACAAGGTGACAACCCCCAGCTGTTCAAGAAGTGTGCGGATGTCGTGCTCGGGAGATTGCGTGTAGTTTGGCTCGCTCGGGTTGATCGAGGTAGGACCTGTGTGTTCGCAGATTGAGGTGAGCTCCTCCCGGGAGACTTGCGCAGGAAGATTCTCGAGCAGAACAGGCACGCGGTCCTGCTGACCACGCGACTGGGAGCGGTATTTAGCGACGATCTTGCGCTCTCCAACGGTCAATCCATCCAGCGCAGCCGCCGCTTCCTTCGCCTTGGAGACTGTCCGGTAAAAGGCCCATGCGATGGTACTCGGTGCATCCCATACAAGTTTCAGATGCCGCGGTGTTCCTGGCTCGTGCACTGAGCCCCCCAGTTTCCCATCGCATTCAAGTTCGGCAGCTACGATCTTGTCCTCAATCACCAAGCCGTTGAGATGGGCTCTTGCGGTCAACGCTTGCTGTGCATTCTCCAGGTCAAAATACGCATTCAGGCGCCCTCCAACAAGTCGGATAACACGATTCGTGATCGTACCGTGGGGTTCAACAAATGCAGCCAAGTCATCCACGTTGGTGCCGGAGGGAAAGTGGGACAAAACGACAGTCCTGGATTCAAAGGCCGTATTTTGGATGTGGGCGCTCGCCCCGGGTCCGAATTCGACGGAACAGTTGTAAATCGTCCGCAGAGCAACCGATTCCATCGTTTCTTCTCCTGCCGACAACGATTTACTCACAACAGGCTTTTCATAGATCAGTCGGCTTCTGGAAGAACATGGATGTGCGGCGTACTTGCACAGGCTCTGGCTCTGTGTTTCGATCGTGTCTATGTCGGCATCTGTCGCCCTCTTTGCAATATCCTTGCCCGAAGAATATGCAATGTCTTCGGCTCTTGATGATGCTGACAGGCGGTTCCTCCGGCCAAGGTGTTTCCCAGGATTTCTCAGCTCCCTTGCTGTCTCCTTCAGTCGCCCATGTTGATGCAGTATCACCCCATCCCCCACTCTGGTCGTTCTCCTGTTCCCACCAAGATCCCGACGCGATCTCTTCTGTGTTGGATTCTTGGCTTTGCAGCGCCTCCGCGTCGTGGCTAAAGCGGCACTCGTTACCGAAGGGGCACACTTCACCGCGCATGAAAGCCCGACAGACTTCATTTGTCGGATCTCCGTGAAGAAACAGGCATTTCTTCCCCCGACCGCAATGACCGGCTGCGAAGAATTTGCACTGAGTCTTGCGCGGGTCGTTTTCAGAGGCTTCGGATGCAGCACCGAGGTCGTGGGAGAATGGACAGGCGTCGCCTTTCAAGCAGTTCCCGCTGGGAAACCATAAGCAGCGTTGAAGCTTAGGCTCAGGGTCCGTTTCGTGTTTGAACCGACAGTGAGTGCCACTGGTGCATGCCCCCTGCAAGAAAAATTTGCACGGGGCTCGCGGATCTGGCATGGTATCTGTTGATGGACCATCTGGCGCGTCAGCAGCCTCCAGAAAAGCAGACTCGACCTCAGGCGCAGGTTCTGAAGACGGGACTGTCTCTTGTTGCCAGATATCGTCCACTGTGTTCTCAAGAGGAGCTGTAAGCGTTGGAGAATGTCGAGCAGCGTCGAGACGTTCATTCGCATCAGGAGATGGCCCCGATACAGGGCCATTGAGGTCATCTCCTCCATCTTGCGCAGACTCAGTCCCTCTGCCCAGATCCTGCGAGTCTTCCTCGGTCTTGATCTCTGGAGTACCATCTGATTCTGGTTTCGTCTGGGATCCGGAGGCCACATCCGCAGCACTGCTCGACATCGATGGCTCGGCTAGGGATACAGTAGTTCATCTCAACCGGGCCCGATTCGTGATGCGAAAACATCTACCATGCGAATACGGACAATGTTCGCCCTTGGTGCATCGGTTCTGGCGATGGAAGTGACAGACCTTGATGGACACTGAGGATTTTCTCTGCTTCGCCTGCACGACAGGAATTCCATTTGGCGCGTGTATCTGGACGGGATCGCTGACCAAAGGTTGTTGATGAAAGGTCATGGGGCAAGTGCGACTGTGGATACATCCGCTGTCATTGCACATCGAGACAATGAACAGACCGGGGCGCAGAGCGCCCTGCAGAGAGAAGGGAAAAGGGAACTGGAACGCCATCCTCTGACGCAGTGCTAGGGAGATTGATTCAAGGTGGCGAGAGACGCGTCAACGGGCTCAGCGTCTGAGGTGAGAGTTCTGCGCCTCTTGTTGGACGTTGCTTGTATGCCACGTGCCTAATTAACTTAGTGACATTGATTGCCCCACAGGGAGGCTGCTTCGCGAGATTCAGTAATCTAGAATTCCAAGGCCGTATAGATAACTTCTGGTCAGGAGGCGGAGTTACGAATGGTCTACATGTATGAATTCTTCGATGTGATCTCTGAAGCTCCACCCATCGTCGAGGCCGGTTTGGGATCGATTCACGGCCATGTAACACGGAAAACATTCTTATGATCGATTTCGAAGCCGCCATGCCTTGTTTTCTATAATCCTACGCTGGTCACCTCAGTGAAGCAATGGCAGCCAGTATCAGCACAAGTCGCTCCTGGATGACATTGCTATGGTCTTCACTTTTTCGGCGCTAATAATGGCACTTTGGCAGTGTTGCATGAGAACAGGCACGATGCAGACACGATCGAATGTCGATGTGCTCTGTTGTCAGACTTGTTCCGTACCAATATCGAATGCTTGGATATTCTTGTCGTGGCCTATCAGGTACTATTCACCGAGGCATGACATCTGCGTCTTCTGCGGGCATCTCGGCTGAATCGGCAGAGCTCTCAAGCCTCCCAATACTTATCCACAAGGCGCATCACAGTCCGCCTCGGCAAAGCAGCCACGTGGTTGACGTGCGTTCTGTACGCGGAGTTTCTACTGAATTCGTTGCAGAATCCGAGCATAATTGGTGGCGCGGGGAATTTGTGAATGTACAAAGGATTTCGAATAGAACATTTCGAAAGATGGATAAATAAAGTACAGGAAGCGGAGAAAGTGAAACGATGCAATTGATGGGGCATCCATATGCGTCAAATCGCCCACTCGGGAAGGCGGGGTTGTTGCTCCTCCCAATCCGCGTCGCTGCCAGTGCGCCAGCCTCGGAGCCGATGGAAGGTCCCCCCACGTCCTTTTCGTTCCAGGCTGGCTACGAGCACCCGACTTCCACCCCACCTGACGACGACCCAGACAAGGCCGCAGGTTCCACAGTCCCCAAGCGGAAAAGGCTCACCAAGGTTGGAACCGATTTGATTTACGTGTCTGTCCCCCCCGCTCAACTCTTTCTTTCTCTCCTGGTCCCCAGGCTTGCAACTCTTGTCATAAAAGCAAAAGGAGATGCGATGGTACAGGTACAGACGTTCCTCTCCATCGCCTGGTTCACACTGAACGTGCGAGTTCGGTCCGCTCCTCGCAGCGCCGTGCAGCAACTGGTACGTGCATCATGTCACCACTCATTCTTCTCGTTCGCATTCGATGTCCTTCGCTAGCTATTTCGCCTCGAAACCTTGCCAGTACACGGATGCGTTCGGTCGGGAGGTTTCTGCACCCCATCCCGGCAAGCCCGACGCGTCCAAGCTTCCTCGGGGTTCTTCCTTGCGTTCCAAGAGTCGGGTGGAAGACGGGCTGGCGCGTTCTATATCTCTGTCCTCCTGGATATGGGTGAATCCCACCAAGCCCGCAAACGAGCAAAGACGAAACCTTCCTCTCAAACGCTGCCAATCAACCATGAGGGTCCTTCCGACCCTGTCTGCATCGAAGACGGCACAGCGGGGTGCATCAGTGCGGCGGCTGTATTGGACATTGGGACCACGCGCGAATTAACCAATCGTCTGTCTTCTTCTTGTCATTTTACGCGACGAATGATCCTCTGACACCACGAGTACACACAGTTTTCTTTGCGCACTGTCACCCTGTCCGAGCGATCATCCACAAACCCACATTCTCTGCATCGCTGTCGTATGAACCAAGCAAAGTCCCGGCACATCTGCTGCTTGCTATATGTGCGCTTGCCGCACCGTTATCGCGCCAACTGCGGTTCCGCTCAGCTGTGCCTTCTCTTCGCTTCGCTGGCCGGCCGTTCGCAGATGCTGCTGCTTCTATGATGTTTGCCGATGATAGTCGACTTTCATGCGATGCAGACATCTACGCCCAGGCGTTATGCATCCTCATGTTTCACGAGCTGCAAGCCAGGGAGACGACGACCTCTGGATGCAGCCTGCCGCATAGAGGCATGTTTCAGCTCTGAGCCGTGTCTTGAACTCCTCACGTCTCGTTGCAGAGTTGATACTGCAGATTGTGGAGACACTTCTAGGCACTCAGTCCGAAATGGAGTCCATCCAGGCCACTCTGGAACGAGAATGTCTGCGGCGCATATCATGGGTCGTTTACGTCGCCGAGCTCCAGCTTTCAATATGGACTCAGCGCCCTGCTTTGCTCGCCGAGTCACAGCTGCATTCCAGGCTCCCTGTCGACGAGACTTGCTTCGAACTTGCCCCACTTGCCGGTGTCGCTGGTCTGTAGTCTTCCTGATCCGATTCTATCGCGACTGACCTGCCTCAAGAGTACCTGCACACTCCAGGTCAACACACCTCCGAGTGGGGCCACCTGGTTCGGATTTATCCGCTCTATGCGCAGGCAGAGCTGAATTTGGGTCGTCCGTTCATTTCCATTTTGCCGATGACTTGTTCTTATTCGTATTTCTGGCTAGGATCAGATCTGAGTCTGAGTGCCCTCACGGATCTAGAGAAGAGTGGCGAAGTGTGTTGATCCTCTTTTCCCTCTGTACACCGGCCAATGATGGCGCATCAGGACTGGGTCTCCAACTTACCCGAGGCATTGCAATTTTCAGAGCAGAATCTTCAAGTCCAGATCTCAATGTTTGAGACCGCCTCGAACACCGGGGCATGGTGTTTTTGTTATATGCATATCTTGTTTACCGGACTTTCTCTTGCTTTACATTCGGTCAGTCGTCTCTCTTGAACTGGATTCGGGCCACAACATATCGTTCTCAGGGCAAATATCTGCTGTCCCATGTCCCGGTATCCCAGAAGCCGCCCTGGGCGGTATCGAGATTGGATTTGCTTCTCGGCGCGTTGGGGGATCGGGCTAAGAACAGCATGATATGTGAGCATTCTAATCGAAAACTACACTCTTGCCCTCTGCTCATGCTGTGCAGTGGGATCATATCTCTGGGTGAGTGCGGTCATTGCGTCTCGGGGTGTAATGTGACGAAGGAGACAGATCCAGATCAGACATCTCGGTCGCGAAGATATTCAGCTGCGAAAGTTGTGCAGCGAGTACGAGGCGGCGTCAGGGACTCGGATCATAGAGCTGGCGTCTGCAGCGTCCTTTCCACCGCGAACTCCGATGCTCTTGCCGCCGGCATCGCAGTCCTTACTTCCCAGTCGCAGTTTGAACGACTTGCGAGTGCATCGACAAAGCAGTTGGTCCAACTCGTACCCGCCGATCGGGTCCCTTCCTCTAGCAGTCGAAGGGGAGATGAAACCCATTGGCAGACTTGCAGAGTCGCTGCCCTCACTCAAGTCCAGCGGTCTGCTCGACTCGTGGAATCCGGCCCACAACAGGCCAGGCGGAGAAGGTTCCTCTAACTCTCGGTCTGGACCGCCTGTGGGTCTGCAGTGGCTAGCCAACGAATCTCGATAATTCAAGCCGGTCTCAGGCTCTATTGCAGTACTTACCAGTTGTTCATAGTTCATCTACATTACGCGCTCGATTAATCTTTGAATTAGTCCATGGTATACATTACATACATCTATGCCTCAACCTTGCTGAGATTCCGATGCAATTCGGGCTTAACGAGGGTAACACGGTCAACAAGCTTCTTCACGACTGCCTCCTTATTCTTGTTGAACGAGTCGGTGATCTGTTTGAGGCCAATCTGAGTCTCCTTGTCCACATTGATCTGGGCCGCCGATGTTGTGCCAGCGTGCTGCGAGAGACGAGATAGGAGAGTCAGTGGTCATCTCCCACGGCAGGATACTTGATTGGCGAACGCACCGACGCCTCAAACGCCTTGAATTCTTGTTCCTTGGACTGTTTGTACGCTTCTATCTCTTTCGCGGCCTCAGACCTTGCGTCCTTGAGCTTTTGCACCCGGTCTGTCCGTGCATAAGTGGATTGCTACGACAGGGCAGACGAAGGCAGCGCAAACAGACATTCGCGCGCTTGCTGGACGATCTTGGCGGCCTCCTTCTCAGCCTCGAGGAGGGTCTGAATGCCTTGTGATTGCTGCGCAGCCGACTGCGCGACTGGATGAACTTCGCTGGACGAGCAGGAGCCGAGGTTGACGTACCATCAAGTAAGTGTAGTAGAGGCAAGGGGAGGACTCCCTTTCAAGCTCCGCTGCGTGTGCACAGCCGCAGTGATCTCATCCTCACAAGCTGCGCTCACCCGACCATGGCCTCAGACCTTCCGTACGCTGCTGACGCGGAGGTGTCTTTGTCTTACGACGAACTCGAGGTGCGCGTCCCGCTCCCCGGCTGACTCGCTGTCCTCTCACTCGTCGCATCCAGGTGTTGCGAACACAATACCTGAGGGAGCTGAATCAAGGCTATGTCACCGTGCAATCGAAGTTCAACTACGCCTGGGGACTAGTGAAGGCACCAATACGCGACCACCAGGTAGAAGGAGTCCGATTACTGCAGGGTGAGCAGTCCACGACGGGTTCCGCCGTTCGACTTGTTGACAGGTCGCGTAGAGCTGTATCGTGCCGAACCCACGCGAAGGAGGGAGTGCTTGTATTATCTGGCCCTGGGACATTACAAGATGGGGAATTTTGAGGAGGCGAAGAAATTCAACGGTGCGGTCATGTATATTGTGCGTTGTGGAGTTGTTGCTTGCTCACGCGATTCGGGAAGCCTTGCTGTTGGAGAAAGAGCCCTCAAATCTTCAAGCGGCCAGCCTGTCTCAGCTGATCGACAAGGGCGTTACCCGAGGTACCTTGTCTTGATATTCGCATGGGGCTGAGCCTCACTGTTCTACAGAGGGATACATTGGTATGGCTATTGTCGGTGGTGTCGCTGCATTGGGCACACTGCTAGCGGCAGGGCTTATACGGCGAGCGACTCGTAAATAAATGCTGGAGTGCAAGCGCTGACTGGCTCTCAACTCTCCCCACTCGCAATTCAGTCCGGGCTAATGCCTCCATCCGTCTGTATCTATATATCGCATCATAAATGCAAGGAATAGTGCAGTTGTGGATACACACATGTAAATACAGCTTTGCCTCTACATACAGTCAGAGTCCGTGTGTGGTGATGTGCAGGTAGTTATGTTGGAAGGAAACTGGCTGGAAAAGTGTAAGCAACAGACCACGTGAACGGGTAGACAACCTACCTGCTTGTGCATTCATTTCTTCGTTAGAGAGCTGGATGCGGTCGGTCGGTATCACGAGCAAGCAGCAGGACCATACCACACATACCTTGAAGACCTTGATGCCCAATACAGAGAACGCCGCGAGGACGCCGAATTGGAAAAGTATCCAAAACCCAGCCCAGTCTGTCGCAGGCTTGACGTCAGGATATCGACCGATCAAAGCCGCACGTACGGTGAGGGCTCGACCAAGGATATAAGAGAGCGAACTGAGTCGCGTCCGAGTCGTTATTTTTATGAAAGAATCTGTCATCTGCAAAGTCCCCTGGAAACTGAATGAGGACATGGAAGAACAGTCCAGAAAATTAACCAACAGATGACAAAGAGGATGCTGGCGTGGAATGAATGCGGCGGAGAGACGAAATGAGTCCGATACGTACTTCATGACCCCGAAGAACAGGCAATACCAACGGAGAGCTTGGCTGCAAGGCTAAGGTCCGGGCTCGAAAACACAAACTGCAAGAACGCACGCGTGATCCACGAACCAGAATCCAATCAGCAAGGCTTCGTATACAACCGTTAATATGATCGTTCTAGCCGACGCCAACTCAAGTCAGGCAAGTCTCGAACGGCGATCACGAGCCAGCGCTTACAGTTTGTCGCGCACAAGCGCAAGAGGCATCAGCAGTCCCATCGCCAGCACCAGACTCATCACTTTCGCCACGAGTGTGTCCCATCCAGCCAATGTGAAGAGTGCACCGAGTAGCGTGGAGCCCACGTAACCAGAGGACAAGATGAGCAAGGGCCAGCCGCCTTCCACGATAGTTGCCCCGCCGACCTCAGGATCAATGGTTATCTTCAGCACCCTGCCCCCCGAAAGAAGAGCCTGGATCGTCAGTGAAATGGATGGGCCCGGTGATCCAACTGCGCGACGCACTGCGGTGATGTGACACAGTTCATGCCATCCGATCGTGAAGAGTTTGAGTGGATTGATGAAGTTGCGCTGAGAGTCCGTCAGAGCGGACGCGGCGGATGAACGAGTGCACTTGCAACGCCAGGAACGTTCCAGACTCCGAAAATAACCACCTCCGAACGATCTCAGCCTGTGAATGTTCGAGCACATGGCTAGGGGCGCTTACTGCGTAGGCGATTATCTTCAGGCTCGTGGGGTGAGAAACCAAGTTCAGACCGGAGTGGACCCACTCACGACATAGAGTACCACAATCTGACTCCGATTCAGCGCTAGAGACGCGCCGCGTAAGATCACCCACGCACCTGTTCGTCGGAAGGTTGTAATGGCACGGGTACGGCGCTCCCACTCGGAAATACAGATCCGAGCGGCGGCGCTACTGGAGGTCGAGTCGGAGTGCTGACATGTCTCCAGACGGAGGCAAGGAAGGTTAGTAGGGACTTGAAGCGCCCAAGCACGGGCCTGTGCAGCCTCGTGGTTCGCGTCAACGATTCGCGAAGCAATCCCACGTGATCTGAGCGGATCCTGCTCCAGTCATGTGCTCAATTGCGATCGTGTTCTAAATCCGGGGTACTGATGTACCTGACGCAGCAATCTACACTTTGAACCAGCAAACCACTTTCTAAATTTCTAGTTCTGGCTAGATAGAAAGAGTGTAATGCAAAATTTGATTTCACAATGAAAAATACCCCTTGAATTGCTCCAAATGAGCGATCTGTGGCCACCGAACATGTGTGAGGCTCTTTCTAATCAAGAATACTGCAAGAGTCTTGCCTGAACTCTTGGAGATTCGAATCGATCCCGCGCTCGGCCAGCGATTACCAAGGACATTCAAATATGTGGCACAGTCGACCTTCAAGAGACAGGAAAATTGTACTTTAAATAAGACGCGAAGACGTCACGAAAATTGGAACAGTTGATCGGCATCTCTTCAATCTCGTCGAGCAAGAGCGCGCGAACATCCGCGTAATGACTTTTGGCCACACGCTACACACCAGTCCGCGGTCGAATTGAGCGCTACAGGCTGTAAAAAACTAATCAGACATATTTCGCGAGCCTTTCCCGGCTCAACTCACCGCCAGCTGCTGAACAAATTCGGAGAGCCCGATATCCCGCCTTCCAAACATCTGCAGGCTCCGGAACTGATGCTCATCCGTTCCGTTCTTGAATTTGAGGCGGAGCCTCGGCTGCCTGGGGAAGTCGGAGTACAGCTCCAGCGCAGCGAGCGAGTTGTAGTTTTCTGCCGCAATGGTTCAAAGAGGGTCTGCCAGACTTTGAGAGAGAATACTCGCCGATTCCCCCGACGTCGGGATCTGCCGCGATCGCCTGGGTCAGATTGAACAAACTGATGAACGGCTTGTAGCTGATCCCGTTGATCGCCAATTTGAGTGGATCAGTCGCATTGGCGATCCGCTGCAGAGCGTCGAAAATGGAAGGGAGCATGACTCGAGCTCCAACTAGCAGCATTCCATGAGAGATGAGATGACGAGATGAAACGGCGCAACTCACCATTCCCGATCCCATTGGGGTGGAAATCCGAGTAGATATTCCGGTCATGGAAGTCAGCGAGGACCCGCGCCTGGTTGACGTATCCTGGTGGGATCTCAGCAGCATAGGTCTGGTTGTGTTGGATATGAACATCCACAAAGTCCCACATCTTTCTCGCAATCAGTGTGCAGAGTGAGCAACAATCTATACGCTCACGTTGAACTGGGCTGGCAGGTTAGCACTTGCTCTGGAACTGAGCTGAAGAGCACTCACCATCAACGAGAAATCGATAGGCCTCTGTCCAAGGAAGGGCCGCAGCTTCTCCAGGAAGGGCCTCGCCGCCTTCGCCTTGGCTGCAAACAGCGCCGACGTCTCCAATGTCTCAACATGCTGGTCAAAGTTCTACATATGCTTCAGTCAGCATCCTGACTAGCCCTCATAGAATGAAATCACAGGGCAAGAAATCAGGCCATTGAGGGATACATCTTGGTTCATCTCCACCGATTCGACTGCGCGACCGCACTTCAACCCCAGTAGAAACGCAGCAAACCTGGAGCTCACTCGGGATGAACTGATACCCTCCCATCGCGCCCAAAATAGTGCTCCCGTTTCCCAGCGTGATTTCGTACTGATCGGTGGGCGGATACAGGCCCTGGACGACAGCGGCGACCGACTGCTGGAACACTGTCCCGTCGCCCGACGAATCGGCTCTCACGAGAATCTGGTGGATATCCACAATATCACGACTGATGCCCCCGATATGGTCTGCAGAGCGTGGATCGAGGTATCTCTCCCGGAGAAACCCGCCAGACTGAAACGCCTGATTCTGTCCAGGGTAAGTTGATGAGTAGGAAAGCACGTGACCGCGACGACCGCACTGTTCCGAGGGGAGTGATGAGGGTGTCGAATGTCGCATAAGTATCGGGGCTGGAGAAGCTCTCGATGCGGTCCGCATGTCGGGCAAACACAACTGCGCCCAACAACTGGGGTGAGATATGGACCATGGGAGTGGGACGATGTCAAGAAGGAGCAGGCCAACGAACGGACCGAGTAGAGTTGGCGCTCTAAGCCCACCTGAATGATCTAAAGCATGATTACACAAGATGTACAGTACAAGTCCGGAACGAAAACACGACTACTAATTGAAGGAAATACGATAGCGATAAATAATACAGTGCACGTGCGATGAGTAGGGGCATCAAAAAAAAGTTCGATTCATGATGAGAGGGTATAAGAATCGAGATCAAGCGGGGATTGATCGAGTGTGGTCGTAATAACGGGAGGCCCTCTATGTAGCACGTCCTCGTCTTTGTCGTCTTCGTCGTCTCGTCCTCGTCCTCGTCATCGACCTCTGGCACATCCTTCAAATACGGGGCATTCGCCCCATCTCCCTCCTCAGTGAACAACTCATCTTCGTCGCCTTCGTCCAGCAGCTCCTCGGCGTCGGGCTCGATCTCCGCCTCATCAAATATGGCATGGAACTGCGGAAGTCATCAAAACACAGACCAACCAACAGCAAAGAGCAACGCACATGTGTGATCAAGCCTCGAACGATCTTGTGGGTGTGCGCCATATTGGCCAGAACCACCGCAAAGCTCTCGGCTCGCAAAAGATTCGGGCTGAACACGATAGCCAGGCCCTCCGCGGTCATCTGATTCGAGTCCTCGAAATCAGCAACTCGGTCCAAGTGCTCTGCCACCCGCTTGAGCAAGTCGTAGTTGGACTGAGGGAGACCGTGCACGACTCTCCGCACGGCCGCAAGTCGTTGCTCGAGGTCTTCGATCTCTGTGATCAGAAACATGAGGGACTGCAGCATGACACGATATTCAGGTCGACGTACGGGCGGCCTCAATGGCAGAATGATAGTCGGATCGTGGAAACAAGGGGACAGGAAGAACACGCAGCCAGGATTTGACCAGATCACAGACTGCGTGGATGTCGGTGAATTCGTCAATGGGGTCCTCGCCTCGGTTGAAGGCTTCCTTGAGGGCACCGATGGTGGAGGTGGCCCCTGCCAATCGGTCTTGGCCACGGATGTCAGTCCTCAGATCCCCAAGAGCGGATTCGACACTCACATATTCCCACTTCCTTCAATCCCCGTGTCTCTATCTCAGACAAACATCGCTCCATGACTCGCGGGATGGTCCCTGCAGGGATCTCTTCCAAGCCCGTCTCCCGTCTCAATAGCACATTCAGATCAACACCAAACACAGCATGCGGGTCTCGAGAAGCAACAACCGGTCCATCGTCGGTCAGCTGTGGCTTCGGACTTCCGAGATAGGTCAGACGCCGGCGGGCAGTGGTCTGTGTCACCCGTGTGATGGTCTCGATCCACCTGTTCAGCTCTCGCTTGCTGAGAGCCTGGAAAAGATAGTGCCCCCCGTCATCCGTGTCCAGCTGAAACACAAAAGAGCGGTCGTTGTTCACGAACTGAACAACCTTGGCTTCGACTAGACTCGCCACGAGCGACGGCTTTCCGGTCGGAACAAAGTCTAGCTCCTCCGCCGTGCGTTTTGGACCGGGGCTCTGCACGACTTCGGTCCCGAACGCACTTGAAATGGGACGCATGAACTGGAAGAACGCAGAAGACATGCTCTTCTTGCCCCGCTGGTGCTTCTGCTGTTGCGGCGTAGTCGGTTGTCTGCGCATCATAGCCTTGTTGAGCTGATCTTCTCGCTTGTCGTTCTTGGTCTGCTCGTGGGCCCGCTCTTTCATGAATTTCGCGCGCAAGGTTCGATCGCGTTTGTTCTTCTCGAGCTGTGCAGTAAGTAATCGCTGGAAGGGCCTGAGTGATCGCCGTGAGGCAGCAGGCGAGCTGCCTGGCCCAGGTGTTCCTTCCCGTTGCGCTTCTTCCTTAATGCCACGATGGTCGAATTGCAGCTTCCAGATCTCCTTCTCGATGTTGTTCAGACGCTCAAAGGCCCGTCGGGTAACATCGTCACGGTGGCCCACGTTGCGAAGCAAACCAATGAGCGAGTCCAGTTGTCTGCCAACAAGAGTAAGCTAGAACATCAACGAGAGGTAAAAAGCAAAAAAAAAAACGCACCGGCGCTTGTCAAAGTTGATCAGGCTGAGACCTTCTTGCTCCGTCACTGGCTCCAACGCATCAGGCGATGCGATAACCTCCAGCATGCGCTCGAAAAACCAGCCCATGTCCATGGTAAGCTCTGTCCGAGTCGCGTTCGGCGGCACCACAGCCCGGCTGATCAGCGACGAAATCGAGTCGCACTGCACACCGCGGCTCATGGCAATGTTGAGCCACGGGCGGGCATGGAATCGGCTTTCGACACTGAGCACAGCCGACGTCAGGACCGCCTCAACAAACGATCGGCGAGCAGGGAACTCGGCAACAGAGGCCATCGCAGACGCGTCAGAAGGCAAGCTGCGGATTCTTGTGATCTCGATAGCCCGGAGGACCAGTTCCATCCGCGATTGTCTAGCTCGCAAGCCCACCCTCGGCGCAACCAATTGTGCGATCGCCCACTTGCGCAGAATGACATAGGCCCTGACACAGCTCCGGATCCCAGGCGGCAAAAGTCGGTAAAGCGAGTCTTGGCCCAACTCAGAGATCAGCGAGGACGGCTCGATCTCTTGCAGATATGAATACATGTTCTGGATCTCAACCAGGTCAACGTCGCTCTGCGCATAGGGCAGGAACCATCCGAGGCGGTCCGCCGTCTGCACTTCGAGAACGTCAGCAGCCACAAACAAGTCCTCCTCCGTCACATTGCTCATCGCTGCACTGGCCATCGCATCCAAGTTGTCGACGAGCTCCTCCGGATCGATGCGATCCAGATCCGGTGGTTCCCGAGTGGTGATCGTTTGGCCTTGCTGAGGACGAGCACGTGGCCTCGCCGTCGGATACGTCGCCGGGGGGCGCATGGTGTATTGGTTGAATGTCTGCTGGAGACGAGCTCGGACTTCCTGGAGTGTGCTCCACGCTTGTTGAACGCTGGGATCGCTTGCATTTGCGGAGACAACGATGTCATGTTCGCCGGTATCGCTGAGGAAAGTTCGAACGGCATTCGCCAGCTGAATATCATCCAGAATGTCCTGTGTGCCTCCACCTTGAACGATCCAGTTCCTGATCACATCCAGAACATCCGTCCGGCTTCCAGCGACGAACAGATATTCGGCGACCGAGGGGACCGCTCCTCGGGGTCGCCGCTGGAGATACATCTTCCGCAGCAGCTCGAAGAAGACCATGGGGCTAATCAGACTGCGGAAAACATTCCACCACAGTTTGGCAAATTCGACGTGGTCGACGATCAGCTCCCTCGTCTTGCCCTCCCGCAGCGCCATCTCGCCGTTGTCGTCCGCGACGGAAACAGAGACGTTGTGCAGACCATGCACCAGGATGTCTACGAGACAGTTGAGCGTGCCGGCTTGAACTCGCACTCTCAGTGGCGGTTCTGTCGATGGTTCCGACGCCACAAAAGCTCGTTTTTGCGACGGAGACGGCAGAGAATTCCGTCGCGCAACACTCGTCTTCCGATCCAGACCTTGGGAAGCACCAGGTTTGACACGGACGGAGGGGGCTCGGCCCAGCGAAGGCTCGACACTCGGGGGTCTCGAAGGAGCGCGGGAAGACGGCCGAGAACTAGCAGTCGAATCATTCCCGCCACCGAGCCATACAGACAGCAGCACCTCGCCGTTATACACCGGGATGATGGTCCCCACCTGATTCAGCGCGGCGAGGCCAACGGGGTTCCGGTCAGGCTGGGCAGCGCCTTGCAGATCAAGCAGAAACCTGGCATTCGTGTCACTGTCAACGCGTCCGCGCAACAGTTGGGACCGGTCAATCAGCGAGGCCGTCGGGAACACTTCGGGGAACAGCACCGGAACAAGTGATGTGTAGGCAGTTTGATTGGTCGGACGCGACCAGTAATGTGGCTCGAACAGCCCCTTTCGCTTAGGCTCAGCAGCAAGAGAAAGCGACATGAACTGCTCCACTCTATATCCGGTATGTCAGTCAAGCGTTCTGACAGTCATACACGACAGAGATTCATAAAACAGATGCTTACCGAACAAATTTGGCCGCAATACCACCACTGGCAACTCCTCTCTCTCTCCAGAAGTTGGCCAGCAGACGCACTTGATCCCCAACTTGCTCTTCAGACAAGACCGCTCGCCGGGGGCAGAGCAAGAACTCCTGTCTGAATCCCGCAAACAAGTCGACTGCACGCCTCATCGGGGCAACACTCAGCACCTGATCGGGCCCAACGTCTTCGGCGGCTGATATGCTGTCGAGGTCTTCCCTGAGCCTCTGACGGATTGGCCCTCCCCACGGAGTCAGCCGAGGCTCGGTTACTTGGGATCCGTCGCCATCAGCTGTCCAGGATTCCACCACTGTGACAGCAGGGGCATCCACTCTCCTCCACACTTTTTCCAGTCGGGCGATGGGCGCAGAGCATAGCGCAGCAACAATTGCTCGCCACGAACAATCGTCGCCGCTCGTCCTGCACAGCTCACCCACCCGAGCCCAGAATGATATCAACTCGCTGCGTGAGTGGGTGCGCGAAGTCGTCGACTGTTCTCCGTTGTTGTCTGACCCCAGGATCTGTACAAGCAACAGCTTCGTCAGCCAGTGTGGACTCGTCTCGCTGCCAAAAAGCTGGGGACAGTTGTCCCCGGAAAGAACAAAATCCGACATCACGTCGTCAGGGGCTTGTTCCAGGACCGAGCGATGAAACAGAGTTAAGCTTTGTGCAATGACCTGGGGATCCATGGCCAGCAAGACATCACGTGTCAGGCCCTCGGACTGGAGGGCAGCCCAGGGCATTTGGGAGGCTGCAGAGTCTGGCTCCAGTGCATCCAAAAGACTGTTCAAGCGAGCCGAGCTGTCGTCTGGCCGGGGCGAAAAAACCTGGGGTGTACCGATAACAGGCGACGGCGCAAAGATGGCCTGGGTCGATACGGTGTTGGGCATTCCGGCCTGTGCAGCGACGGTCCGGCCCGGTAGAACAACGCCCGGGAAAGCATCTGCACTCAGAATCTGCCACGCTTGCGGATCGACTGGAGGACCATGGAATCCGAGGTACTCTTCCATTACCCATTTGACCCGTTTTCGAACCGCTTCCGAGTCTTCTTCTGCTGCACCGGAGACGAGGTACCCGGCACATCGAACGAGCTCAGCCTCGACCTTGCCTCGGTCGGTCAAAAGTGGCAAGCAGAAAAGCACTGCCCTGGCAAATATATGCCAATCTTGCTCGGACAACTGGCGGTCCTTGATGAAGGCAGTCGCGAACACCGTTTCGTGTAAAAGTGCTTCAATGGTGCCTTTCGCCACTTGCTGGTTCAGGACATCCACGACAAGTGCTGGATGCCGACCCTGCCCCCAAAACGCACGTTTTTTCCGCGTCATGCTCCCCGCGTCTCGTTTCTGGCCCTGATCGACCTCGACCTCTGTGTCATCTATTTCGGGCGCGTCCTGGACAATACCAATTGCAAACAGATCTCGGACTCCGGCAGTGCGGTCACCAGGTGTCTTGTGAAGGAGCAGTTTCGTCCCTCGCACTTCCATCTTGAATGGCTTCCAACTTCTCGGATCAGCCAAAGCCGGCGTCATCGCGCGATTGATGAACCCCGTCGCATACAGAATCTGGGAGGCACGTTTCCCTTCGTTGGACTCGCTGCTCAGGGCAACAGAAGGAGGCTGGGCATCTGACGAAGACGCCGGTTGAACCACAATGTGTGGCGGCGGCAACAGAGCCCCCGACGTACTGGAACCAGCCGTCGTATCCAATGATTTCGCTGCGCCTGCCGCCAATAAGCACTGATTGCACGACTTGGCGACAACAACGCACCTCCGAGATGGAACGAAAAGCCAGCCCCACGCCTATCTCCTTCAAACATCGGTGCCTCCGCGGCTTCACCCGTACTGCCCTTGCGACCTGGACTTGCGAGACGGCTCGATAGTTTCGGAGTGAAACTGTGTGATCGGGTGTGCACTTGTCCGCCTGTTGATGTACGCTTCAGAATCGGATACGGAAAAGAGAAAACTTTGAAGGCTTTACCTGGAGTTGCATTCATCATCGGCCGATCATCCAAAGCTGGGGCAGATATTGATATTGACACAGGGGAACTCGGGCTATCATGTTCACTGTGGGAATCATCCCGGCCAGGGATCGTTGGCCAGACCATAGGCCGAACAATCCCGGCCGACGCACTGGGCGGGGTGCTTCCAGGACTGCCTGTGCCCGTGGTACTATCCGCTGTCCCAGTCCGACTCGGTCCACTTCGCCAACTACGTGAACTCTTGACACTCCGCCCGCTACGTTCCGAATCCGTGCGTTGCCTGGCGTAGAATGGCGGTGTCGGAGCGGCATTGTCACCTTTTGCTATAGGCATCGGGACGGAAGCGGACAGTGGCCCGCCGGTATATATGCTGAGCCCAGGACCTAGCGCACTGACAGCACCCATACTTGCGCTGCTCACGTGGCCAATACTTGTGGATGGCGTTGGTGTCACCGTCCCTGTACCAGTCGTGGGCGTATACGCAGTTGCCGCGCCTAACGAATCGGACCGCCCCCGGTACGCAGCGACTTTGTCAACAAAGTCAGTGTTTACTCGGATCGGCGCTCGGCTGTTTGTCGTTGGAGTGGGTGAACTTGGAGAGGATATCAACACAGGCCCGCTGGGAGACGGCGCCAGCCGCAGATCGTCGGCAGACCGGCTCCATGGTCGGTTTCCGACTCCATAGATGCTGCCAGCGCCAGCAGCATAGGGGCCATTAGATAAGGGCGACGGAGCATGAGGTGAAGGAGGTGTATATCGTAGGTCCAGTGAAGACTTGGCTGCTTGATTTGAGATGAGAGGCGAAGAATGAGGCAGATTGAGTGAAGGTCTGGTGAGATCTAGGACAGAGCTACGGCATGCGTCAAAATCGATGGATCACAGCACGAATAGAGCGTATTAGAGAATAAATGAAAGCGGACTGGAGGTGGAAAGCCGCGAGAAGTAACGTGGGCTGTTTAAGATGTACTTCTAAAGCAGTCTTCACGTTGCTAGCGAGGCAGCTCATACAACACATGGCTCTTGGAGTCCGAAAGAAGAGCGAGAACCCAGTAGAACGAGCCGAACTATGCACAGGGCCGACACTTGTCACCATGAAGCACCAGTTCAACACAAAAGACAAGTCGGAGCAGTTTCATGGAGGAAGGACGCAAAGCCAAAATCGCTCATCGTACCGAATAGCCGAACAGAGGAAGAAAACGCGTTAAACGATGAGATAATGGGGACTTACCGGCTACCTGGCACCCCCTTGTATCCATCTGCATCTAGGATTGGTCTCGGATCTGTCGGACGTGAGATCTTGGCTTTTCGAGGACCCGCTGAGCCTCCCGCTTGACTGGAGATACTGGGTCGGGGAGATGCGTCGCCTTGGCCATTTACACGCGATCCAGATGTGCTCCTGGTGAACCATTTGCTCGGGCGCGTCAAAATGGAAGCGATCGGCGCGCGTGAGGGTGTGGGTGGCCCGTTTTGTGGATTTGGAGGGTAAAGCGATGTCGACGAGGGAGGCGGGTCGGGACGCTTAGGCATGAGGTTTTGGTTCGTTGTCAGGCGTCAAGATCGTGGGCAGGTGTAAGTGTGAGGGGTGAAACGAGGTCGTGGCAGGTGAAGAGGAGGCTGAAGTCGAAGCACCCGCTAGAAAGCAGACACGGTCAGAGACGGATACGCGATACTATTGTAAAGACTCGGTACTCACCTCTCGAGGAAAAAAACCGCGGTGCCAATCCTCCTTCTGCTACTTGGTGTCCTGATGTCGGTTGCTCGTGTCAGGTCGGCTGGGTCATAGAAATTACAGACTGAGGGCAGTATGATAAGATACAAGCTGGCAACGGGCGAGAATGAACGAACTTAGCAAGGCTCGTTCAATGGCGAAGAGCGTTGACTAAATAGCAAAGGGTAAGAGCAAGAGTGCGTGTTTCCCCAAATTGAAGCCAGCACGTGTTGACAGTTTCGTATGTACGCGTCAAAAGCGCCAACTACTTATGGACATCTCACACGAGACGACCTGTATCACTGCCAATAGAATAGGCGGCAACTAAGCCAGAACAGTATGGCATTCTTCACGTTGGCGGAGATGTAATGTTGATCACGCCGCTGGAGCACTGAAACTGCAACAGTTGAGCCAGAGTCCCGGGAAAATCACACATGCTCAGATGGCAAAATCGGGAGGCATGGTCAGAAAGAACGGCATGGCATGGCATTACGATAGATATTGGAAGTGCGCGGGTTACTATGGAAAGGATGTAGAACCTCTGGTAAGGAACTCCCACTCGAAATCAAACGACAAGCCGAGAAGGCCTCGAGTGTGCTCCAGCTAGAGGCCCATTGGCTCTGGAACCAACGGTAGGCTCCTGCAGAAAGTGAACTGCACGAGAACAATATGTGGTACGGAAATGAGTAAGGATCGTTGAAACTCCGACGTGTCTTTTATAATCGTCTGGACGTCACATGATATAGGTTTCACGTGGGTAGCACCTGACCCCGTCTACAACGGGTCGTTGACTCAATATACTTGTTTCAACTTTACTGAGTTCGATGCAAATTCAGATTGAGCACCTAGATTGCACAATCGTCCAGGGTGATCAACTTCCGGCAGTGATTGAATTGGATATATAGTATAAGCCACAACTGGAAACAAGTCTACAGTGAACACTGGCATGCATGCCGATCAGCGCACTGCTACCAACATCTCATGATGCATCGACCAGCACACCATCCTCAGAAGACTGTCGGCTCACTATATGATCAGTCAGAAATTGGCTGCGATTGACGAAGGTACGAGATGGACAGACCGCCTCTCCCTTGCTCCAGAGCCAATGCGCTGTTCCAGTCCTCCTCAAATAGCTCCGCTTGCTTTTCTGGATGTGCGACCGAAGCGGCAAGTTTCGATCGTTTTTTGGTGTTTAATTCGGATTGCCAGGCGTCCACAGCCTTCGAAGCTTGGCTACGGGCTTGTCAGCAAAGTCTACTGAGATCGTTACCGAGATCCTTTCTTACCTCGGGGCGTAGGTTCGGGCAAAAATTGCCGCTTCAGGTGCTCGATCTGTCTTGATCAACAAGTCAACACAGGCAGCGGCGTCCCCGAGCTGCAAAAGTGTCGCAAAGGCCAGGTTGTTCTGGCCCTTCTCCACTAGAAACTGACGTCACCAACAGGTTCACACGGCCCAGAAACTCAGACGCACGAGCTTTGGCTGAGAGAGCAGCGAGACCGGGTCTGTCTCCGGTGGATAGCAGGAGCAACATAAGGGCACTGAGATCATTGCCCCTTTCGAAACACTCTTTGGCCAGATCGAATCTCCAAGCGGCCAACGCCCGATCACCCAGCGATTTCCACTTGATCTCGGCTTCAAGCTCGGGAACAGCGCGAACGATGTCAAGCGCCGTGTCAAGATCATCTAGTTGCAGAGCAAGATCAAACTTGTGATCCGGGTCCACCGTGACTTGCAGTGCTAGTTCCTTAAGATCTGCGGGAATCAGAACACAGATCTGTCGCCATTCAAAATCAAAAGCGCACCTTTGCCCTCTAGGAAACGTGCCACCCGATTCAATTGGTCTCTCGGCAGCGTTGGCAAGATTTCGGCAGCGGCGTCCATGTCGTCTCGTAATATCGCTGTTTGATACTCCACCACACCAAGCGACAGGGTATAGCTGAAGATATTCATGTCCTTGTCCACGAGGTAGACCCGGTTGTGGGCTGGGATATATCCAAGCAAATAGAGCGGTCTGGAAAACCCCCGTGAGCTTCGTATCGTGCAAATGGCCGAGAACTCACGTGTCAAATGGACTGATGGTATACGACTCAGTTCCAACAAAGTACGACAGGCGGTTGGTTGTTGTCGTATAGATGAAACAATCCCCAATCCATTTCGCGGTTTTGATACTTGAGACGACATCAGCAATAGGGCCTGGGGCAATGACTCGCTCGACTCACGGCTCAGCAATGTCAGCGATGACCTCGAACGCTTCCTCTACGCCTTCATCCGTGATCTCTTCACCTCCGGCAAGAGCAGCATCGTACGCCTCGCGGTCAAATCGAAGGATGTAGAACGATTCGTCTGTCGCAATCGCCACTAATGAACCAGTCCCAGACCAAAACACCTATCAGAGGCATTAGCTGAGAAGATAACGGAATATACCGACGGACATTCTTGGCATCCACGTCAATGCGTCGGACAATCTCACCACTCTCCCAATCCCAAAACACAACGAAACCAGAACCACGAGCTCCCAGCAAAGTTCCGCCATGGAGACCATCAATCGACCAGCCACCGGCCCCCTTCATAGGGCCGCTGGTTCTCTCCTTGAAGTTCTTATAGATCTTCAACTTGGTCTTCGTCTCGAGCACCGCATAGGTGTTGGAGTCAGGCGCCCATGCAAAGGACAGACCGTTGCCGAAGGACTTGTTCCGCCATGCAAGAGCGGTATAGGTGATGTACTCACCGTCACCAACGACGGTAACGAACCGGCCGTTCGGAGAGTGAACGAGAGCAGACGCATATATCTCGGTGTTTCCGATCTCTTTCGAGGAGAAACGGAGCCGGGATCCATCGGCAGCATCCGCGGAGACGTCGATCGTCTGTAAGTTGCCAGATAGGACTTCTTGATTACGTGTGAAGATGAGTTTCCCGGACGGGTCCATGCTGAATGTGGGCTCGTCACGCCCGAGCTGTGAAGTTGAGATATTATCCACGAAAAACAGAACGTGCATAGCGTACTTTGATGACCACAACACCTTCATCGAAACCAAAGGCAACATCGTTGGCTCCTGGCCGCAGCGCAATGCACCATGCGCGCTCGAGGGAATAGCTCAACGTGTTCTCTATCCGGTAGGCACCGCTGTTCCAGATTTTGACGGTCCCATCCTCGCTGCCACTGATGATCAAAGGAAGGTTGGGATGGAAGACGGCGAAGGAAACATTGTTGGTATGTCCCTCCATGGTCTGTACGCAACTCTTGCTGAGGTAGTCCCACACCTTGACGGTCTTGTCATCGCCGGTAGTGACAAGATAGGGTTTGTCTGCGCCTTGATAGAAGTCGACTGAGTTGACACCCTTCTCGTGCGCGTCCATGGTAAAGTTCGCGGTTGGGGCGCCGATGTTCCACATCTTGACGGTTCGATCCAGACAAGCCGACGCGAACGTGTTGGAATCCTTGGGATTGAAACAAAGGCTCATGATGAAGTGGGTATGGCCCTCGTAGATCTGTGTCGGGATTAAGTAGATAGGTCATGAGGAATGGGATGACATGCCTGGATGTTCTTCCAGCTCTTCTCCCAATCCCAAGCTCGAATGGTCATGTCATCACTCCCCGTCAGGACAATAGGAGCGGTGGGGTGGACTGCGAGACATCGAATGTAGTCGGGATGCGCCTCAAAGGAGGTGACCTTCTCGTGCGTGTTGTAATTGAAGACGCGAAGCTGGAAATCGTCGGACCCCGCGACGAACCAGTTCTTACGCGCGATGAATTTGCAGCAGCGAACGGGGACTTCGGACACTTCGAAAGTCTTCACAATCACGCCAGTTTCGTAATTGTAGATGTTGGCGGTTCCATTATAGAGACCAGCGAGCAACCAGGGTTCGGTGGGGTGGAAATCTACGCCTTTGACTCGCTCCGACCGGCTGAAGAGTTTCCTCTGAATAACAGAGTTCAGAGCGCACAAAAGCTAATAGTTCAGATGCGTACATTAACCTCGAACAACATGTCTGCGCGGAGGACGTGGAAGGGTATTGCTCTCAATCAACCAACAGGCGCAAAGATCTGGGCATCGCCACACATGTCGCTGATGGCCGACGGACCCGACGGACCTGATGTCATCTGATCTGTGGCGCGCGACGTCGACGTGCGCGTCAACTCGGCAAGGGCTGATCGGGCGGCTTGAGTTAATTAGTCTTTCACGCTGACCATGTGCATTCCACCTTGCCGTTCTCCCTCGCCGATGAGTTTCGTCGCCCTCCTCCTCGGACCTTAAATACCCGCTTCCGCTCATCCACCCACCTCACTCAGCTCATAACCCACACCCCTTCTAATCTAAACACTTCGCCAATCAATATGCGCCCCGGTCCCGCTTACGGATACCCTCATAGCTTCCATTCATGGCACGGACCCCGCCGTTTCGTGTGGTTCTTTATCGGCGCTGCCTCTGCGACGCTATGGATGAAGCATAAAGAGGCCCACCGATACCCCAACGATCGTTATTTCGGGCACTGCTATCGCCCAGCTGTTCCCGCGCTCCAACCCCGGGCAGACGCAACTCCCCCACCTGCATCGCCTGACGCCCCGATGTCACCTACCTCCTCGCCTCCCGTATCCTTGCCTATTTCATCGCGTGCAGCCGAAATCTCATCGGCAGTAAACCACATGCCTCCGGCGTCACTTCCCTGGGGCTACCCGGAGTCACATCGGGAACGCCAATGGGAAGAAGAGAAGAAGAAACTCCAGAGTATTACTAGACAGGCAGAGGATGTGGTGCGTTTGCTCTCCGAATACTCGGGCTGAGCAGCTTACTAGAATTTCCAGATGACCAAGATATCTGAGGCAACCGTTGACACCATGCTGACTGCGATGGAAGCGCTCAAAGTGGTCTGCAATATCCCATCTGCACTCAACCTCTGACTGATTGATCTTTCCAGAAACTCGCAGAACATCGTCTGCAACGTGAAGAGGCTCAACGCGAGCTCGAGAAGAAGTTGGAGGAGCAGAGGAATGTTCCCCATCGTTTTGTCTAATCCTGCCACCACTGTTCCGCACCCCACTCCCTTCTCAATGTTAATAAGCATGTATCTGTAGCATACTTGACCTGTACAACTCTTATACAATCTGGCTCGTTTCTTCCGAAGAAGTTTGCGACTTGGTGATGTAGTAGGGCATCTGGGGGTCAAGTGTTCCTTGTTGCTCGGCTACGATGGATCAGAAAGAGGCGGCAGTGTGTGGGAAAGACTCTCACGGGTTGAAGACCAGAAGTAGGTGATGAGGCCAACCAGAACCAGTGCAAACGCGATGAAATACAGCCAGTACGGAGAATAGTGCTGGGCCAAGGTCAGATAATGACCACGTGACACAATCGCACTCACATAGAGACCCAGTCCGAAGATGAGTCCGTACCAGTCCGAGGAGAGCAGACTGAGATTGTAGTATGCAGACGATGCCATCCGGTAGAGCAGCGGGGCAACCGTGTACAGAATGAACATGGCTGGACGTGCGAGTCAGAAAATTTCCTATTACAGACCCAGAGAGGACTTGCCTGCCGTGTAAGCAATGATCAGACCAGCTAGAGGGCGGCAATGGTATCAGGCCACGTGCACACCAGTGGAATTGACTGACCTGTAGCGCCGTTCCATGAGGCCGTCTTCCACAAGTTGTGCTCGAGGCCAGAGGCTTGACAGAGACTGATGATCGTGGCCCACATGCCGAGCTGACCGACGACCTCGTACAGGGGCCGTTTGCGGACGAAGAACTCTTCCGTGGCGTTTGCTGGGCACCCAAATGAGAAAGAAAGGCAGAAAGCAAAAACAAATCACACACTGAATCCATAAAGAGTGGCGCCTGCAATCATGAAAGCATCTCCTTTTCCTCGCGAGGCGGGAGTCCAGTCCTTGGCCGTGTGCTCGTCAGATGCAACCAGCAGCCCGAGTCCGGCAATGCAGATGAGAACGCCGAGCAGCTGGGTTCGCTCGTACTTGGTCCGCATGTACACCCAGCAGAAGAACATGCAGACAGGAATGGCCCATCTGGCGGGGCTGTGAGATCCAGCCAGATGCAGTTAAGTAGCCCACTTACGCATCGAGCAGCATGCAAGATAGCAGATCTGTATATTCGTACGCCTAATCGAACGTGAGACGAGTGGACACAGAGCCAGAAGTTCAGAGCGAACCTTGACGACCATGTAGTTCCCCTCGAAATCACATGCAGCCAAGATGATGTCTGTGCAGAGCAGTCAGGAATCTGTCCCGATCCAACCAGTCCCGGCCTACATTTCCACCCATCCGTCAAAACCATTCTCAGCCATCCCATAAACCCGTCTGCAAGCGAGATCACGATCAGAGCCACAGTGAGCTGAACAGAAAGAACACACAGCGATACATTGTGTACGGCGTGTACACGATAAACAGCGCAAAGTAACTGGAGACGAGTCAGACGTCGCGTGAGTCTGCTCAGTGCGCATACGTACAAAAACACGTTTTGCGTCGCCGGGAGACTCCAGTTGCTTCGCATGTCTATAAGCGCCGATCTCAGCTCCGGGACATTCACTCACCGGTTCGTCAACTCCGTGGTCGTTACATTCGTGCAGGTGATGCATAGCGAGACGACTTGGCCCGCAAGGAGACTCAGCACGAAGCGCCGCGTCCACAGGCTCTTGAAGCGTCGAAGGGCGCTGCTCGCAAACGCCCTGACGGAAGTGTACTCGATGGGAGGTCGCTGAGGAATCGGATCAGGCGACTGCTCATCGAGCAGCTCAGGAGCACCGGCTTCGCCAAGAGCGCCTTTGTGATCGTGGTCTGAGGAACCCATGTTTCGCGTCGGCACCTAGAAAAGGACTGATACTTAAGTCCTGTCGAACGTGCCGTAAAGAGATGCAGGATATGGTTTAATGCGGTTGATGGCAGCGGAGAGATGGCGCGTATGTCGAGATAAGAGGGGAGCCGTACCTGAGTCTAACACACGAAAGAGCTGCTATTTGCCGCGATGGGGACAAAGCAAGCCAAGAGGTCAGTGGGAGCTGGAGCTAGAGCCTCAAAAAAGCATGCCCACATGAGATCAAGCACGATCGATCATATCCGTCAATCATAACGGATCATGCTGCTCAGGGGCCGGCGGACGTGTGAAAAATAGTCTCTGCTCACCATGAGCGACAACAACAAGGACCTTCCACATCCGCACGACAATGTAGAGCCGTTGGACTACAAGGAACAATTCCAGGTGCGACGCATCTTTCGAGCCCGTATTCCTCCTGTGACATTGCAGCCACCCTACTGCTACAAAGGACCAAAAGCCGTCTAAATTCGTGGAGTGTGTGTCTATAGTCTTCCACGAGCGAACTCTGCTCAGCAGTCCCCCAGCCCGTGTGAAGGCGCAGCCAAGGCTAGTCTGAAGTGGTGCGCGTCATCGTCGAAACATCTGTGCCCGTGATTGCAACTGCTGCCAGCATGGACGTGAACAACTATGACCGAACGGCCGTGCGTTAAGCAAGCAGCATACATCCGGTTCTGCGCGCTCATGAAATGATGTTAGTGCATGGACTACTTCCAGGCGTACAAGGACTGCAAGGCTGCATGGGTGAGTGAGCTGTCGTGTATCCCGTCTCTCACTAATACCAAACGACGCCCAGATCGAGCGCCGCAAGGACGACCGACGAAACGGACGCTACTGAACGCTCTTGATCGCTGTTGTATTTGGATTTCATTTCACCTGGTGCATATCACTATGCTAAGTAGGGTATCGTAAGTACTGCGAGTGGTCCGTGATGATGAAAGTACACAAAAAATCAAGGAACGACGAAGACGGCGGCGTCCAATACTATGCATCGCCACCCGAATATATATGTAATCGATACAACGTCGGAGAATATACAATTGGCGCACGTTGGTTGATTAGTTCGGGGGCTCGTAATTTGGTCGCGGCGCTTGGATGTAGGATACTGGACGAGAGGCGGCGCCGTTGTTCAGTGGAGGGGGCGGTCGCGGGTTAGTCCCCCAGTCGTCCTGTGGCATTCGTGGCGGTCCCGGTCCCGGTCCCGGTTGCTGGTACTGGTGCTGTTGCTGCTGCTGCTGCTGCTGCTGCTGTTGCTGCTGCTGCTGTGCCATGCCGAGAGGGCGCGAGCTCGGTGGTACGTTGCCCATCGGCGGTCGCTCAATGACCGGTGAAGTCGGAGCATTGAAGCGCGGGTTGCTCCCGTTCTGAGCTGGGTTGTACGGAAGATTGGCATTCGGAGGTCGACCTGACGAGCCCGCCTTGAGCTTCATGTAGGTGTCGACCTTCTTCAGGAATTCCTTCCCAGGAAGTTCCATAGAGTTGGCGAAATATTCCTGATCGTGGAGGATGGGCAAGAATTCTTCCGGCACGGTGAAGAACTCGTCCTGATTCTCCAGCAATGCCGTCACAACCCTGATCGCCCCAAAACTCTCGTCTCGCATAGCGTCCCGGCCACGAGAATATAGAATGCTGGGGCAAATCACAGTAGCAAGGTTGCCCAAGTCCATTTTGCTCCCCGTGGTAGCATCCATGTGTGCGAAAGATGCCACCCATTTCAAAAACACAAAGAGTACTTCCATAGTGTCCCGATGGCTTTTGGGCATCAACAGAGCAACAAGATGAAGCATCCTCCTTCGGTCTGACTCGAGAGAGAAACCTGCCAGAGTTTAGACATGAGAGTAGAAACTTGCCAAGGGAACAAACTTTGCGATGCTATAAGCAGCCTGTGCAACTTGAATGTCATGAGAGGATCGGGTAGATCGCGAAGGAACTTCTTGAGCAGAGCAGCCAGTTGGACGGGGTTGTCTGTCGTAAGATCGACAGAAGCAGGATCCCGGTCAATTGCCTCGGTCAGATCCTTCAGTCTTCTGATGTTGCCGTTCTTGCGGAAGATACCCTCGATTGACATATCTGACGACGGATAAGCTTCATTCCAAGACTCGAGGCTGACTGCTTACCCATCTGCCGCATAGCTGATATCACGTCATCGATGAAGCTGGGAACCCTCATCGTTTCTCTAGTTGCACCGAGAAGAGAGTCGGAGCCGTCTCTTTCCACTAAGAACTCGAGAGGGATGCCGAATACACCTTGCATTATGCTCAGCACACGAATGGGACAATCGAGATACGAGACTCACCTTTCTTCTTGACGTTCTTCTTGTCGCCTGCCTTGAAAAGCTTGTTCCAGAACCCGCCCTTCTTCGTCTCAACGAGCTCAATGAGTTCATCAAGATCAAACTGATCTCTGAGCGCTGAGCGATGCAAAGCCAAGAGAGCAGCATGCTTAACGATGGCTAGCTCTAAAGCGCTTAGCTCCGCAATGTAGGGGATGGCGCTTTCCCGAGGAAGTGACCTTCGCTCCTCTCTGGCCTGGGCAACCTCCATCAACTGAGGAATATCCGCGAGGGTGATCCCGTTGTCCAGCTTCGTCGGTGGGCCCCGTTGCTCTTCTCCGCCAGCAGGTGAGTTAGGCGCGCTGTCGTCAACGATCATGACCTCTGTGTTATTCCGAGCGAAGGCAGGTCGCAAAACCTGTCCACCAGGCGCAAGCCCACCATCAGTGGGCATCTGACCTAGATGGGGTCTGACAGCACGACTGCTCGGCTGTGAAGGTGACCGCTGAGAGACTTGCCCCTGCTGGCCATATTGTGCCTGCGGTGCCTGCGGTGGAGGTTGTTGCTGAGGTTGAGATGGCTGAGCCGTCGGTTCCTGCGTCTTCTGAGATGAAAGGACCTCTGAAGGCGCACTCCGTCCGGCAGGACTTTCCACTATGGTAGATCGCTTTGGAAGCCGGGCCGTTGCCGACAGCTTGCGATCCAGATGCACGGACTTCATCCGCATTATGTCAGCTGAGTTCCTGTACGGATCAGACTCGGGGGCTGGGAGTGCAGGGCCTGTTGCGGTGTCTGGATCTCCGTTAGAGCGAACCGAATAAATCAACACAGCCTTGACTCGCCTGGAGATAGCGGAACGACGCCTTGCTTCTTCAGCAACAGGTACAACCGCCGCAGAGCAACATTCAGGAGGAACGAATACTGCTCGAGCCGCTGCACGGGTTGGAAACCTCCCCGACAACCAGGACGAGCATGTTCTGTGCATAAGATCACTGTGGGAACTTCCCCAAATGAGGAAGTCTCTTTCATGGAGCCCACTTCGAACACGAAGGCATTGACATTGGCCGGCGGTCGTCGGGCGGAACTCGGTTTCGAAGGCGGGGCTCCATCCTCAGCGACGTCGCGCTCCTTTTCTTTCTCCTTTGGCAGAGGGACGGCCGCCGTCTTTCCACACTCAGCACACTGGATGCAATGCGAATGCCAGCGCTGGTAGGTGCCTAGTCGCACACAATCTTCCTCCACCGTCTGATCGCATTTGACACACAAGTCTGATGGAAGACGGCTGACAGACTTGCCAGCACCCGGAGCAAAGGGTGAGTCACCGGCATGTTCCGGTGCCAGACTGCGAAAACCATAGGTCACACCCTGGGTGCCGACGTTGCCAGAAGAGGACTGCTGCATGGTCTCGCCGTTGTGTCCCTTGATGATCCGCCGTGCACTAGGATTGCCGCCTTGCACGGCAAGCAGATGCAGTTTGTCCAGGAACGAAGTCATGGCTTCCTCAGCACTCCTCTCCCGCTCCAATTTGAGTGCGCCAGTGAGCGCGATCCGGATGAGAATTTTTAGGTAGTGCGCAAGACCTGTCACCAGCGCCAACAGTTCCTGTGTCATACCCATCCTCCTTGCCCCAGTTTCTTGCGTGTGCGAGAGCAACGTGAAAAGTTCAACGGTCTTGCGACACAGCATCCGAGACTCCCGAACGTGAGACATGCCTGGAATGCAAGACGTCAGCGGACCATCTGGACGGCAAACAAATGATAGACCTTTCATGTTCAGTCGATAGAAATGATACTCCAAATCATCGATCGTAGCAAATAGCACTTCCACATGCAGAATGAACTTTTCGGCCATCCGAATCGCATCCAGATATTGCCCGTTGCTCACTTGCCGCAGCATATCCGAGATGCACGCTGCGCTCGACTCTTCGAAGGCCGATAGGACACTGCCATCCTTAGCCAAAAGGAGATGCGACAAGGCTGTGGGCTACTCACGTCCAAATCCGGTACACTTGTTGCTCCATCCGTATCTGCTTGTCCTTCAGGGACGATGGCGTTTCTTTGCGCTCCTCCTCGACGTATTCCGGCTCTTGAGGCACTCCCTCCAGTTCAGCCACGCTACTGGGTCGCCTTGAAACGACTTTCACATTCCAGAACTAGGAACCAATCAGCCATCTGACCAGTGCCCTCACTGCAAGCAGACACAGACCTTGTTGATCATGTAACACTCCGGATGCCAGCACTCGTCCCTCATGTTACGGTTGATCTCCACAAATTGCTTGAGAATCGCAGAGTTGCATCCGGCACATTTCGTGGCAAACCGAGACGAGTAGTGGAAATGGCAGTAAACGTCATTGTCGTGCTCGTAGTACGAATCTTGTGGACCGAATAGAGTCGAACAGAGAGAGCAGGTGAAATGTTCCACGTGAAACTTCTTGTCTGGAAGAGGCGTCAAGCTGGTAAGATGAATAGCGGCGAGAGCACTGACTGCATGCAGTGATGTAACTGCCTCGAAGAGCCATCCCGCACTTTGCGCATATCAAGTTCAGACGGCGAAAGTAATCACGTTCGCAGAGAGGGGACTGTTTCCCGTCCGGACCCTCGATGGGGAAAAACTTGGAGGCCACAACGTCACCGCAATCCTGTGCACCCGAGGTCAATGATGCGAGATCAAAACCAAGGAAAGGCGCGAACCAAGCATTTGAAGCAATTCAGATGAAAGACTGTGCCAAGGGCTCGAACAAACGGGCCTTGCATAGGCTTTCCGCAAGATGCGCACATTCTAGCGACGATGCAGAAATGAGATCAGAGAGATCCAATCCAAGCATAGGGGACTCACGCGGTGGAGACGCTGTTGGACGTGATGGAGGATGGCGCACCTGGTTGCGGTCCACCCGAGTTGTTTGACGCGCCTGAATGGGCTGAGTTGAAAGACCCATTGCTGCTACTGCGTGCGAGCCCCATCTCGACTGATGGCTGTCCCTGCTTGCTCGATCCCGCTGGCGTCGTCGGGCGACTACCTCCACCAGAGGTTAGCAAAGAAGCGACCGTTCGCGGGGAAGAGGACATTGGTGGAGAAGGAGAATGGTCATCGCTGTGAGCATGCGGAGGGATGTCGTATGCTAGCATGGGACCACGATCGGATTCGGTGCCCGTGGTGCTAGCTCGGATTGGAATCGAGCGATCCAGCGGCCTGCCGGGGCTGAGGGGTGGGGCTGTAGGAGACGGAAAGGGCGGGCGTGACCTGGGTGAGCGAGCCGGTTCTGGTTGGGGTTGATTGTAGGACTGTTGGGTAGACTGGAAGGTCCCTATTCTGCCGGGACCAAGCTGGCTGGCGTCGGGCGTCATCCGTAGGGCGCCAGCACTGAGTTCGTGGTTGTCGGCTGCGACGGCGAAGGGAGCAATAAGGAGTCTGCGATGACAGTAACTTGTCACTGGTAACGGAGTCACACACTCTCCACCAACGTTGACGAAACAAAAAAAATGGGTCTCTGTCCGGCTACTGCTGGTACTATTACAATTTGTACATCTCCCATCCATGGACTGTCGCCCGGACTTCTTCATCTCCTGGGTCTTCAGGAAACATGGGTGGATAGCGCCGCGTGACCACTTTGTCACAGATCCAGCCCTGCTCGCGCGCATTGTCAAAAAAGTCCATGTCTCGTGCCGCAAGGTGTGGGCGATGATGTGTGTAGAAGACGAGAACTCGCCCGTTCTCTTTCTTCAGAGCCGCTTGACAAGTCTCCAACAACGCGGCATGCTGTTCCTGCTCAGCTTGTCCAAGAGAAAAACAACCCTCTGCCCACGCACTTGAGAGTGATTGAAGATTAAGTCTGAGAGCAGGAGGTAATCGAATCCAGATGGCGCTACTTCGAGCAACTGTTGGACAGGATGCCCCCAGATATGGCCCTGCATACCTTCAATCACTTCGTCGAGACTCGGTATGAGATCAGAACTCGTCCCACCTTAACAGATACTCGAGCTTGCAACTGAGCTTTTTCCACGTTCTTTTCCAGATTTTTCAGCAATGCCGGGTCTGGATAATCAGTGAGCAGAACCTACGAGAAGGCTTGAACGATTGAAATGCAGACGGGAAATCTGTGGACATACATGTTTCGCACCATTCTGCGCTGTCACCAGCCCCGGTAACCCACCCCCAGCACCGAGCTCCAAAACATAGGACCCGGCGTACCGCTTCGGGTCCGAGTCTATATAGGATGCGAACGCTCTTGCCGCATTCCACCTTTTGAAGTATCACAGATTTATATCTCTACGGACACTAATGAAACAACATACAAGTAATGGCCCCACAAGGGATGTGAACCTACCAGTTGTATTTGTAGTTCGTGCCAGTCCGGCTCTAGCGCAACCTTCTCTCGTCGGTAGACAACAATTGTAGGCTCGGGAGATGGTGGTCGTTCTTCCTAGGCTATTTTCATTTCTATTTGACATTATCGCCGAAGATACCAACAGGAAACATCGAATCGAGGTCGAGATCGTCGCCCTCTGACATGGTTGAAAAGTTACAAGTTATGATCGATGCGATCGACTTAGCCACGGTGGCAGTGCAGATATTGCTCTTAGTCAACTACTCTCATGGTCCAAGCGCCAGATTTCGTTCCAGACAATGCGCCCGAGCACTGTCCTGTCTGTTACTATATAGCTTTTCTCATCAGACACTCATGAACGCATAATTAGGGGACCGATTCTGAATTGGCAGGCAAAGTAGACGCTTGTGCTGGATGCGACAACCAAGCTATCTGCGCTTCCAACCTTCCAAAGCAAGAGGATCCAAATCTGCCTCTGATCACCGAACGCATGTCCACTGTCAGAAATAAAATTCTGGTGTTGTCGGGCAAGGGCGGAGTAGGCAAATCCACCTTCACGTCGCAACTGGCGTGGGCGTTCGCAGCAGACGAGTCAGTACAAGTGCGTTCCAGTCATCTCACACACATGCCCAGACCGAACTTTTCCTGTGAGACCGGAATCATGGATGTTGACATCTGCGGACCATCGATACCAACCATCCTCGGAATTGAGTCCGAGCAGGTGCATGCCTCCGCCTCGGGCTGGTCACCCATCTACGTACAGGACAATCTCGCTGCCATCTCCGTGGGCTGCATGCTCCCCTCCTCGACTTCTGCTATCATGTGGCGCGGCCCGAAGAAGAATGGGCTAATAACCCAGTTTCTCCGGGACGTGGACTGGGGCCCATTGGACTATCTGCTGGTTGATACACCTCCTGGGACGTCGGACGAGCACTTGAGTGTAGTGCAGCTTCTCAAAGACAGTGGGATTGCTGGTGCTGTTCTTTTGACTACCCCGCAGGAGGTTGCGCTGCAGGACGTGAGGCGGGAGATCGACTTTTGTCGGAAGGTTGGAGTGAGGATTCTGGGGCTGGTCGAGAACATGGCTGGGTTCGTCTGCCCGTCTTGTAAGACTGAATCGCAGATATTCAAACCAACGACGGGTGGTGGGAAACGGTTGGCTGAAGAGATGGGCATTGAGTTACTAGGCTCCGTCCCTCTCGATCCACGCATTGGAAAGAGTGCCGATTACGGTGTCAGCTTCCTAGATGAATATCCAGACAGCCCAGCCAGCATCGCCTACCTCGATATCATAGATCGTGCGTTGGCTGCGTCTCTTGCAATTTGCGTTCTAAAACACTCTCGCAGGGCTCAAAGAGATCCTAGAAGATCAGTCGCACCTTCGTTAACTATTCTAATCAAAGCAAAGCATAGCAAAATATGTAGTCCTTCCTCAGATATAAAATCCTCCGCCTTCCTTTTTGCCTTTGCGTTCCTCGTCCTCCAGAATCCGGGGCATTTCCGAGACAGGGGCATCGGCTTCAGAGGGATTGCTTTCCACAATATATCGGCCGATGGGAGCAATGTCGCCAAGCCCGCCGGCGAGACCTTCAGCACTTTCGTGAATGGAAACAGTACTGAGAGTCCGCAGCAACTTTCTGCCCTCTCCTCGCCCAACTGTCGAACCTGTTCGTGACCGGGCACCGGGGATGACGTAACCCTGTGAGGGGAACGCGATGGAGCTTCCTCCCTGTGTTGGCTCTGCCGTTTGGGGACTCTCCGTGAAGGACGGCTGTTGTGACGGTGGTCGTGGCGAGCCATATATTGATCCTTGTCTGGTGGGTTGCATGATGCTCGACCTTCGAGCATAAGACGCCACTGGATCCGTGGGCTGCACGACTTTATCGGCTGGAGGTGGCGGCGGAGGCGGCCATATTGGTTCGGGTACAGGTTCGGTCTTTGCCGCCTGGTCTTCCTCCTCTCCTTCTTCTTCAGGGATTGGGGCAGGCTCCGGTTCAGAGGCGAACGTTTCTTCGACCGGTAACCTTGAGATACCCTCGGCAAGTTGGAGGACCTCCTCGTCGGCTTCCTCGCTGGCGACCTCGTCGTCTTCATCATCGATCCCGCCGCGGACTTCCTTGCGGTAGTCTTGGATCTCGTTCCACAGTGCAAGGCGCAGATCTTCCAAGGTGTCCAGTCGCTCGATCGTCCTCCACTTGTCGAACGGGACCTTGCAGTCTGGCTCCTCATCCGGCTCATGGTACCCGCTTAACCAGGGATGCTCCAGTGATTGAGCCACGCTGTACCGGGATTCAGGGCTGAATGTAAGCATGTGCTGCAAGAGCTCGATTGCTGGTATGTTTGAATAACAATCTCAGTCTGCAGCCAACGAAATTTGCAGACCTTGCACATCTGCCGTGGGCAAGATCTTCGAGAAAGGACGCTTCTTGCTGATGGGCAAAGAGCGCACATAAGCTCGCGCCTGAGAGTTGTCAAAATCGAGTTTCCGATGTACTGAGCGAGATCGGACCTTCTCACTCGCAATCTTTTGCAAAACTGTCTCTTCCGGTGAGCCTGAATGAACGCGCTGAGCAGAATCCACCAAAGATGGAACTGTTAAATACCGAGTACGTCGAGAATTTTCTTCAGCTGATCCACTAGTTCCTTGCATAAGTGGTAGCGGATGAACACGAAGAACGAGCAGACCATAACTGGAAAGGGCGTGAGTGGATACAAGTCAGTTGCAGTCAAGTCGGACATACTCTTTGCCTTTGAACAACGGCTGACTCGAAAGAAGCTCCGCGAGGATACACCCGATAGACCATACATCAACTGCCTGAGATCAGAAAGGGCAAGCTGCGAGCAGGCAATCACGGACTCGCTGTGTCGTATTCTCTGATCACATGGTCAAGGGTAGATCCTTTCGTTCATTTACCACGACTCACCGAAAGCCGAGCATGATTTCTGGAGCTCTGTACCTGAAAGAGATCCAGTCCGTCGTTCTGTCACGTGAAAGAAATATATCACCATCGTGTTGCCACATATTCTGTCAGATGAGACGCGTTCTCGAAACCTCGGCTCAAACCGAAGTCGCATATCTTCAGTTCGCAATCAGCGTTCACTGCAAAGCCGTCATCGCCTGGGAAGTTGCCAAGGAGGACCCATCAAACCGAGAAGATTCCCAGGCTTCAGGTCCCGGTGGATCACATCGACCGAGTGGATGTACTTCATGCCTATCGGATGTTCGGAATTAAGATAGCGACCGAGGAAAGCACCGACCTCGTAGAATCTGATACACGAAATACTGCACGTGCTCGTTAGTCAGTGTCTGCCCAGACTTGATAATCTGGTGCAGGTCCGCTGGGGCCTGTTGAGCTCGGAGAACACCAAGAGACCCTATCGATCATACCTTCCATAGGCTGTGACAGACCGAATTCAGTGTCCTGCTGCACAGCTGCCCGTGCATCGTACCTCCATGAAGATATAGCTAGCACACGATAAATCAGATGACACAAAGAGGATGGCGGGACGGACATTTCATTCGACTATCATCGGCGATCAGCCCAGTTGCAGACGGACGGAAGGAAAGGCGCAACGCACGTCGGGGGAGATCATCGTAGCATCTATCAGTCCGGTGATATTCGCATGGCCAGTGAAGTGGCGGAGAAGTGTGATTTCTCGCAGAGCTCGTTTTGCCAACTGCACTTTGTCAAACACACGGGACACCAGCTTGATTGCAACCGTTTCTCCTGTGATTTCGTCGCCCGCAGAGCTATGTTGTCTCAGCACAGCGCAAGCTCAGGGAAATGTAGAACACGCACATAACATGGCCATACGCGCCCGAGCCCATTTCCCGAATGAGTTTCCATCGTCTTTTGACCTGGAATACCTTCCCGAACGAAGAGTGCAGAGCGTGGTATCCCCTGGGACGCAGCGTCAGCGTCGAGGCGCACCACGCGTGCGGGGTGCGATAAGTCGACTGACCTGCGTCTGAGCAGATCGTGTTCGGGAGTGGAATTCATTGAGGGCCTGGGCACTCGCGATCTACCTCGATCCATGGCATGTGGCCCTGGAGGGAGCTCCGGTATGGGTGAGCTGGGTGCATTGCCAATATCTTGCCGCTGAGACGAGGCATGTGATGCATTGACCGAAGAGCCAGCGTCTTTTCCAGGCATATTCTTTGATGAGACCTCGAAGCTGCGCGGCCGCTCGTCAGCTCCGCCTCTAAAAGAATCGGTTCTCAGTGACGCAGTCGCGAAAGTAGACGGAGGGTTGTGGACAGCCACCCTTCTTGCTTCCGGGATCAAATTCATTTTGGGAGAGAAGCTGATAAGTACCAATGAAAGCATGCACAAGCCAGATTGAGTACATGCATAATACATTAATCGTAAACTGGTACAGTATGTATGTAGATACGGCACGGTCCAATAGCAGAAAACCATCAAGCCGCACTCTGTGGAACCTCAACTGTTTCGGTGGTCGTCGGCTCCAAATCCACAGGTTCCCCCAAAATTTTGAGAATATCGGCGACCTTAGCCTTATTTGCGCTCTTCTTCGTCACGAAATTGCGGAGGCCAGACTTGAGATTCGGTTGTTTATCAACCAATTCTCGCAACTGATCTTTGGGTAGGTGAAGTAGGGCGCCAAAACTGGCAGGGGCGATGACTTTGGCACACCAGATGAAACCTTCCCACAGGCGGGGGTTGGTCCAGATTTTCTTGGTGATAAGACGCGAAAACAATGTCGTGGACACAAAAGGGACGAGAGACTTGTATGTTGTGACAGCTTGGATGACCTGCCAAATGTGGTCAGCGGTAGTTGGAGCACCGGAGAAAGGACGTGCCGTTCGCAAGAAAAGCACTGGGATGACCGGCTCGTCTACAATCTGTTGCATGACTACGGCCAACACATCGGAGCGGAAGATCTCCGTCATCGAAAAGCACACGCTGATGGCTGGCCAAGCTTCAATAAAGCAAAGAAAACAACATCTCTAGCGCGCACCTTCTTTGGCGACTTGAAGGCCGATTTCTTTCTCCGAGTCGTGAAGGAGGACCATAAGCTCTGCGGGTCCGAGTAATTCACTTGATCTCAATCGAGGAAGATTGGATGTAACACTGGCGAACGACTGTGGAGGAGCGACGACAATGGAGCTAAAGACCGATCGAACAAGGGTCTTGGACTCGGCTTCTCCGTTGAGAATCGACACAATCTTTGGCAGATGCTTGATGATATCCGCCTTGTCCATTTCTCCGATGATGGGCACAAGGAAGTGCGCATCGAGGTCTCGGTCTTGGATGAGACCTTTGACAAGAGCAACGAGTTGGGCGCTCGGTCGACCGCTTTCGGTGAAGATGTTGAGAACACGCAATGCTAGAGATTCGGCACCAGGAGGGAACGTTCTGAGCAGCGTGAGAAGTTTGCCGTGGCTTGAACCTAAAGAACGGATGAGGGGCGTGCTCAGCTTCTGCACAGCTTGCTGCACAGTGACGTCCATGCGACAGTATTCGGTAAAAATCCTGCCAAAAATAAGAGGAAGACGGATAATTGGTGGAAAGTACTGACTCGTCGAGTAGCTCGGGCACTTTGACGGAAAGAGCGAACAACAGCTCGAGGTGTTGGAGAACCTGTGACTCCCGAGCCGGCAGCTCGATACGTTCCGGAAGATAGGGTGTCTCGACAAGACCTTCGCCGGCCAGCCGGCCATCTTCCATTCGCTCATCCTGGGTGTCGCCTTCTGCAGGAGTAACTGAGCGGAGTTTGCGGAGGACCTGTCTGGCAAACAGGCGGACCCGACCGTCCATGGGCTGTACATTTGGCACCCAGATTTTCACTGTGTTAATGGCAGCACCGCGGATCTTTTTATCTAAGCAGGCGGATAAATACTGGGCTGTAATTACACACAGAGACACAGCTTCACCTGGATGGGTCGTCAGTTCGAGCAAGATTTGCAACGCGTCGTCTCGCATCGACGGTCGCTGCGTGACAAGCCCGCGGAGGGTTACAAAGCCGACCTGCATCTTCTCAAGGCTGAAACCGGCGATCAGAACCAGTTCCGAAAACCACTACGAACCGACCTAGTCCCATCGCCGCACAACTCACGCAACAGGTCCAGCACATCCTCAGGGACAGTGGGCAGATCAAGCAGAAAGCGTGAGAAGGTCTTGTCGAGACGTGTTTGGTAAGAGGCTACAATCCGGCTCAGCCACGTATCGTAGTTGGGTCGCTGAAGATACGTCAGCTGACAGACGGTGCTGCACTATGTGCTTACCCAATCTGGGTCTGCTTGAGACTGGATGCGGTCATTATACCATTCTTCGTTCATCCAGGCAGTTGCCAGCCGGATCCTGAGGACTATGAGGCCTAGTATGCTGCAAGCTCTGACAGGCCTACCGCGCGGGAAAATCCGTCATGATGTAATCACAAAGCTTTTGTCGCAAGCGATCTTGGCTCACAGTGAGGCTGACGACGCTCGCGGCCTGATCAGCCGATTCCTCGTCCTCCAGAGGAGGATTGACAGGCCGGGTGACTAATCTGATTACGAGCAACATCCACATTTCGCTGGGACTGTGTCCACCGGCCTGCTGAGAATCAGGGGGGAGGGCTTCTCCCATGTCTAGAGGCGCTTCGCATATTCGAGTCAAAGCTGTGTCGATCAGAGCGGTCCGTTCAGTCGACGATGGATCCTTCGGAGGAGGCAGTTGGAAGCTGGAAGGGTTCAGATGGCTTGCTAGCGCCAAACCCTTGCTATCCGACCCAAGGCCTGTCAGTTTTGAATCGTCGTCCCCGAGCTTGAAGAGGGTCTGAGCACAATTTGCTGTAAGAAAGCAATGCCTACTTCGTCGTTGAGTTTGTCGGGCTCGTACTCCAACTCATCTTCATCAATGTCCATTTTAAGCGGATCTATGGGCTCATCCTTGACGACGACAGGTGCAAGAGTCGATGGGTGTGTCTCCGGGGTGGATGTTCGTGGGGCCACATCCGCTGACGGTGGCACAGACTTTGATGTTGAAGCTACCGGTTGCGGAGCATCTGCGATACCACGACTCCTTCGAAATGACTGCACGAGTTCCATAAGATCGGCTTCGGAAAAGGCCTCGATATTGGCGACAATCAGATTCGTAATCAATGCGGCGGGTAATGTCGTGAAGTCGAAACCCGCGAGGAAAGTTGCAGAAACAGCGTCTGATTCTGTTTTCATTCGCTTAACATCGCTTGGGGGTTCAGCAGAAACCGGGTTAGGCCGTTTCCTGCCAGCTAGCTTTTGCTCGCTCAAGCGGGCTGCTTGTCGACTCATTATATCATGGATTCTACTAGTGACATCTTGAGAGGGAGCGAAGTTTCTGTGGCAAAATGAATGTCTCATCCATATCAACAGCTGAGAAACTCACCGCGCAAAGTTCAGAAAACAGCGCAACGCTTTCTCAACACTCCGAATCGCGGACAAGGACGACCCACGAATGGAAGAGGATTGGGGAGTCCATTCAAGAAGAGCCGGTATGACGTGAGAAAGGAGTAAATTCGGTCGTAGTTTGCACAAGTTGGACCAGCTGTTGAAGACAGCGGTTAGTGCGTCTGGATTACTGCAGGCTTTTGAGTAGTGATCCAACGCAGAAGACTGAATGAACGTACTCGCTCGAGTAGAGCAATCCAACGACACCCTCTAACAGCTGCTGCCCTTCTGTTTCGAGTTTGGAGGCGAATATGAACGGATGTCCGGGTGGACACATCGAGATGTTTGGGTCGCTTTTATTTTGCAGCTGTATTGCAAAGGTAAGTAGAACCTAAGAACAGGAACAGACACAACGCACCCGTGGATCGGAAACACCGCGAGTTTGGACCAAGATCACGCGTTGCACGAACTTGAGGGCCGAGAGGCGTACTCCAGTGACGGTGGTCGGGTTCCAGACAAGGTCAATGACACGCGCTTTGCACGAAAGTAGGGTGTTCCATGGCACAGAATTGGTTGTGTTGGCGCATCTGGGCGGAACGCGTGAGCGCGTCGGTAAAAGCCCCAAAGGAATCCTCTCACAATGAGCGGAAAAGCAACGGGTAAATGGCAGTGAGGCAGGAGACCACGACTTTAACAACAAGTGGATTACGGTCATCGAGGAGTTGAGCGAGAGTATCGAGTGTCTGGGACGCCACTAGAACAAGAGATCAAGGCTGGTTTGAGAGCGATGTCACGGTACTGACATTGGGTACGCTGCTCGAGAGTGAGTTGTGCGCGGCACAGCGCAAACTGCAAAAGGTCCAAGACCCATGTCTTGAGCAGAGAGTCCCCTCCATCCACGACGAAGCGGATGAGAACTTCAGCAAGCACGGTTATGGGTGCTGGTCGTAGTTCAAGCGACTCGCGAAGCGCAGCAAGTATATCTGCCTGCTCTTTTGAATTTGCCTCGGCGGTTAATGCTGCCCGGAGGGTTTGCAGTGGATCCGATGGGTTGCTTGCGCTCGCCATCCCTCAATGTTCTGTTCAACCCTGGGTCACAGACTCGGAGCGGAGTTCTAATTTCGGCTGCCGTTTCTCAAGGTCAACCAACAGCCGCACTTTCAACAGCAGGTTTTCATTCAGTATGGACGGTGAGTACTCTCTCTTATTAAATTCTCTGCCGTCCGAAAGTCTGCTTCCCAAGGCAACAGCCTCTCTCATTTTCCCTGGTTTCTGTTCCAGCGCACAACGCATGAGCGCTCATGGTGCCTCTTCTTTTCTGCACCATGTTCATTCCCTATAGCTAGCTAGCTACCCTGTTCTTTTCGCCTACGGCCCCGACTTCCCGGCATGCTTCGTCGTCGTTGGAGTTGCTCACAGACTGTGGCCTTTGCTCTTTTCTAGACCGTGCTGGATATCGCGAAGACCGTCATCGTTCATCTCGTCACGAAGACCGCGAGGGCGGACACCGCGACAGAGACCACCGTGGGGGAGACAGGGATAGCCACAGAGACCGTGATCGTGACCGCGACCGCTACAGAGGTGACGACAGACGCGACCGCGACCGTCCCCCTCGCCGTGATCACGATGAGCAACGTCGTTCTTCCCACAACGAAGATGATCGGCGCTCTTACTATCGCGGCAGAGATGAAGACCGAGGATTTTCTGGACGCGGTCGTGATGATTTCAGAGGCGAACGTCGCGGGGGCGCTGGGAGTGGGGGTGGTGCTGGGGGTGGAGGAGGTGGTGGAGGCGGGGGTGGTCGACGAGGCAGAGATGGTTTTGGTACGCCTGAAAGAAGGTCACCCACTCCCGAGGGTGCCATTCCCTTGTCACAACGTCGCCGGAAAGCGTCAGGATGGGACGTGCATGCCCCTGGTTATGAGCAGTATTCTGCTCTCCAGGCTAAACAAACAGGTTAGGTTGACTTGTCATCCTCAAAACCGCAACTGATGGAGATTCATAGGTCTCTTCAATCTCCCTGGTGCAAACCGCACCCAAATTCCTCCCATCTTGGGTATCGCAGGTCTTCCTCCACCAATGCCTGTTCCAAGCTTCGGAATGGGCATTGGTGGCAACCCGAATCTTTCTCGTCAATCTCGCAGACTGTATATCGGCAGCATCACGCCTGAAGTAACCGAACAAAATTTGGCGGACTTCTTCAACGCCAAAATGGAGGAGATGAAACTCGGCACGAACGCGTCCGGCAACCCTGTTCTTGCGGTACAATGCAATTACGAGAAGAACTATGCCTTTGTTGAGGTTTGACTGTTTCGATGCATTGCCGCTACAGCTTCGCTCATATGTTGTCTAGTTTCGCAGTGCTGAGGATGCGACAGCAGCCATGGCCTTTGATGGTATCATTTTCATCAACGGCCCACTCAAAATTCGTCGTCCGAAGGATTATGGTGGTGACATGCCCAGTGGCGTTTACGTTCCGGGTGTGGTGTCAACCAACGTCCCAGACACCATCAACAAGGTGTTCGTTGGCGGTCTTCCTCCTTACCTGAACGAAGAACAAGTCATGGAGCTCCTCAAGAGCTTCGGAGAGCTCAAGGCTTTCAATCTTGTGCGCGAGAACGGAACAGGTGCTTCAAAGGTATGTATCCTCGCTGATTCTGTCCGAATCCCGGCTCACTGGTGCCCAGGGTTTCGCATTTTTCGAATACGTCGACACCGAGGTGACGGACGTCGCGATTCAGAGTCTGAACGGCATGGAATTGGGAGACAAACATCTCATGGTTCAGCGAGCAGCGGTCGGCGCCAAATCAGACATGCCTGGTGACATTCCCCAAGAGTTCCCGGAGATCCCTCGACCCATCATGCCAGCTGGGGATGTGTCTGGTGGCGACGCCCGGATATTGCTCATGCTTAACATGGTCACACCTGAGGACCTTGCCGACGACAATGACTTCCAGGATCTTGTCGAAGACATCAAATCGGAGTGCGAAAATTTTGGCGCTGTGGAGGATCTGCGAATTCCTCGACCGGCCAAAAAGGAGAAACCAAAATGGGCGCCAGGAGAACCGCAGATCAATGCCCAGGATGCTGCCCGTGCGGACGAGGCTTCTGGGGTTGGACGTGTCTATGTCAAATACTTCCAAGCCGAGGATGCCAATCGAGCGATGAAAGCACTCGCTGGGAGATCCTTCGCCGGCCGCTCGATCATCGCGACTGTCCTCACCGACGACAGTCAGACATCCCCACCACTCCACATTATCTTCGCACCTGAGCCAGAGGCTCCGCCCCCGTTGCCCGCACAGCCGTAGTCAGTCTCAGTATATCTGTATGTCCAAAACATGATGCGATAACTAAACTAAACTTTCTGCCTTTTTGATTCTCTCTCGCTCTCGTCGTCGTCAGATTCATCCTCAGCATGAGCATCTCCACCTTTCAAACCCTTCATTTTCCGGGTTTGCAGTTTGGATAGATCTTGTTTGCCAACGTGCACGCGGCCTCTCAAATCACCCATTCATCCACCTCCTGGTTCTTGCGTTTCTTGCCAAGACCCTTCTCGATATCGGTCTTCTTGATCTTGGGTGCTTTCAGAGCCTGCTTGAGCAGTTCGGGATCGGCCGGGGTGTGTCTTTTCAACTTCATGTCAAGCGAAGGGCCCATGGGTGTAAGCTCGACCCGGGGTGTCCGCGTCCCTGACGCAAGCAGTCGTGTAGTATAGGTACGCAGGTGCACCAGTGGTTCAGAAGCCGTGGAGTCGCCTGTAGTCGAAGGCCCTGTAGGCCCTGTGGAGACGCTGATCACGTATTCGAGACCAGAAAGACAGATGGAGTCGATGACCTCGCCATTGAACAAGGAGATGAGCATGGACTTGAGCTGGGAGAAGCGCGGATTGGTGTCGAAGAGATCAGATGCGAAATGCATTAATGGTTTATGCCCTGGAGTAGACTTCGGGGTCTGCGTGGATTAAAGTAAGGAAAGGGTGTCCTGATTCCCGGAACTTTGAGTGCATACCTTCAAGTCTGCCATGCTAACCCAAGACTCAACTCCAACCTCCAACATGTCGAGGACCCGGTTATCATACATGCGGACGAAGGTCAATCCGTGAGGCCGCTTTTTGGTGGTCTGTCCGATGACGAACATGGACGCGTCATTTTTGTTTGCCCAGAACTCGAGAGATTGTGCGGAGGAGGACGCAGCATCAAATGGGTGAATATCGTTTTTCTTATGAAAAGAGATGGCGTCTGGCCTCTTCAGTGCCATGAGATCCCGCATGACCCCATTAAGAACTTCGCCAGTGTGCGTTCCACGGACGAATACGGCCGTGCGAGGATCCTCCACCTCTTTAGGCTGACGAGCATCGAGCGCTCGTTTGGATCGTGCATTTTTTGGCTTGATAGTTCGAAGCATGACAAGAGTTTTGTGATCCGTTTCCCGTGATTTCATCATCTGCATCAAAGTTGGCCATCTTGCTCTTACAGTGGTCGGGATCTGACTGAATGTGTCTGAATTTCGGGCAACGAGTCCATACATAAGGCACTTCATCGCGTGCTAAAATACGTCCCGGGCAGCAATGCGCATCTCATTCAAAAACCCCTTGGTCATTTGCAACACATCGCCTGCGGACTTTCTGCGGGTTTTCAGCCCTGAGGTGGGAGCTGCAGTGTCGGCAGCTGAGCTGCCCAAGAATGGCCCTCGTTCGAATGTGTTATCCAGGGCAGATTGACCGCCGTGAGTTCGCTCCCCCTGTCCATCAAAGCGCACTTTTCTAGTGACCGACAGTCAGAGGTCGATGGACACGATGAAAGAGAATATAGATCTTACACACAGACAACGTTGCCGTCAGCATCCCTGATGATTTCGACAGGGTAAATTCCTGGAACAATCATTGAATGAAAATTCAAAACGAGGTGCTTCAACATACCATCTCCAGCTCCCGAGAGGACTTGAAAACTGTCATCGGACTGATCATTACTTCCAGAAGGCACCGAATCGCGAAATTCAATGCATCCGCTCTCAGGGATCCGATAGTCGCCCACTTTCACTGGAGCCCGTAGCAGTCAGAAGGGCACCGATAAGAAAAAAGTGGCGAGCAAACCCAGCGATGAACACTCGCATGCTGCGGTCCACTTCGCGTCAAAGGGTCGATACCCTGGGGGAATGGAGAACTGGTAGGTCTTGGATGCAAGAATGAGGATCCCGGGGCGCGTCTGTCACATCCAGCTTGAACTATTTGATCGTCATAGCAGAGGAACAGGACCTACGTCGCCTTTGATCATCGGCTCTCTCATGGCGAGGAAGAGATCCCATGCCTGACCTCTGGCGGGTGCACCTAGATCAACGACGCTGCGGTAGAATCCTGGAGGGATTGAGCGTTCTTTTCGGAAGAATTCCAGAGCTACGAACCAAAGCTCTGTCTGGGAGCAGGAGCTTCTTGTACATTCTCGAAGAAGGTCCACTGGGGATCTCTCTTTTCGTGGTGATATTGACCTTGAAGACTCAGCATCTGCATGCGAGACAATCGACGATGTGCTGCTCCTCTCACCAGATCGAAGACCACTCGGACTCATCACCAACGTGTGCGTGTCCACACTTACGAATCCACCCTGATGAGCTCCTGCGTCATCAGCCGATGCACGGAAAGCGTGAAACAAATGGAGAGACCATCGTTGATTACGCCATGCTATCTCCAATCCATGAACGTGAAGCATGGCCTGATTGATGAACTCACATACTCAAATTCCGGGCGGCATGGTTGCCTGTCGTACACAGGAAGATTTTCGCTGGTAAACTTGTTCATCCAGTCCTGATAGGTGACGAGAGGATAAGCTTTCCAGCCGAGAAAAGGTCTGATGTTCGGCAGTCGAGTTAATTCTTGTGGGAGACTGTCAGAATTCGGACGCGAATTACGAAGAGACACTCAGAACCTGACCAGGGCATCGAAGGAGGGTGGTACATTGCTTCAGCCCCAGGGATAGGTAATTCGAAGTGCATTCCGATGCGAGGAAGAGGTTACTAGTAAGATGGGCAGTTCGTGAAGGGCTTTATAAGAGCTCTGGGGCAAAGAAGCTTAGAGTACGTCTTCAACGGGAATAAACTCCGGCGAGGAAAAAGGTAATAGGAAGTCTTAGTGCGCAAATCAAGAGGCGGAGCGCGCAAGCAAGCATATTGTGTTCACGGTCCAAGTTCAAAGTCGAGATCAGACAGCACTGATACTTGTCTTCACAGTGAATGACAGCGGGCATCTGATGGTCTCCTGTCTAATAGCGACCCTTTGTTGTCTTCGACTAGGCTATTGTCTGCCCTCTACCGTTCTCAGGCAGCCTCGCAACAACTTTGTTCTCCCGAACTGGCTGAAACTGACACCCCCAATTGTGTCTCCTTGCGAACCTCACGATACTATTGTGTAACATCATGTTGGTAATCCTGGTGTCGACGCATAAAAGTATGGTAGACTTTCGTTCTGAACTCATCACCGCTACCCAATCCTGCCGCCTGCGTACCCATTTCTTCACATTTCCATGCAATCGCTGTACGAATGCCAACCGCAATGGGTTCCTGAAATGAACAGCGGTTTCGGGACGCCCGACCAGTCTTCCGCCTACTACTCCCCCGCAAGCTCATCGAGCACCCTCACTTTGGACGATGACGAAGTGCGGTTCATGTTCGAATCTATCAAAATGGATGACGATTACGCGCTCTCTTTACGTCCGGATCCTGTCTTCCACGATAGTCTCAACCCGAATGCTGCTCCGTTTATCCCAAGAAACGGCACTACCACTTCGCTGCCCACACTGATGACGCAATTGCCCTCCCCGGCTCGACTGCCCCCGCCAGTTTGGCTCGATATCTTCTCACTGGGTGCCCGCACTTCTGCCTTGCAACAACACGATTACTATGCAGCTGCGGTGGTCACCTCTCGCGACGCCTGGTCCTTCGAGTTTATGGCTGAGCTTGCAGAGCACTTCCGCTGGCGAGGAGGAGAAAAGTGGGACGACGAGAGCGGCGGAATCGCTCTATTCGCCAAGGCCGTCCACCGTCACTTCGGACTCAGGTTCGGAGAAGAGATACAACTGTCGTTTCTCTGGCATTTGCGAGAAGTCACCATCGGCGCGTTCAAATCTGCCTGGGACCCAGTGAGTGCTCAAGTCGGACGCGTGGGGAGCAGTGCTCATCTTCCTCAGTCCTCGGCCACTGGAATCACGTTTCTCAACGCGCCATCTGTCGCGTATGTGACGTCCGCCACGGCTTGGCTGCTTTTGTCGGGCAGCTCTTCCAGCTGAACTTGATCTCTGGCCCGCAGACTGGCGCCTGTGTCTACATGATTCTGGAGGGAGTCACGTCATATGAGCATCTGATGGCCATGTATGTTCTCTTGTTCAACGCTGGCCCAGTGTTTTGGCATCCCGAGACCGTATCCTCTGCTGCGGCCAACGTGGCCATCCATACATTTGTGGCCAACATCTTACAAGTCGCCGTCCCCTTGCGTGACAGCGCGAGTGTCCTTGGGAATCCATTGCAACCGGGGGCGATGCGTGAAATCATTGTCAAATTGGAGAACTTGCTGACGGGATGGGCAACGGAGCACCGTCGCCAGATTCTTTGAACTGTGACGCGCTGCGACATACCCTCTACTGCTTATACCAAACGCTCTGCCTTTCAATCCGAATCTTGACACTGAAAAAAGTCGTTCCTTTTACGTAGTCAGACCTGTGCCAAGTCGTGAATGAATGGATTGTGGTCACTGATGACACCTGTGCACTGCCTCTGATGGAGCTTCCTGCTCACCATGACGAGGTCAACCCCACAGGGACATGTGTAACTCAGTTCTTCACACAGTCACTCGCCTCCCATGTCGAGACCACCATCCGCAGCTGCAACTGCATCCGCGGCGTCGAGCTCGTCCTCTGCTAATGAACGAACAGTCACCGACCCTGTTACGCACATAGCGTTACCTGTGCATGACAAGACACTGGACGAGCTGCAGGCAGCCATGTCCACACACCCGCTCGACTCAAATGCCGCTTCAAACTCGACTATGGATGGAGTCGTTGAGTCGGAAACGCGTCTCAACTGGGTGAACGAACAGCTCCGACAAACCAAGATTCAGATTGCCTACGTCGCAGGCGCAGCGTCACTCGTGGGCGGCGGCTCCGTGCTGATTCTTTCCCGCATTCTGGGTCGGTATAGCACCGGGTGGACCGGGTGGTTTGCCATAGGCTCCATGTGTTGTGTCGTCAGTGCGCTTGCAGGGACAAGCGTGATGCGTCTATGGGACGCGCAGACTCCCACAATTCGGCTGGCAGGAGAGGAGGACCAGCTCCGCAAGGTGAGTTTCCATCGTACTTGGCTGTCTCGCCGCTGGATTGTGTTCATAGTCAGATGCTCCCGAGTCTGCAATTTGGCTCAACGCCTTGTTGGCGTCGTTATGGCCGATAGTGAACCCATCGTTGTTCATTTCCGTGAGTGACATGCTGGAAGATGCGCTGCAGGTAATTGGCTGGTCGTCCAAGCCATAGCTGTCCCTCTTAACACCTTGCAACAGGCTTCCCTGCCTAAACTGATCCATGGCGTGCGCGTTGCCGATATCGGACAAGGCTCCGAGCCTCTTCGGGTTTGGGAATCCGCTCTTTGTCAGACATTGACCGCACGTCGGCTGAGCAGGGAGATTTCGTTAACCTCGAGGTTGCATTGGCCTATCATGCTCGTTCTGGCGGCAAAAGCCTGAAGGCTCGGTCTGCCAACCCTCACATCCTGATGGAATTCCTAATCAAGGGAGGGATTCCGATCCCAGTGTGGATAGAGCTGACTGGGATACTCGCCACGGCCCGGATGCGCATCCAGCTGATGCCGAACCCGCCATTTTTGGCGGGCATGATGTTGACGTTAGTCGGCCAGCCGAAAGTCACTCTAAAATGCACGCCCCTGGCGAAGGGTTTTATGAACGTCATGGATGTTCCTGGTCTTTCAAACTGGCTCCACCAAAGCATCGATGCCGCCATCGGAGCATATGTTGCTCCTCGAAGCTTGAGCCTGGATCTCAAAACGATGCTAAGTGGTATCGAGCAGATGGACACCGCCTCGCTCGGTGTCGTCATCGTTGTCGTCAAGTGCGCTTCTGGCTTCAAAGACGGCGACGGCGGAAAGTTCTGGGAGTCCAGTGAAGAGAAACGAGGAGACCCCTATGTGACCATTGGGTGGGGCAAGTGGGGGAAACCCGTGTGGTCGAGCAGGTGTGTATCTGCTCCCGACTTGACATGTGTTCTATGCTGGAAGCCGCGCAGAGTGATCGAAAACGAAGGAAATCCCTGCTGGGAAGAAGTCGCTGCGTTACTCGTGGGCCCTTCGGAAATGAACGCAAAGGAGAAATTGCGTCTTCAACTCTGGGACTCCGGTCAGATTTTGCACAGTGTAGCACACGGAACGAGTGACTGACGGAAAGCTCACAGATCGAGGAGCAGCGGACGACATGCTGGGCACAGTCGAAATCGACTTGCACGAGATCATGCAGAGCCACGACACGCTCAATCGGATGATGACCCGCACAGATCCATTCACCGACCCGAGTGGCAAGCCAATGCCCGGGGAGCTTTCCTGGGAGTGTGGTTACTTCGCCAAGACGACGCTTGATCAACATCTCGTCGAGCGCGGAATAGACATCGAGCAATTCAAACGTGACGTACAGCAGCACACGCAGCGGGAACTGAGGGAAGCGGAATCGTTGCAGCAGGAGGAACAAGAGAAGATCGAGAAACAGAAGCAAGCAGACATGAAAGATCGCGGAGACGAATTGATCGCAGGATCGCCGCCGACAGATCTCTGGCCGTCAGGTATACTGGCGATTCAGATCGAGCAGATCCAAGAGCTGGTTGTTCCCAAGGCACGCAGTGGCGTGGCTGGTGACGAGAACGAGGATATGCCCAGTGCCTATTGCACTGTCATCCTCAATCATCAGCGTGTCTACAGAACCAGGACCAAACTCAAGACAAACAAACCATTTGTGAGTGCCGTCTCTGCCGAGCAGAGAGCACCATCCGATGCTTACTCGCGCTCAGTTTGCTGCTGGCACTGAGCGCTATATCAAAGACTGGCGCAACACGTCGTTGCTCATTGCAGTCCGAGATTCGCGCCTGCACGAGATGGACCCCTTGATCGGAGTGGTCGAGCTGTCACTCCCAGCGATATTGAAGTCTCGTTCGCAAGTCTCTGGGTCCTATCCCCTGGGCGGTGGAATAGGCTTCGGTCGTGTGCAGGTGTCACTCGTGTTCCGTAGCATTCAGGCCCAGCTCCCGCGACCCTTGATCGGGTGGGACATCGGAACCCTCGACATCCAACCACACGCTCGTTCCGTGGCCGACGGCCCCCCGTTGCCAGCCGATCTTTCTGCCTGTCGACTTGTGTTACGGACGCAATACGGAAGGGGCAAATTCCATGCGCATCCCGACGGAGGCTGGGCTCAAAAGCGGGGCAAACCCGTGCGGCTTGCGGTCAAGCGCCGATTCGGAGAATGCCTGCTGGTCGAGTTCCGGCATCACGCGTCTCTCGGCCCGTCGCAGACCGTAGCGTTCAGCACGCTTTGGCTCAAGGACATCCCGGACAGCGAAGACACCACGATCTCCGTCCCGGTCTGGCGGAATGCGCATGGCTCTGTCTTAGCCCGTGCTCGCGTCAATGCGGAGACACCTCCCCGGGGCGCAGAACAGCTGGGCAATCTGCAGCTGACTGTCCGCTTTTGTCAGGGCCTGAGTGCATACCACAAGCCGCTCGCAGACCACGATCCGAATTACGCCGATGTGATCAGGGCCCTCGATGCTGCAGAGGAGACAGGAGAGAGCAGCCATGATCCGTTCGTTGATTCGGAATCTTCGGAGGACTCTGACTCACAGGACGAGGACCCTGAGGACGCGTACAACCCCAAAAAGTCGAACGTGCTCTCAGAGCTCAAAGAATACAAAAACCGCAAGGAAGACTTGCACAGGAAGCACCGGGGGCTGATGCAGTGGGGGGCTGCGCGCAAAGCTGCCTGGGTCGGCCATCATGTCGAAGCCGCGGCCGACAAGGTCGAGCAGAAGATCAAGGGCAAATTCACCCATCACCAAATGGAGCAGGGCATGGACGTCGAGGCGTAGGACATTTGCTATCACATTGTACAACAACACATCTTATTTGACAATTACAATACAACAAAGACTACTTGAAACATCTAGTGGGCGATGGCGCGGCCTGACTTGGCTTGGCTGCGCTGTGCAATGCAGTTTGGAATGACATCCCGGGTCGGGGTGTCAAGGGCGACGTCCCTCTCCTAGGCAGAGTCACATCATTGACAGAAGGTGCCCGGGCGCGTGTAGTCGATGCGCAAGGAACCGGGATGGGGGAAGAAGAAACGCTGCGACTGCTCGTAGACAGTCGCGTCGGCGCAGGGGGAAGAGGCTTCTGCTTGTCGGCAGCCATGACCCTCAAGACCCGGCTTCTCGTGCGCAAGAGCGGATTTCCGAGTTTGGGACTTTCTTGAGCTGAGCTCGGAGCACCGGTTCGAGGCACTGACAAGGACGGACGGCTGTATCGTGGAAGCCGAGATCGGGTCTTGTCTATCGGCCCTTGTCCCGTATAACAACCTCTGCGTCCAGAAATGTCCTGAAGGTTGTCTGGACGGATCCCAAACTCATCGTGGGCGCTTCTGAGGACATCAGTAGGAGTTGAACGCGAAGATCCCGTCGAATACGAAGAGGGCTGACGGAATTTTCGATCTACTCCTGAACCCAGGCTTGCATGCGATTTGGACCGACTCAAGCTCCTGGTCGAAAGATCCAATGTAGAAACCTGTTTTGTCAATGCACTGGGAGCATCTTCGTCTTCAGAATCGCTCCATCCGAGGCCGGTGGTGAGTCCGATGCCACCGCGGAGAACATTCGCCTCCCGATGGCGAGTGCTACGATTTGTCGTATGGCGCGGGTCATGTGGAACTTGACTGCTGGAGGAAGTATCTCCACCTGAAGATGAAACGGGAGATGGAAGAGTCAATAGCTTGGACCTCGGGGAGAGATAGCCGTGATGGAGCATTAGTTGGCTGAAGCAGATTAAGCGGATCATCAGAGAGATAGACAGAGATAATACGGACGGAAGGGATGTGTGTAGATCTATCTCCGAGCCAGAATCAGAATCGTGTCGCTCATCCCAACAGGTGAGATCGAATTCTTCCGCAACAGGTCGGGGGAACACAGCCTCTGACCCTTTGGAGTCCATACGGCTGTGCATGTGGCCATAATCCTGTAAGGAGTCTTCCTCATCGTAAGTGGCTCCGCCAGGCGCACTGTTCAGTCGGGGTCGAGATGTCGCGATGATGATTGAGCTGATGTCCGGGGAAGGGACTCGAGTGTCCTGGCTAATAAGTGGACTTGACAGACGACCGAAATCGTCTGAATGGGGCTGAAAATTTCCTCCCAGCCCGCTATACGCGTCCGCGAATGATACCGAGCTCAAAGGCGGATCTTTCCGATGCTGGCCTGTGAAACGGAAGTGAGTGGTCACTCCCAAGGGAATGAAGGGCAAGTATGACATACTGGGAAAGTGCTCATCGTCCAGCATATGCTCCACGCTGCTCTGTGATCCTCTTCGTAGAGGGAACGCACCGAGAAGCTGCTCTCGCGACTCGTTATGCTCCCCGACGCAGAATATATGACAAGGATTCTGGGCGACAGATTTCGGCGTCACCGGGGACAATCGCTGGGAGTCTGAGTCGAAGGAAACATTCGAAAGGGAGTCGCTGCGGCTCGACGCAACTGATGTCTCTTCGTGTGATTGAGTTCGCGGATAGAGAGCTCTGGCGGGCGGCGAGGACGAGCTTGCGCGGCCGATTTCAAAAAAAGATGCGTGTCTGTCTCGGATATTCGGCTGCGGCTGGGAAGTGGAGGAAGCGGGATGGTCGGAGGTCTGCAAGGCGGGGGGCTCATGAGCAAGGCTGGCGACGATGGTATGAACGTTGGCGGGGCGGGGAAGGAGTCGAGATCGTCCAAGAGCAACTGTTGGGGTTGACTACCCGGCATGATGGTTCACTGAGACAAGAGGGAGGCAAGACCGGCGACATAGCGGATGATAGAGAATATGTAAGAAGCTGGAGAGGGTGGCTGTGTTCCAGTTGCTTCTATTGAGGTTGATGATCGGAGTTGGGGTAGATCCATCAGGCGCCCACCACCATTTCTTATGCAAATCTCTAATCTCAACTGCTTCGATATTCCATATACGGGATATACACCGGGGATATTGCTGTCTAGGCCGAGAAGAAGTGTATCTGAAGGCGTCTTTGCCACCATGATAAAGCCTAGTATGCCGTTCGCCTTCTCACCCGCGCGTACACACACAACTTGCACATTACGAGACGGTTTCACCGCAAGCCTAAAGCCGCATGCCGCGGAAAGAGAAAGCAGACAAGGATTGTAAATTGCCGGGAAGAACCATCCAGACGGGATTGTTTCCCTTCCGAGTGCCCGGTGGGAATCTTCGGGCATCTACGGCCCTCGAACGCAATCAGTCTGCTCACGATCACGTTCGCCAATATGCTGGGGCTACCTGGATGACAGAGCAGGACCGGTCTTGTATGTCCAGCAAGATCTTTGACGAGCTTCAATATCTGCTCAATGATATTCACGACCGTACTCACATGTTTCCGGACATCTTTACATTTCTTGCAACAGTCGACGGTGGAATTGCTCGCCTGACATATCATTCGGCGTGTCTTCATATGTGGGCAAGACACTCGGAGATCTCGGGCTAGGGCTGGAGAACGGGGGAAGGAAGCGGCATTGGCACTGCAATCAAATCGTATGCTGGGGGGAACGTTGCTCCAGGGTAAGTCCGCATGAATGGTGCTTGGCCGTTTCATAGTGGATAAAGTCGATCGAAGTTGAAATAATCCCCGCTCTGACAGTCGGTACTTCCAGCGTAAATCTTGAGCATCGGAAACTCTGTAGTTTATCGGAACAAAGCCACAGGATCAACGTAGAACGATTCCACGGTCCCGGTACAAGGCTCATGGGGAAGAGCCCGGCCGAGTGGCATAGAATCTGAAGGGGAGAAATGTGTAGATAAGATCCAGGCCATCTGAATTTGATGGATGACATTGCAATCATCACGCCATACAAGCCCAAACAGCGCCTGGTATGTCCAACGACGAGTAAGTTCTCAGCCGGTGCCCAAAGTAGTGCCCTTACGCCGCATAGGTCAGCAGCGATGGATCAGGAGCAGCAGGTAGAGTCGATTTCCGAATCGTCGCCTCGCGTCCCGACCGAACCTGCGGCTATGGCGTCGGAAAACAAGAAACGCCCGCGACTCGACCTCTCGGATACCCAGAAGCGAAAACGCGGTGGTATGTTTGGCCTGTTGCTGGGGACCCTCAACAAGGCCAAGATCGAGGACAAGGAACGAAGTGCGAGTGAAGCGGCACGTAGATCGAAACTTGCTGCTACTTATCCACTGACACGTCGATTCCAGGCAAAAAAGCGACAACTGATTGATCAAAGACTACAGACTAAGCTGCGCAAAGAGACTGACTCCGTCAGACGAGCTGAAGAAGCCCGAAAAGACAAACTGAACGCAAACCGGAAGGAGGAGGATCTTCAACTGAAAGATTCTGTCGTGCGTCCTGACTTGTTATCACATGCACTTCTCAAGAGTTGACTCTCGCATTGTTTAGTACAAGCTCCGTCGCGGGCGCTTACCTCTCCTCGCCAATTTTCTTCTTACATCTGACATCATACCCACCTCCTCCTCTGATGAGGATCCATCACCTCTACCACCGGCGCTGGCCTCAGTACAACGAGGACATCCACCTCCTCTATACTACCTTCCTGCGATCCTTACGCCTGCTCAAGAATCATACATCCGACGGAGGAAGGCTCAGGTATGCGGCCTTGCCTTGTAGGATCGTGTAAAGAGGGTATTCATACATTTCATCTCCAGGTCCTGGAAGCTGTAGACGCTGAATATGCGGCTTTCCTGCAAGAGCGGTCCGCTGGCATTGAGGAAATTTCCGAATTGCGCAAGGCCGTGGCTTCCGAAGAGGCTCGAAAGAAGAGTGAGACCGAGGAGAACGAGGAGCCACCGTCGAAAGAAGGAGCGAAGGACGTGGAGATGGAGGTCGACGATCGCGACAGTGCGACGATGACGAGTAAGGATGCGGAAGAGGAGTTGGAAAAGAAGGAGGAGCCGACGCCAGTGCCCGCTGATGGGGACGACGCAGTCGAATATTAACCTCGTAATTTGATTGTTTTCAGCTCGAGGCAAGTCCCTTTTGTCTCCCTTTTCAAATTCGTTTCGTGAACTGTTTCGCAGTACATCTGGTATTTTGTGCGTAGCTCCATCCATTCTTTTGATGCTCACTTTGCTCGTCGTTCATCTAACACTCACTGTATCTTGTGAATCCACTGGTTCGAATGGACATTCCCTCTTGAAATTATGGAACCTTAGGACAAACTCTACTGTCTACAATCCCAGTTCATCTGCATAAGGTAGGGCTTCAGTGTCACCAATGGCGACGAAGGTGGGCTTCGCCTTGGCCAGGGCGGCGGTAACCTGGAAGTTCACTCAGGTAAGGCACAAAGCAGTCGAGGTGTATCATACCTTGGAGAAAGAAGCGCTGCTGACGGAGTCAAATGCAGACAGCGTGGCTTCCGTTGAGGTGGCACTTGCGCCAGAAAGGACCTTAGAGCCCAAGATCTCGACGAGACCAGCACGGTCGTCGACACTGGTTGCGGCACGGAATTTGGCCTTGGTCACAGCAGCCTTCAAGTCCTCAGCCTTGATCGAGCTGACAGATTTGAAAGTCTGGGCAACAGCCTTGGCTGCCTCCCGGGTCGCCTCAGCCGTAGGTCCCTGGACGATAACACCAACAAGAGCGGCATCAGAGTACGGCAGATAGACAGATTGTACGGTGGTGTGCGGGACTTGCAGCATCGGGGACGAGCTCTTGGCCCATTTGATCGTAGGATTAGGATCCAAGTATGCGGCCAGCGCAGCAACCTCTGGTGTCGGAGCACCGGCGACACCGAATCCAATGAAGACAGTCTGCGCCCCACCGTGGGCTTGCACGCGAGTTTCGCCTCCAAAGTAAGCAGACGGTGTTGAGGCGGTGGCAGAGCCTGATTGCGATGCAAAGGCCGCCTGCACTAGGGACGAGAGTGCGGACTCTGAGATACCCGTTCCGAGGACAGCAATGTTGTCCTTCGAAAAGGCGGTCGCGGCAAATTGCTCAACGTCGTGAGCAGTTATCGGCGTATGAGGGGCAGCGAAGAGAGATGCACCAAGCCCAGAGCGGAAAGCCAGAGCGTGCGCGAGCTCGACTGCATGAGCCGCCGGGTTGGTTTGGAGCGCATGGATGTCGCTTTCTACTGCTGGGAGAACAAGCTCCTGAAGTTCGTGGCGGAGGTATTTCGAGGACGCGATGGCGGAAGACAACACTTTGACGAAGAATGCTCTAGACAATGTGAGATGCATATGTAACTACAAAATAGATGCACGCACTCGTCGCCACGGAGGAACTCGGCGGTCAAGGCGAGATGTTCTCTCGTCAGGGTCGACGACAGGACACCACCGTAAAGCTCAGCCTCACGGACTGTCCCAAGCGCAGACCGGTCAGCAGTGCTCTACAATAGAAGTCAGCATCGCAAATAATGAGAAAGGTGATGGCAGTGGCGTGCCTTGAAGGCGAAATTTTTAAGTACGTGGGCGACACCAGGTTTCGTCTGGTAGCGAGAACCAGCTTTTGCGAGGACAGTAATGGAGACGGTGGGCTGGCCGGCATCGACAGCTGCGACCTTGAGGCCGGCAGCATCGACTACGGTCGCAAACGAGCGACGGGCAAGGCGCACCGACGCGTTGGTACGGGCTGCGAGCATTGAACTCTATGAGGTGAACAACGAATCACTGAGACCAATTTCTGTCCGCATTCCTCCGGTGTGTACTCTTGCTTGACTGATGGGATCAACTATGACAGTGGATTGTAACATGTCCGCTGGATGCTACGGTCATGCCCGGGGTGTAGAAAGATAATCTCTCCACTGTAAGCTCTCACGCAGAGATGATGAAATAGGTAGAAACCCAAATATGTATGCGGATGCCTTTTGCTGCCCTCAGACTATATCATCGAAACCAGGCACGTGACGAAGCTCCTTGAACCTGTCTCTTCAGTTCGGTATTCTACTTGGAAAGTATGATTGCATCTCATCGAATTCGCGAGCATTGAAACATTAAGACACTAAGTGCACTTCACTCTCTCTGAGCCGACTGCCTCAACTAGCGAATCATATGTTGTTCAGGGCTCTGCAATCGAAGCTCACATCCACTTGTTGATATATGAACATCGCGCGCGCAACAATCTGGAGCACATCATCGAGATAAGTGCCGACGTTATCAGAAAAGTGTATTCCGGATGAGACATCTCAAGGTCGTCTTCAGAAAACGCTCAATCGTCTGTTGTACAACAGAACAGAATTTCATCAACACATGCCCCGTCAAGATGCTTGTACATGCAAGTGCGTTTAATCGAAGAGACCGAAGCCCATGTCGTCGTCGGACTCCTCCTGCAAGACCGTCAGGATCAGAAAATAACAAGATGGGGAGTCGTACCTTCTCTTCCTCTTTCTCTTCCTTCTTCTCCTCGGCAGCGGGGGCGGCAGCACCACCGGCGGCAGGAGCAGCAGCAGCAGCGCCTCCAGCACCACCAGAGGGAACCTGTGAAGTGTTAGTGGAATGTTTGTGCAATCGTCCTTGACACAAACCGACGCGAGCTTGCTCGAACCCTCGGCGATCAGCTATAGCACAAGTCAGGGCGTGAACACTTCAATAAGGTAGAAAAAAAATCGGACATCGTTGATAGACTTGTCCTTGAGCTCAGAGATCAGCTTCTCAAGGCGGCTCTCATCAGTGTCGACGTCAACAGACGAGAGGAGAGCCTTGATGTCGGCAGCAGACGGGGACTCGTTTCCACCCATCTGGAGGAGGAGGTAGGCAGCGATGTAACGCATCTGCGAAGAGATAAGTGGGTGGATAGCCGAAACACCGACGATCTACTTTTTCGAAGTGTGAGTGGGTGGTTTTGTGTTAAGGTAGGGTAGCCTCAAATCACTGTCCACCTGTTAGATGAAGGCGGTAAGCAACAACAGCGAGGACCGACGTTTAATCCACGAAGGGACGAAATGGGGATTCTATCCTGGATGAGTGAAGGAAAACTGTAGCGGTGCCGCTGATTTCTTCGTATGGGCAGTCACGTGGGCTTAAATCAAGCTCACGTGCATCTGCCTAGCTGCTTACCGCCTTTGCGTCCTCAAACAAGCAATTCCTCAAGACACAAGTCAAGATGGTGAAGCCATGTCCCTCTGTGTTTCGTTGGGACTCTCGTTGACCATGCTTCTTGCAGGCTGATTCCTCTGTCACCGACCCCGCTCTCGCCGCTGAGCTCAAGAAGAAGCGTACTTTCCGTACCTTCTCGTACCGTGGTGTCGAGTTGGAGAAGCTCCTGGACATGAACAACGAAGATGTGCGTCTCCAACACTCCTTACTCCTGCGTTATACTCATTTTCTTTGCCAGTTCGTTGATGTGTGTATTTGCCGCGTTTGAATTCAGAACGATTATGCTGATCCAACTCGACTCGAAAGCTCGTGCACGCTCGTGCCCGTCGTCGGTTCCAGCGCGGTCTCAAGCGCCGCCCCATGGGCCTGATAAAAAAGCTGCGCAAAGCCAAGACGGAGGCCCCGCCAAATGAGAAGCCCACCGCTGTGAAGACACACCTCCGTGACATGATTATCGTTCCCGAGATGATTGGCAGCGTTGTCGGTATCTACAACGGAAAGGTGTGTGGGAGGCTCGGTGGTGTGAGGCTATGGGACCGATCTTTTGCAGGTCTTTAACAACGTCGAGATCAAGCCTGAGATGACCGGTCACTACCTCGCGGAGTTCTCGTGC